TATTGATAGCCTGACCTCTTTTTATTAAAACAGTCATATCTCAATATATCCAAATCAAAATTATGATCTATTTAATGCGTTAGAAACTAGACTTGATAAGATTTCTAACCATATATGACACACCTCGTAATTCCCTGTAGATTAATTATAAAAATTTTTGAAATCCACATCATATACTGCTACCAAACAGCCTCTATACCTTCTAATAAAAATTATATATTTATGCACAGGAAACTCCAAATTCAATTCCGCTTATTTCATTGGAAAGTAGACTTAATAAGATTCCCAAACATATATGGCTTAATCTGTAAATCCTTGTATACAAATTAAGAAGAATTTCGTAATTTAACCCTGATGTTGCTGTCTTATAGCCTATATATCCTTAAGTTGAAATTAGACAACTTTTCATAGAAAACTTGGATTTGACTTTCGTTTGTTTCATTAGAAACTAGATTCAACATGTTTTCCAATGATATATAATAATCATAGCAATAATCTATCCATTAATACAAAATTCTATTTTAATTCATTATTATATATCATAACATCTCATTCAAAAATAGAATTTCTTCTTCAATCTTTAAAAACTCAAATCCTTACTTTCAGCTTACAAACTCCATTCAATAATCATCAATGAATCTTAAGAACATGAAAGAAACAAAGCCTAGTAATTTACCCAAATAGATCATCAAGATTAATGAAGGATTTCATGATTTTTCTTGATTTTTCTCTCAAAACTTCAACTTCAAATAATAGCAATCAACTTGATATTTCTTTTCAATTAAAAAGAAGGCATGTACTCACCTTTAAGGGATTAACTTGATTATAGCCTCTGATTGTGAATCTCCAACTTGATTTTTTATATTCTCTAACCCTAAAAAAGATGAGGAGGAAAAACTTTATTTCCTTTCTGTTTCACGATAGTTAGGTTTTCTTTCATTTAATACTTCAGTCCTTTTTTTTTTACTAAATAATGTCTTAATAAACTGATGGGCTTTAGTATTAGTCTAGCTCAATTATTATTTAAGCTGGGGTATTACAACAAGAATCTTCGTGCTTTCCTCAAGCTCTAAGTTAAGATCGATTAAAATCTTCCTTAGCCACAAAGCTTGATTAACAGCAGCTGTTGTAGCAATAAACTCTGCTTCAGCTGTGGATTGAGCTACAATTTCTTATTTTTTCGAGCTCTATGAGAAAACACTAGAACCAAGTGTGAAATAATAGCCTGAAGTGCTCTTAATATCATCAATGAAACTTCTCCAATCACTGTCTGAGAAACCAACCAGCTTAAACTCTTTGCTCTTTGTGTATTTAATGCCAAAATCATGTGTGCCTTTCACATATCTAAGCACCCTCTTTGCAGTCTTGAGATGCCATTCACTTGGACAATACATAAATCGAGACAAAATGCTTACAGCATTCAAAATGTCAGGCCGAGTTACTGTGAGAAACATTAAGCAACTAATCAAGCTTCTGAAATATGCCTGATTAATCTTCTCTGTTCCATCTTCTTTATAAAGCTTTTTTTTTTAGTTCATTGGTGTCTTCATTTCTTTACATTCTTCGAGTTTAAACTTCTTCAGAATCTCTTTGGCATATTTCTTCTGACAGATGAAGATTTCATGTTCATTCTGTTTGATTTCCATTTCAAGAAAAAAGGTCATCAATCCAAGATATGTCATTTCAAAAAACTTCATCATCTCTTGCTTAAACTTTTTCACAATACTTATGTTGTTTCATGTCACAAATAAGTCATTCACATATAGTGAGATGATAAGAATGTCAGCTCCATTATGCTTGACATATAATGCTGATTCAGATAAGCTTTTGACAAATCTCAAGTTCTGTAAATATTCATCAATCCTGCTGTACCAAGCTTTTGGAGCTTACTTCAATCCATAAAGTGCCTTTTTAAGAAGATAAACCTTGTCTTCTTCTCCTTCCTTGATATAGCCTTCTGGTTGTTTTACATAAATCTTCTCCTACAGAAAACCATTCAAGAATGTTGACTTGATATCTAATTGGTGCACTTTTCAATTCTTTTATGCTGCAAAGGCGAGTAAGAGCATGATGGTATCGAGTCTAGCGACTGGTGCGAAAGTATCTGAGTAGTCTACACCGAGTATTTGAGCATATCCTTTGACCATGAGTCTAGCTTTATACTTATTTTGATCCGTCTTGGCCTCTTCATAATTTGTAAGTTCATACACAGTAATATTGCATCTTTGATAAACATTAGAAAGTAATCTTATACCTCTGATAAGACTGTCATCCACCATTTCATTCTTTCAGTCTCTAATGCTAGAAAACTTGAGCTTGTGCTCTTTTAAGGTTGGATCCATCTTTTTTGCATCATCCCAGTTCCACTCTTCATCTTTCATAAAGTGCACATCCCTGCTTATAATAATTTTTTTAATTTATGGCTGGAAAACTTTATAAGCTTTTGCAACTGAGCTGTAGCCAATAAAGATGCCTGAAAGTGCTCTTTTATCTAATTTATCTTTCTTGGTCTGTGAAACATAAGTGAAGCACAAACATCTAAATATTTTAATAAAATTCAGAGATAGTTTATAACCATACCATGCCTCAAAGGGTGTTTGATCCTTCACTACTCTTGTGGGAAGCCTGTTTTACAAAAAAATAGTAGTATTTGTTACTTCAACCCAAAATTATTTTGGCAGGTTCTTCTCATGTAGCATACATCGTGTCATCTCTAATATGAATCTATTCTGTCTCTCACTTACTCCATTTTTTGTGGAGTGTATGGAGCGGTTAATTGATATTGGATGCCTGCCTTTTCATAAAAATGAACGAATGCTTCAGAGGTGTACTCTTTGTCATTGTTTGATCTGAGAGTTTGAATTCTACAGCCACTCTCGTTCTCAATTCTGGCTTTAAAGTTTCAGAAGACTTGAGCCACCTCTGACTTGTACTTTAAAAAGAAGATCCAACACATACGAGTGAAATCATCAATGAATGTAACATAATAAAGACTACCTTTCAGAGAATACGTTCTTTGTGGGCCTGTAATGTCAGTATGAATTAATTGTAACTTCTTTAATGCTCTCCATGTTGCCTTGAAAAATGGTTTCCTACTTTGCTTTCCAAACTGACATGCTTTGCAGTTTGGAATATGATCATTAAGTTTTGGAAAATCATTTACCATCTTCTTGGATTTCACTTACAGCAACCCCTGATGATGATAGTGTCTGAGCCTCTTGTGTCATACTTTAGTGATATTTTCTTTGATTGGGAAAGCAGTTTGCTCCTCTTCCAATAGATTTAGAGCAAAGCATTTCCTTTTCATTTTTACTTTGAAAATATCTTGGCCAACCGTATTTTTAATCAAGTAACTTTTATCTTCGAACACAACTTTATAACCTTTTTCAATTAGTTGTCCAACACTTAACAAGTTTTGATCAATTTCAGGGACATATAATACATCAAAAATGAACTTTGTAACTAAACAAGTTGAAATTACAACTGTTTCTTTTTTCTTCACAGTTATGTACTTGCCATTACCAACTCGAACTTTCGATGAGTTTGCGTTGCTTAGTTCTCTGAATAGATCCTTGTCATGTGTCATGTGTCATGTGATTAGTACAACCACTATCTATAAGCCAACTCTCACTTGATTCGATGTCGGAGAAACATGTAGCTACGAACAGGTGATCCCTCTCCTTTTGATCAGTAATCTTTGCATCTTCACCATGTTGTAAATTTTTATTTTTACAGATAACAGCTTCATGCCCCATCTGATTACATTTAGTGCATTTAGCATCGGGTCTTCTCTAGCATCTTAATGGAGGATGACCCTTCTTTTCATAATGTTGGCAACGTGAATAGGATTTCTTCTGATTTTTATTTTTTCTTTTTGCATTGGCTGATGTAGTACTTGCCCCATTTCCTTCAAAATCTTTTTTCTTTTGCTTTTGGCCACATTTTGATGCTTGACTGCCAAAGCTCCTTCAATTGTTGTATATTCCCTCATTAGTCTTCTTTGTTTTTATGCTTGCAAAGCGTTAAGCAATTCTGCTAAGGATATTTTTGACAGATCCTTTGTATTCTCCAAGGCAGTGATGGTTGCTTCATATCTTTCAGGTACTGTAACAAGAATTTTTTTTACAATTCTTGAGTCAGTAAATTCAGATCGAAGAAGCCTTACTCTGTTTGCGATACTCAAAAGCCTATTGGAATAATCTTTAATCATCTCGGAGTCTTTCATTCTTTGAAATTCAAATTTTCTAATCAAGTTAAAGACTTGCATCCCTTTAATTCTTTCATCTCCTTCATATTCATTCTTGAGATAATCCCATATCTCTTTTGCTGACTTCAGAGACATTATACAAGTGAAGATGATGGATGAGACTGCAGCAAACAAGCAAGCCTTTGCCTTTGATTTCTTTGTCTTCTTTTCTTTCTGTGCTTTGATCTGTGCCATGGTGGGATTGTTTGGAAGTGTAGGAATTTCATAGTCTTCTTCCACTGCTTCCCAAAGATCTAAAGCTTTCAAGTATGTCTCCATACGTACTGCTCAAATCTGGTAGTTGTCTCCGTCGAACACCGCTGGAGCAATTATGGAGAAACTAGCTTCAGCTTTCATGACGCATCAATTTCACACACAGATCCCTTAAGAAGAAAGCTCTGATACCAAATGTTGTTATTTTTGAAGCAAAGAAAACTTTACTCACTGTTGCATTTCTTAACATCAGAAACATTACAATTTAAAGCCTAATTAATAACTACCCACTAAAATCATAATCCTAAGATTAAGCCATGACCACCAGCATGAATAACAAAAAAAATAACCAACACCAAAAAAACAGGAACAACATGAAACATTCAACTAAGCAACATTCATGAATCCACATTAGCAGTCCTAAACACATCTTCTAATAGTTTTGTTTCAAAGATGCATTGTTGAAATTTTGTTCACTTTTTGCTCCAAAAAAGAATTAAAAGGAAATTTCATTCACCTTTTTCTAAATGGTCACTTTCAGGTGGTGGTGGCATATAATCCTCTTGCATGGAATCGTACTGAAATTGTTAGAATACCAGTGAGTACATTTTTTAGGAATTGTAGATCAAATAATGGCCCTGTTTAGTGGTGTAACTTTTGTGTCCCTTTCTAGAACCCCAAAGGGTTAATATAACTTAGAATAATAGCCTTTCAATCTCATTTGAAATGATACCTTTTATCAGGTTAATGATGCCGATCTTGTTGTCCAAGATTCATCTGGAAATAACATTGAAACACAATATTTAGATTTGGATAATGTTACAAGAAATATAAGGGACTTCTATACAAAGGCTTACTTGGGACTGTCATCGGATACAGTTCCAAATTACTGGCTACTTTTTCAAGTATCTGTACCACCACTAGGTTGGAATACTTACTTCATTTCTAAAGGAGCTGGGAAAGGTAGATATTTCATTTCTTTCACTTCCAGCACTTGACTGTTGTTGAAGTTTAATTAAGTTAATAGGAAAATGCAAATTATGGGAAGCTTTATTTTCTTACTTGATCTGTTCTATCTTTTTATATTACAATGATGTAGGACAACACAGAGTTGGAATTATCTCAGCAACAGATTCTCCTCAAGATGATACAATTGAAATTGGAAATGGAAATCTGAAGCTGTCTTTTTCTACAAGTTCTGGCCAACTCCAACGGATGTATAATTCTAGAACAGGAGTAAGTTGTTTCTCATTTCCAGATATTGATCGTGAGATTTAAACATCTTGATTTTGTGGTTATACATGATCTGCAGTGAACTAAGCCACAATTCATATGTCATCAAAAAGTTTGGAAATGCTAAGTATATAGGAATATTAGTTAAAATGGAGATTGAGTAAGATCTATGTAACTTTTCTTATTTCTCAAAGCCATTAGTAGAAATTACAGTGCTGTTTCTCTTTTTTCTTCCCCTTTTCTTCTTCTCTGCTCTTACTTCTATTAAATAGGGTTCCTATCATTAAATATTCACAGAGATGTTAAAGAAGTTTAATACCTCTCCAGCCATGGGCACAGATTTTGGTTTTGTTCCCTAGAAATGTTCTGAATGCCAGTACATAACCATCTTTAATTTCCCATTTTACCAGGTTGATGTACCAGTGCAGCAGAGCTACCTCTGGTATGGTTCAAGCAGTGGTGATGCTGATCCTCAGGTAAGCAATCACTGTGCCTGGATTTCAATTACAAGAGTTCACGTTGAGGTGGTGAGAGCCTGTTAAAATGCCAGTTTTATAATGATGGTCATTCTTACAGGCTTCTGGTGCATATATATTCCGGCCTAACGAGGCACCTCCAAGTGTTGTTTCACGATCAGTAAGCCTCTTATTGAACATCGTCATCACCTAGGAATATCACAAGTCCAAGAAATATAATGTTTGTTAATTCAAAACAGCCTTGTCACAAGTTTTTTCTATTGGACATTATCCCCTGCATGCTATTAATGGAGTGTAGTAGAATTTTCAAATTCAAATTTATTCTTTTATTTTCTTACAAGTATTATGTTTATCTGCAGGTGCCCTTGGATGTCACTCGTGGACCCCTAGTCGATGAGGTTCACCAACAATTTAACGAATGGATCTACCAGGTCATCATTTTTATATGAGTTCACTTCAGTGGTTAGGGCTCATTTTTATTATCGGAGGCTGAAAATGCTAAGTTTAAGGGTTTTAAAGGCATCACCTTTTAATACAGAATTATCGATATCTGTTTTACACACCATCATATACTTGCACACAAAATTTTGAATACGGACTGTGAAAGGCACAAAGATGATAAATTTAGATCCTATCCTTGCAACAAAAAGTTCTATTTTGCAGAAACGTAATAATGAAGTGATTCTTATTTTTTACAGTAATTATTCTATGAAATAGTCGTTTATGAAACGGAATCAGCTTTACATAAATATATTCATTTAAAGTTCATGCTTCCCTCTTCCCATGAAATTCTTGATTGTTAATTTTTCTAATCTTTTTGCTAAAAGCTAATTTTTCTATTTATGTTCATTCATTAGATCACCAGACTCTACAAAGACAAAGAGCATGCTGAAATCGAATTCACTGTAAGCCACATCACCGTGATTTAATCTTTATTTATCTTTTCTTTGACCCACTCTAATATGAATTTGAACTATCTATTATGGAAAGCAATGTCTCAGGTGAATGTTATCTACTGTATATAAAGTAGAATGGTATCATCTCTCTTGATTCTTGCCAAGTATTTCTGACAATTTTCTGTTTTGAAGATCGGTCCAATTCCCTTGGATGATGGTGTTGGAAAGGAGGTCATTACTCAAATGACAGCAAATATGGTCACTGACAAGATGTTTTATACTGATTCTAATGGGAGAGACTTTCTAAAGCGGGTAACTTGTGAAACATCCCTTCTCTTTGAGCATCTGATAGTCTTTACTGAAGGAACATGAAGTTGTATTAGTTTCAATTACAAGCTAGCATAGTGTAGGCAACATATATATATGTATATGTGTGTGTGTGTATATATATATATATATATATATATATCTCAACTGATCATTATGTTTCTTGAAGCTGGCTGGTTTTGATCTCGGATACCTTGTGCTTTCCCACTAGATTTTATACAACAGGATGTACAACAGAATATGTAATAGTGGATTGTTATCAAATTAACTTCTTATTTTAAGAGTCCAAAAACAACATGTTCTCTTTTTGAATATTGATACAAAGTTTCTACCTGCATTATGGCTGCTATTATAGTGTCAACCTAAAATGTATGGTCATGGCTCTTTTTCAGGTTCGAGACTTCAGAGAAGATTGGAACCTTGCTGTTACTCAACCTGTAGCAGGAAATTATTATCCAGTAATTTTCTCAATTTTAGTTTGGCTACCACTAAAATAGATACACGTCAAAACTCATAGATGACTACTTAGATAGAGGCTTGGCTAGCTGGCCAAAATGTATGCAAAATGTTCCTTGCTATCATGCTGTGAGTGTTAGTTAGAAGTCAGGTTGCTTGATATTAGTTTAGATCTTCACTATTTTGTGGTTGCATCAAAAAGATAAAAGAGTTTGAAACCTCTGTGATTGTTCCATTGGCCTTGTGTGGTTTGACACATCATGCTAACAACTGGTCTATTTCTTCACTTCATAGAGAAGTTCAAGAACTTGTTTTGCTAAGAGTCAAATGGCATATACAGGCATCATTTAACTGAAATTATTTACCATTTCTGCTTATTTTTAGGTTTTCATGGTATATACCGAGATTGTTCTGGTGCTTCTTTTTTATAGTAAAATATTAATGCCTTGAAACAGTACTCCCATATTGAATGTGTCAAATAAATCTTTGCCTAACTTTTCCAGATTAACCTTGGAATTTATACTATGGATAATATATCTGAATTCTCTGTCCTGGTTGATCGTGCCACCGGAGGATCAAGCATTAAAGATGGAGAAGTAGAATTAATGCTTCACAGGTTTCCTTTACTACCTGCTTTTATGCATTCACACTCCTAGTGTACCTTTTAAGGTAGATATGAACCTGCTAAATTCTCTTTTCTAATGCTCTAGGCGGATGATATATGATGATTCCAGAGGAGTGGGTGAAGCCCTTGATGAAAGTGTATGTGTAGGAAGCACATGCGAGGGACTGACGGTACACTCTTTCATTGCAACAGCATCTTCTTCACTATTCATGCAAATCATCTAATAGAATTGTGCCTAAACCCTAAACCCTAAAACCAACTAACGTCCCTATGCTTCAACCTGATTTTTTTTCCATGGTTTTGGCTCAGATTCGTGGGAATTACTATATTAGCATCAACCAGATAGGGGAAGGTGCACGTTGGCGTAGAACAACTGGTCAAGAAGTTTACTCACCTCTTCTATTAGCTTTCACACATGAGGTATATGTAACTTGATTAATTATGCCATAAAATATGTCCTACAGTGGTAGATCATAACTGTATAAAATGATTGATCATTCAGAAAATGGAGAACTGGACAGCATCTCATTTGACAAAAGCAACTGTCATGGATCCAGGGTATAGCTTGCCGCTCAATGTTGCTTTAATTACTCTTCAGGTGACAGTTTTAACCCAATTTTTAACATGTTTTCTACTTAACATAGCTCTGTTTCATCTAAAATAATAATTTTACAGCAATTGGATGATGGAAGTGTTCTCCTCCGTTTAGCACATCTGTATGACGTAAGTGACTTTATATCCCAAGCTGCACTTCACATTTCCATTTAACCATAAAACAGTTTGCTCAATGGGGCATTTTTCAGTCACAGCCTCGTAATGCAACTGCTAGAAATACTGTAACATGATTATTTCTTGGATTATAAAAAATTTGACATTGTGATGCTTGTGAATGTTTTAACCAGGAGGGTGAAGACACCATGTATTCAACTCTAGCTAAGGTTGAACTAATGAAGATGTTTAATGGAAGAACGGTAAGTGTAACTTTTCATTTATATGTTTCAACCAAAAAAAAGCCATCCACTTGTTAAAAAAATGGTGTTGCTTTTTTCAGATAAAGGAAGTGACAGAAATGAGCTTAACAACAAACCAACTGAAGTCAGAGATGAAGAAGTTGTCATGGAAAGTAGAAGGTGACAACGGAAACGAGCCCTCCCCTGTAAGAGGAGGCCCTGTTGATAGTTCAACTCTTGTCATCGAGCTTGGTCCCATGGAGATCCGCACTTTCCTGTTGAAACTTTAAATTCCATGTGTATTCACACCTTCAAAACAATTTCTGACTAATGAAAGCAATAATGCATTTTCTCAATTTGTCCACGGGTTATTGACATCTGAATGATAAATACAATACTAATTAATAATCGGAAGGATTGTAACTGACTATTCCCTTATTCTTCAGTTGTACATATTTTTTCATTAGTGGCAAGAATTGGAAGGCTTTCGTTTGGTTATAGTGACTATAATTACGAAGATTAGAATCTGCAGCTTCACCCTCCAGGCCTGCGACTTGCCAGAAAGTGTTAGTTTGGAGTTGGACCCTATTTGTTAGCATCTTCTGGACATTATATGTACAACTGGATTAAAATTGTCTTCATCACCTGTTATAATATTTGTCTTGATTGTTTCTCATTAATTTGAACTGATCAAATCAGAGTCAGCCTCGTGTTGCTAATATCAGAAGCTTTAAATTTTCATTATCGATGGCAAATGGCGATAACTGCCCCTCCTGTGGAGGTCCCACTTCCGATAATGGCATTATAAACTCTTTACTGATAGTCATATTGGATTTCTGTCCATTATCTTCGTGGGTTCGTATACAGGACAAATATAAGTGCTATAATTAGGTATATTAGGTTACGTATCCCCTGAGACCATTTTAATTTAGTTGGGTTTATCACCTCCGTCTCGTATCCTTTGCTTTCAACCATTTTTGTTACTAAGGCACCAACTCTTCTCAACTTTCGACCCCAATCCATCAGGGGCCACATCCAACCACCCAAATGCGACTGGTGGACCCCCAAATGCCCTTCAAAGCTAGCAATGCGCGCACCACGTTCGGCCATATTGGATACAGGGCCGGTTTTATGCCATTTATCGTGTAGCATGACTATAAGCTGTATAGCTTTTCGTGATATGCGTCACCAACGTGGAGGGTGTTGGATTGTGAATTTGATGATGTGTTTGTTTAATTGGATTGCTTTAAATCTATACCACTCGCTCTCAATGGCCACAAACGTTTTTTTAAGTCCAAATAACGAATCAAATACTTTTTTTTTGTTAGAAATAATGACTCAAATTTCATAAGAGATTTATTTGAAATTTGTTAGAGATTTATTTGAGATTTGTCAGATATTACTTGATGGATAAGAAGATTTACAAAAAAAAATTTTAAGAGAAAAATAATTCTTAATAGGTAAATTTGACTTACAAAAAAAAAAATTAAAATGAAAAGGATTCTTAATAAGTAAGTTTGACTTATAAGAAAAAAATTTTAAGAGGAGAAAGATTCTTAATGGACAAATTTGTATAATTATAAATAAGTGAAGTCTTTATAAGATTAGGTATGAGAAAAAGATGTAAGAAAGTTATAAGGTTTTGTAGGATAGACATCCAATAGGAGTATTGAGGCTCTACGTCTTATGAGTGTGTATGTTTGTTTATAAGTTAACTAGAGGACACTGAGAGGGTTCATATAAGTATGATATATAGGAGCATATGGGTATATGTTTTGCTATATTAAAAGAGTACACAAGAGTTTGAGTTTGTATTTATTTGGATTGAGAATACTTCATAAGATTAGAGGAGATTGAGAGTATCTTATGAGTATTGATTATTGAGTGAGATTGATGATTTGATGTATGTTTGTAATTTTTTATAATTAATAAATTTTATTTTTTATCCGTAAACATAAATTAATTAAATCGAATCATATTAAATTATTATTTTTTATATATTTAATTTATTATTTAATTTTACTTTCATATTAATACGATTGAATTAAAAACTTTTAACCCAATACTTCTATTGTAGAAACCAATCGATTGTCAATGGTTCTTAACGCTTCGTACCTTTTGGTGCAAAATCTCCGGTCGATTCTTTGTCCGATTCTGATAACAAATTTTCTCATCATTTACATGATTATATCTACTTTATTGGCTTGTAAATTTGTCTATAGATCAAAAGAAAAAAACCAAAAAAATAAAAAAAAAAATTCTTATGAACAACCCATCCAAATCAAGATAACACCTGTTAGTATCAACAATCATACGGAAGATCTTTCCTCTCTACAAACATTTTTGACTGGACCCTATGAGTTTGTCCTTTGGAGGCTTGAAATTTTGCAACCTAGATCTTACCAACCAATTTGTGGCCAACCCTCTTCCCTAAAAAAAGAAAAAAAAAGTAACCTTTAAATGATTAAGATTATAAAGGCATAGGATAAACTATGACCAAAAATTTACTTTAGCAGTACTCTATCGTCTTTTTTTTGTCAAAAAGGTAAACGTAGAAAATGATTATCTCAGATATTATTATAACAAAATCTTTTTATATTAATAAATTGAGACACAATATAAATTTTTATAAATTGGTTAAATTTAATATAAATAAATGTATTTTAATTGCTTTGAAATACCGGATAAATCTCATAAAATTTTCACCACTTAAAAATCTATTAGATGAGCTTAAGAAAGCAGAGAAAGCATATGGAAAAACGATGATAGAGATTAAGAAACCAACCACGAAGCAGTAAGGGTAAAAATTAAAAATAAAAATATTTAGCACAAGAAGATTCATACTTAATTTATTATTTGAATATTTTATAATTTTATTTTATAAAAAATATTTGATAAATTTAAATTTAAATTTTTATTTATATATTATAATAAATTTTTAAAATTTTTTGATGTAGGATAGATGTGTCTTCCAAATCTAATTATAGGATAAACAATGAAAATAAGGAGGTGCTTTCCTACGATGTCTCAAGTGGAGGACAGGTGGGTTTTTGGAAGCAAGAAAAAAGAGGGGTTTGCGCCACCAGCTGGCTATTGCTTAGTGAAAGACAAAGGAATGAAACATGATTTGATGTACTTTTTTTTTTTTTATGATGTTATCCTGTTAGGTAAAGGCAATAAGAATGGGAGAGTGTGGGAGATTTATTGGAGCACACATCAACCAAGTCATGCCGCTTTAAAGGTGAACTATGACCTTGGCTTGTTTAAGTCCATAGGGAGATGATGGATTAGTGAGGTGGAGTCACAAAAGCTAAGCTCCAGAGGATGAAACGCTTCCAAATCAAGCAAACGTATTGCACGCCCACACCCTTTTTTTTTTTTTTTCGGTTTTTATTACTAATTTTAAGCCGCCCGCTTCAAAAGTAGCCCTTTTATTTGCAATGGATTGATGGCAAATGTGTAAAGCATCAACTACCCCATCTTTTTACAATTGAATTTTATTATTAGAATTGAATTATATTTGAAATTAAAAATTAAACCCTTTTATCAATAAAATGCGAATGTTGACACTACCCTCACTTGTTTCAAAAATTACCTTTCTAATACAATGAAGGGAGTTTATATATATACCTTACAATCATTAATTAATTGCATTTCTATAAGTAAACTGCTTTATCACAAGATTTCTTTTATAAATACAATCATGAAAGTCTTTAATAATAGTAATAATAAAAATAATAATAATAATATTAGCCGACTAAGTAGAAATACCATATCCCACCGAAAAACCAATTTTGAAATGCCAGTCACACTGACTGGGGTTAACCATGAATTCGTGGTCCCCAATTTTCCAACCATTGGCTTATTACTTGATGGTAGAGGCTCTAGCCGGCCCCATTCATTCATTCATTCATGTGAGTTTGAATGCTGCTACTTAAGTTCAGCATGTTTCTTTCGAGACTTGAAAGGACTATTATGTAAAATACAAATTTTGAGAGGTTAAAACAATCCTGGTCAATTTTATTTCTCTTTGACTGACTTAGTAAGCTCATGGCAGTTCAATACTTCCCTGAAACAAAGGTATATTCGAAACATCTTTGAGCCTGCCCTAAACACAAGGGGATATTAAAAAGTTCTTTGATAGCTCAAGATAAAGTTTGTTTTCTTTCTAAACCTGTTTGCTGAAGAGCTGTGGCCTGTGAGTTTGATAAAACCAATTCCTTGAACTATTCTGCTCTAGTCAGTAGAAGAATATTGAAGCTGACTTGAAATTTTCAGTATTTTTGACAGTACGGAAAGAAAGTTCCATCAACTTTCTGCATAAAATTTTGACACATTAATAATAGAACAAATCTAAAACAAAGACGAGTTGAAAAAGATAGAAAAAGTGGCAAAGATGTTGTGGATGAGGAATAAAACACCACAAACAAACCTCCACTTCTGAAAATTACAAGTGGTCGTGCATTGCCTTAGAAGAGTGGGAACTGACACAAGAAGCAGTATGTTAAAAATGACCCACTTAAGAATAAACATTCATATATTCTCTTTTTCTACTTCTTAAGTACACATGCAAATATATACATATGCACATAAGATCTTGTTGAATGTGCACGCACTGTACATCATGGTTTCAAAAATGGCAGAAAAATCATTTGAAACTCCTCCTAGAAGTTCTGAAAGTTCACCAATTCTAGCCTCTCCTTTGGGTACTCCTTTGAGAAAGGTATTCAATAGAATTTCAGGTTTTGCTTCAACTTGGGGTGGGAAAACAGCCTCCCCAGGTCGTAGGATTTTCCATAGGGATGTGGAACAGGAAGAGTTCCAGTATGCAAGTGCTCATTGTCTCTCATCATACTATAGTGTTTTTGTAGCTCGCCTTGCCATCATGGTTAGTACAAATTTTCTTTTCACATTTTGTTATTTTTACTTATTAGAATTTCAATCATTTGAGTGTGAATTTGATCAACCTGAGCATATATATCTTAAGAATTTAGCTCATATAATTGAACTGAAGTTTTTGCATATATGGTTTATGCAATAATATATCTACTATGTATGATGAAATTAATTAAGCCATGGCCATCACCGCAGAAGCATTGATCAGATGCTTTAGAGGCATGAAATGAAACAACATACATATTGCTTCTCTCAGCTCATTGACACTCCACTGATCCAATTTTACTATTTGGTCTTGTATCCCTCAGCCAAAACCTCGAGTCATGTATGTAAATCATTTTTTTATTTTCTACCAGAGAACTCATCATGGTCATTTCTCTTCTTAATTTCCATGCTGATAGTCAAGATTTTTTTTTTATGGGTTGATTAATTAGTGCCTTTTCCTAACGTCTCTTTCAGGTCATGCTTGCTATTTTGATTGGGCTGCTAACAATTCTAACATGGCATTTTACAAGGATGTATACAACAAAATCACTAAACACCTTAGCTTTTGGTCTTCGTTATGAACTTCTTCAGTGGCCTATCTTACGGATGTGGAACGTCTTAAATTCTACCTCAGAAATAACAACTGCCCAGGTCAAGTTGTCAGAATATGTAATCAGGCGGTACAGCAAGGCTACCACTCAGGCAGAGCAAGTTGAGGTTGATCCTTGAGTTATTTTCTTCTCTCTGAACTGTGTTATCAAGTGGCAATTTAGTTTTGAAAGGAAATTTCTATTAAGTAACCTTTTTCTTTTTTTTTTTTTGGTTGATTTCTTGCACTCTTAGCAGCTGTATCAAATGATGAAAGACATAACATGGGCACTATTTGCCAGTCGTAAAGCTCTTAATGCCATAACCATAAATTACAAAAATGGATTTGTCCAGGCATTCCATAGAGACCACAGGAGTGACAACACATTTTATATCTACTCTGATCTTGCAAATTATTCAATCAGTGGCAGTGGCAGTGAGTCTTATGGCAACAAAATGCTTTCATCGCGACAAGGGTGGAATGACCAATTCATTCGCGGTAATGTTTCTGCAATATGGTACCGTGAACCACTTGATCCTGTCACTGGGGAGAAGACAGGAAAGGCACTGCCAGTTCCACCAGATGATCTTATCTATATAGCAGGCCCTTCTCAAGTGCCTGATGGGGTGGCTTCATGGCATGTTGCAGTCAGTAAGTATACAGATTCACCGTTGCTTTCTGCAGCACTGCCAGTATGGGACGCTTCGAATACTAGTATTGTAGCTGTTGTAGGTGTCACCACTGCACTTTATAGCGTAGGCCAGTTGATGAAAGAACTGGTTGAAGTGCATAGTGGATACATATATTTGACCTCACAAGAGGGTTACTTACTGGCTACATCCACAAATGCTCCTCTTTTAAAAAATACAACAAAGGGGCCCCAGCTTATGATGGCTGTTGATTCAGAGGATCATGTGATACGAATGGGAGCTCAGTGGTTGCAGAAAGCCTATGGTAACAAGTTTCCTCCTGGTCATGTGGTTCATGTGGAGACGGCCAATCTTGGCGGCCAGCATTATTACATTGACTCATTTTTTCTGAACCTAAAACGATTACCTATGGTAAGTTCAGAAAATATTTCATATCTTTCCTAACATTAAAATTACGCATTGGATCATTGGATACATATTCAGACTTTCAGGTCCCAATGAAGATATCACAGAGATGGTCTCTTTATGTTTCAATTAGATTAGACATAGTACTAATGTAATGTTTATCACTGTTTGAAAAGACACTAAAATTGGTTAGAAATGGTGCAGGTTGGAGTAATCATCATTCCAAGGAAGTATATAATGGGGAAGGTCGACGAAAGATCCTTGAAAACATTGGTCATATTAATATCTGCATCTGTATGTATCCTAGTAATTGGATGTGTCTGTATTTTGATACTGACAAATGGAGTATCAAAGGAAATGAAGCTCAGAGCAGAGTTGATAAGTCATCTTAATGCAAGAAGAAGAGCTGAAGCATCAAGCAACTATAAAAGCCAGTTCCTTGCAAATATGAGGTAACCAATTTCAACACCTACATGTTTGTTTAGTTATTTTGCCTCTAGGAGTAGTGCTTAAAAACTCATTAGCTGAGCCACTATATTCCATTCATCAATTAAATTTGCCTTGACACTTCCATTGACTCCTTGTTACACATCATGGTTGCACCTTATTGATCGTTTGTGTTACAGTCATGAACTAAGGACGCCTATGGCTGCTGTTATTGGATTGTTGGACATTCTTATCTGCGATGACTGTCTTACAAATGAACAGTATGCAATGGTTACCCAGATCCGTAAATGCTCCACAGCTCTACTTCGGCTTCTCAACAACATATTGGATCTGAGCAAGGTGAGATACTGAACAAACCAATTATGGAATTGGAAATATCAAGTAAATATATGCTTAGTAGTTCTTAAGATCAAAGACCACCTTTTAAATTAAAAAAAAAAAAGGAGTATAGAGAAGAGTTTTCATCCATATGTATTAAGTTGTAACTTTTATGTAACTCCACCTTCTGCAGTGTTAATCAACTTCAAAACTATAGAATTAAGGGTCCTTTAGGCACGATTAAATAAATGTCATCAGAGAAATTTCTGAGCAACATTTCATTCTTCAATTAGAAGCCTTTTTAATGCCTTAGTTGATGACAGAAGAAAAATAAGAGAAATAAAACTGTATAAGAGTTTTAACTACCATAGTTTAACGGTTGCTGCATAATTGCTGTAACCATGTAAGTTTAGTCAGTCAAGGATTTTCTAATTGTTCACTTGTTGAAGCAAGATGAGAAACTGGGAGCAGTTACTGGTTCAGAAATCATAGATTATAGAACTTATCTATGATAGTGCACCTTCTGAACTTGGAAATCACACCCAAATCATTGTTTTCCAAATATTTCATAGGTTGAATCTGGAAAACTGGTGTTAGAAGAAGCTGAGTTTGACTTGGGACGGGAACTTGAAGGACTCGTCGATACGTTCTCAGTACAGTGCATTAACCACAATGTGGAGACTGTTCTGGATCTCTCTGGTATGACTCAAACTTATGATCTAATTATACATGTATCTGAATACAGACATTATCTAACCCTTTTCCTTTTTTTTTTTTTTTGTTACATATTTTCAGATGATATTCCAAAATTAGTTAGAGGAGACTCTGCCAGAGTTGTTCAAGTTTTTGCAAATCTAATAAGCAATTCCATCAAGTTCACAACATGTAAGATGAACATTAATATCGCTCATTTTTACTCTAGTTTATATTGTAAGCTACTACACACTACACCATTGGACTGGAACCAAGATAACTATTTTCTACTGGTGTCAGGATTCAGGACGGATGTGTAGGACGGAATGCCAATGCATCTATAGTGCATAGAAGTTAGAACAACCAAAACAATTAACAAGCCAGATGCTTTCATTAAAATGGGAAACAAATATTTAGATTAAAACCATATTTAAGTCATCTAAGTAAGTCAAGGATAGACTGGTTCTCTATGGTTTTGGACAAGATTGAGGTTGAAGATAATGAAAAGTCTCTTCTTTTCAGGTGATTTCTTTTAAAGGAGGGGTGCAACATATGACTATATGATTGAGAGTTAATTTTGGTTGTAAGTGATTATTTTGCTCTTAAGATAAGAGATCTTTACCCCTGTTATGCTTCTCCAATTAACTAAGTACTCATGAGTCATAAGCAAGAGCTATGTAAAACTGTTTTCCAATATCTTTTTGAATTTAAAATTCTTTCGACTCACTCCTTGTACTGTTGGTTAATAATTCACATTCATGGACAAGTATATTGAATTGTTTGTATGGTTTTAGACATACAAACTTCCAAGAGTTAAACCCTTTAATCAAATCAGGTGATAACATGGAAAGTAAGAGCCTTGATTTGATTTAGACAAGCTTTTGTTGCATTCATTCTAACATCCAGCGGAGCAAAACTCAATATATTTTTCAAACACATTAAGAACAAGTATCGTAGATAAGTAACTAAACAATACTATTAAAGCATATACAATAGGGATGATGATTCATTACACTCCAACAGAACTTAACTTTAGAGATAACTTGCATGATTAACTGTTTCAAATGGCTTTCAGCGGGTCATATCATCCTGCGTGGATGGTGTGAAAATCCCAATGTGTCTAGTAATTATGGGAAGTTTTCTCCCGATCAGAAGAAACCACTGTCTGCACTAAAGACCAAGTTGAAGCAACATGGAAACCATATGAAGAAGGCCAGCAAGAGAGACAACAAAATGATTCTTTGGTTTGAAGTTGATGACACCGGTTGTGGTATGATTCTTTGTTTTTAAAACAGTACGAATTTTATATGTATTGTAAATGGAACCTGTTCCATTTCGAGGTAGCTTGTACCATTTATCTTCCATGATCTGCAGGAATTGATCCAAGCAAATGGGAATCTGTGTTTGAGAGCTTTGAGCAAGCTGATCCTTCAACAACTCGGACGTAAGTACTTTAAGCAAGATCAGATTTTTACAAGCTGGTCAATTGAAAAAAATGGAAATTAATTTAATGTGGAAGAAATCCATGGACGGATTAAGAAATGTAATGTACAGAGATTTTGTTCTAAGATCTTTTTTGCTTTTCAGGCATGGTGGCACAGGTCTTGGACTATGCATTGTGAGAACCTTGGTAAGTGAAGTGTCTTGACACAGAAATTCATGGTCCATTACAATACCATTCTACATGTGAAATTACATCATACTGAAACCATGTGGACAAACAAGAAGAAATTCTTAAGAATAATGACAGTTTTTTGTCTTTTATAATCAACTGCACAAAATGATGTATTGCATCTCTCCTGCGCTCATACTGTCGATGACAGGTTAACAAGATGGGTGGAGAAATCAAGGTTGTAAAAAAGAATGGTCCTGGAACTCTAATGAGACTATTCTTGCTCCTCAGTACTCCTGCAGATGGCACAGAACAACATGATCAAATGGATTTTGCAAAGTACAGTGTAGCGGTGAGTGAAGTTTTTCTCTTTGAAGCTGCAAACATTTTTTCCCATTATTTTTGTTGGTCACCTTATAAGTTTGAATTTCGTTTTGCATAAAACCAAAAAAACAAAGATCTTGAGACTCGATATTGCAGCTTGCATTCAGGTTTTTGAGAGAGCATTTTACACTGTCATCTTTATCCTGATATGCATTCTGAGGGAGTGCACATTAGAGTACAAATAGTGAGTATTCTGTCTAAACCTTATCCGTTAAAAAAACAGTTCTATTTTCTGCTTGCCTGAGCATCAGCCAGGGAGTTTGCCAATTCTGTTATGGTTAGAACTTAGAATTTATTGTCAGGCACTCGAAAAAAAGCCTACGGTCAAAGCAACAATAACATATTTAAAACATGAATGCAGGTGATCCTTGCCCTACACGGCAGCATGGCTAGATTTATTATGTCCAAGTGGCTGTCTAGAAATGGAGTACCCACTTTGGAAGCATCCGAGTGGAATGAACTGACACAAATCCTTCATGAACTTTTTCATGCCAGGACTGGTAATTGTGGTTTTGACACTCATTATTCACTAGGTGAACCTCTGAGATCTAAAGTACACAGCCTACAAGACATGAGGAACCCAGTTTACATCATAGTTGTTGATCTGGAGCTGCTTGACTTGAGCACCGATATATGGAAAGAACAGCTTACTTTTCTCGACAAATTCTCTGGCCAAGTGAATTTTGCATGGATACTGAATCATGATACTTCCAATGCAATAAAGATGGAGCTTCGCAGGAAAGGACATATATTGATGGTTAATAAACCATTGTACAAGGCAAAAATGATTCATATTTTGGAAGCTGTCATAAAGGAGAGATATGTTGAACTTCAAAATACAAGTCCAAATGGAACAAAAGGTAGAGCAAAAGAAGGTGATTCTCATGAATGTCTCGAAATTGATTCAACTCATTTTGAGACTTGCAGCTCTGATGGTTCTGATACTTCTATGAGTTCTGTGCACACTGGAGAACAACCAAGAGAAAGAACCATAAAATCTAATCCATCAAACTGCCAGACAGTTAAGAACTGCCTAGTTGAATTCACCCATTTAGGTTCAGAAGCGAACAATCCGAGGGCAGAAGAGGACCAATGTAATGCCAAAGATAGAGATAATTTATATACAAGTAAGGCAGCAAATGGACAGAAATCTCTTGAAGGCCTACGGATACTGCTTGCAGAAGATACACCTGTTCTCCAAAGAGTAGCAACCATAATGCTGGAAAAAATGGGAGCCACAGTAATTGCTGTTGGGGATGGGCTGCAGGCTGTAGACGCCCTGAGCTGCATGCTTTGCGGAGAAGAGCATAGAAGGGAGTCCTCATTGCAAGGATTGCAGACAGAAATTTGTGATTCTCCTCCATATGATTTGATTTTAATGGATTGTCAAGTAAGAAATCATTTAGAAGATAATGCAATCCAACAGTCTACATATCAAAAGGGAAAATTCAGAAACTGAAGCATTGTTTGGTTAGCAGAAACTAAAGTGATTCGAAAGAAATGCCAACTAAATAATGCTTCATGCTGACCTACTCATAGCATTTTATCATATTTTCCCAACTACATTATGTTGTAGTGTTTAACTTTTTTGTCTTCATGTTAAAACAGATGCCAAAGATGGATGGATATGAAGCAACAAAAGCAATCAGGAAATCAGAAGCAGGGACCGATTGGCACATTCCCATTGTTGCCTTGACAGCCCATGCAATGTCATCAGATGAAGCAAAATGCTTGGAGGTGGGCATGGATGCTTATCTAACAAAGCCAATTGACTACAACTTGATGGTGTCCACCATTCTTTCACTCACTAAAAGATCAGCCTAAAGTTTCCTGCTGAGCAAAGTTGCTAACCAAAGAAAAATGTTTTAGGCGGCTTCAAAGGTAAAGATGGATGCTAGTTTTTTGGAGAAAAAAAAAAAAGAGTTTAACATGTCCATTGTACGTAGGAGTATAAGCAATTTTCCTGTCTTAGAAAGTGCTTTTATCTACATATGAATAATTTCATGCTTGGGTTGTTTTTTTAGTTAATGTAACAGGACAATATGTAAACAGCCAAAGCCAAGTATTAATCTATCTATATCTATGTTTATATATGTATAGCCATGCATCCATCTTTAAAAATAACATTTAATAGGTTTTAAATTTAAATTTCAAGATTTATAATTTTTTTTTTATTTCCAAATTGTGATCTCCTTTGCATAAAAGGAGAATGAAATTTAAAATTGCAAATAGTACGTAATATGCTTATTCTAAATGTTTAAATTAAAAGTTATTCCAAGTTTGGAAACTTATGCAACCAAAAAAAAAAAAAGGAAAAATTAGCAAAATCGTAATACCCCAGCTCAAATAATAATTGGGTTAGACTATTACTAAAGTTCATTAAATTAATTACAAGGTTAATTACTAAAGAAAAAAATGTTTGAGTGTTTTACTAGAAAAAAACCTAGTATTGTGAAATAGAAAAGAAAATACAAGTTCTTCTTTTTCATCTTTCCTAAGGTTAGAGAGTATGAAAAATCAAGTAAAGGATCCAAAATTAGAGAATACAATCGAATTAATCTTCTAAAGGTGAGTATATGTCATCTTTTTATTAAAAGATGTGCTATGTTGGTTACTATTATTTTGAGTTGAAGTTTTAAGAGAAAAATCAAGAAAAATTATAAAATCTGTCATTAATCTTCATGATCTATTTAGGTAAATTATTGGGTTTTGTTTATTTCATGTTCTTAAATTTTATTGATGATTATTGAATCGAGTTTAAAGACTGAAAGTGGATATTTGAGTTTTTAAAGATTGAATGAGAATTATATTTTTGAATAAGACTTTATGATTTGCAATAGTAAAATAAAATAAAATATTATATTAATGGACAGATTATTATTATAAGTATTATATATTGTTGAAAAGCTTGTTGAATCTACTTTCTAATGAAACAAACGGCAGTCAAATTCGAGTTTTTTATGAAGAATTGTCTAATTTTTACTTAAGAATATGCAAGTTGTAAGGTAGCAACATCAAGGTTGAATTACGAAAATTGTTTAAATTTTTGTGAAATGATTTACAGATTAAGTCGTATATGTTTAGAAAGTTTATTAAGTTTACTTTCCAACGAAACAAGCGGAATTGAATTTAGAATTTCTTATGAATAAATACGTAATTTTTGTTAGAACGTATATAGGTTGTTTGGCAACAGCATTTGACGTGAATTTCAAAAATTATTATAATTAATCTACTATGGATTACAAGGTAGGCCATATATAGTTAGAAAGCTTATCAAATTTAGTTTTTAACGCATTAAAGAGATCTTAATTTCGATTTGGATAAATTGACATGTGATCATTTTAATGAAAGAAGGTTAGGTTACCAGTATTAGTTAGTTGAGTTAACTTTTGTTTAACTTAATTGTTTTTAGTATCATTACTCTTGAAATGGGTTGATTAATTTTTATTATGTTGAAATTATCTTGAATAGGCCATTAATTATTTTGAGAGAAAAACTAAGCAGTAAAATTGAAAAAATGTAAGTAAAATCTCACACATTTTGTTTGTTTTCAAACTTATGTATATATGTATGTTTTTAAATGAGTAAATGTTTTATTTTATTTTTTTTGATAAATGAAAATAAAACCAAGTATATGATTATTTTGTGTTTTTGCAATGAAAATGATGGATCATGCGTATGAATAAAATAAGAAAATGATTTATATTTAAGGAATAATTTTATGATAACTACATTTTTATATCTCCAAAAAGTAAGATCATCAACATCAGAATTAGTTCTATAATCCTGACTAACGAGTTATAATAATTAGCATAGCCATGATCATATAACCCTACTAACAGGTTATAGGAGTTAACATAAGGCTCTGGCTAGTGAGTTATAATAGTTAACAATGATCATGATGATGATGAAATTATTAACATGCAAAATGTCACGGGTTATAGTAGTGACCATAACTAACAATAAACAAATGATAATGATGATGATTTACGATGATTTTTAATGATCAATTTATGATTTGGTTTGATTACGATATTTGAATGATAACATATTTTGCAATGATTTATGAATTGATATGTTTTTATATTGATTTATGAATTTACTAAATGTTTGACACAACAATGATTTTTGAAATATTTTGACATTATAATTTAACAAATATTTTAAAATGATCTATATGATATGTATGAAAAATATGCTTGATCCGATAAGATGTGTGAACTTATACTTGTTGAGCTGTGATTTACTCATTCTTTTTTTATTTTTTATTTTTTATAAATGAGTAAATGATAAATTTGGTTGCTCTTGTGAAAAGCTAGAAGATTAAAATAAAAAAAATTACTTAGTTGTCAAAGATAATATTGGTCAATGAGATATTATTAATGGTTTTGTATTTTATATAGTTTATATTTGAATATATAAAAATTATCATTAGTTGGATTAAAAATATAAATTTTACTTGACAGATTATTTTATTAAAAAATTTTAAAATAATTAAAAAAAATTTGTATTACTTTAAAGTTTTATTTTAAGATAATATGATTATATTATATTTTGATATCGAGGCATGACAAAAATACTCTTTATTTCTACTTTTTACTTACCACAAATTTGTTAGAAATAAAAATAATAAGTAGCAAAACTAAACTTGACTTAAAATGAATAAATAACTAAAAATTTTAATACTTTCAAAATTGAAAATTAAAAGTAAAGTTTAAACATAATTTTCTTCGTATACTTTTTTTTATGTGATTCATAAAAACTTTATTTGTGTGGATGATTCTTGAAAAATACTTTTCTTCATTCAAACACAAAATAGTAAAGATAATAATACTAACAGAATGAAACCTCTAGCCCTTCTAACATTTTTTTCTGTTCATGAACAAAAGGGAAAATGCATAATTGGCCCTTTTCCTTTTTTATTTTTAAATTTGGTCAACATGTATCTGTAAAGATTTTTATTTTAAACGCCAACTGAAAAGGAAAGCTTCAGCAACTCTCCAAATCAATACCAAAAGGAAATCCAAGGAATAGAAGAAAATGGCGAGATACGACAGAGCGATCACTGTGTTCTCGCCGGACGGCCATTTGTTCCAAGTGGAATATGCCCTCGAAGCCGTCCGTAAAGGTAACGCCGCCGTCGGTGTCCGCGGCACCGACATCGTCGTCCTCGGCGTCGAGAAAAAATCCACCGCCAAGCTCCAGGACTCCAGGTTTTCTCTTTTTGCTATACTATACCTCCACTTACATATTTCCGTTTTGCCTCTTAAAAATCGATTCTTTCGTACTTAATTTTTGTTCAAAATAAATTTAGGGTTAGGGTTATATGATTTGATTTAGAACTAACGGGACTCCACATTGCTTAGCGTAAGCCTATGTTTTTGATGTGTTCTTATTTAGATGAGGATTTTTTTCCCAAAAGAATTGATCTTTTGGCCTAAGTAACGAAAACTGGTTTTCAATAAAGATTTTTTTTTTCTTTACTCTAATAATTCATCTTGATGACGTAGAAACTAGAAAGTTTAGGGATTTTATGACAAAGACATGTATTAAAGAAATCATTTGAGGTTTTGAATTTCCTCAAAGTAGGCTGTTCTTGACCCTTTTACTTCTTCTATCGTGTAGATCGGTTAGGAAGATTGTGAACTTGGATGATCACATTGCATTGGCATGTGCTGGACTCAAAGCAGATGCTCGCGTCCTCATAAATAGGGCTAGGATTGAATGTCAAAGTCACAGGCTGACTGTTGAAGATCCGGTAACCGTCGAGTATATTACTCGTTACATTGCAGGTCTTCAGCAGAAGTACACTCAAAGTGGAGGCGTTAGGCCATTTGGTCTCTCGACACTGATTGTGGGCTTTGATCCATATAGCGGTGTACCATCACTTTATCAGACAGATCCATCAGGTACATTTTCCGCTTGGAAAGCTAATGCAACTGGGAGAAACTCTAACTCGATACGAGAGTTCCTAGAGAAGAACTATAAGGAAACCTCTGGACAAGAAACCATTAAGCTTGCAATTCGTGCATTGCTTGAGGTTAGTTCTTCATTTGTTTACTTTGTTTTCAAGTGTTTGCTCTTCATTTAATGAATGATACACATTTTGCTGCTTCTCAGTTGTCAGTTGTTGAATCCACAGAAATATGAATTAAATCTATCTTTAACTTGAAGTCATTCTCCCGAATGCCATATGCCTTTTAAGATCATGCATGGCCTTACAGAAATGACATGGTTTATCAACCTGAGCCGCTAGAAAATGGAATATGCCTAAATCATAATTATGAAATGGAGCAAAAGACTTGCAACTTGGTCGTTAATGCTATTATGTTTCCTGAGAAAGTAATGATTTCATTACTGCTTTATTTTGAAGGAGCATAAGAACCTATGAAAAAAGTTTTAAGTATTGTTTGTGCCATATCATGTAGTAATTGTTTCTTCCAATACATTGCTAGTTGGAAGCATGATGGCAATAGAGATTTGCATGTTGAAATTATACACTTGTTGCCAGATTGTAGAATAACATCTTCAGAAGTTTAGTTGTCTTTGTAGGTTAAAGTATACCTTTTTGCTGCTACACCATTCAACATCAGATTATGCGGTTGATTGTGTGGCTTACTAACATGGTAAAGGTAAAGGTTCATGTTTTATGCCGAACAAAGACTGCTTGTCTTTATGCGTCTCTTGCATGCAGGTTGTTGAGAGTGGGGGAAAGAACATTGAAGTTGCTGTGATGACAAAGGAGCATGGCCTGCGGCAGCTTGATGAAGCTGAAATTGATGCCATTGCAGCTGAGATTGAAGCAGAGAAGGAAGCAGCTGAGGCTGCAAAGAAGGCCCCTCCAAAGGAAACATGAAGCATCAACTGTTGACTTCTATTCTATTCACTTTTCTCTCCTTTTCTTTTTAGGGGGGTGGTGCCTGGGGGGTTGTCCGGGGTTTCTTAGTAGTCGATTATTGATGTATTGGCCTCACACTTGGACCCGGTGGAGCTTCATCATACACATGATGGATTTTTTTTTTTTTTAGCCATTGTTGGCATTTTATTTGCTTTAAGGTATTTCAATTATGAATTTCAACAGTTCCTAGAAGTTGAAGCTATTTCTGCAAATGTTATGAAATTGTTTTGACACTAAAAAGAAAGCAACCAATTCATTTAATATGCAAAAGGCTTGCAAAGATTAAACAGTAAGATTCTGTTTGCTTGTTAAGATCAATTAATTGAGATTACGTCTTTCATAAACAAAATCAATGAGATTATGGGTTTGTTGTACTTTAGCTTGGGCAATAAAACTCTGCTATCAAAACCCATCTTCTTCTAAGCCTGTAAGGATTATTGTCCGTGGCTGTGGAAAGGTTTGAAATCTGCCCAAAATGTTAATGACAAGAGCATAAATTTTGGCCCATGCAGGTTTCGAACCTGCGACCTTCGCGTTATTAGTACGACCGAACCAGCTGAGCTAACAGACCACTGGTTGTGAGTAGACTTAAATTTAGAAGAACTGTATCTCACAAATTCGTAAGATTTTCAAACAAGAAGCAGAAGAATCCAGAAGGCACAGAAGGCAAAGAAATCAGATGCAAAGCAATCAAGAAGCAGAAGAAACCAGAAGGCAAAGCAATCTACAAGCATGAAAGAAGATTACGAGGTACTACTTACTACCCGTTTCAATCTCTCTTTACCCCTACTTTTTTTATTTAATAATAATAAAGTGATTAACTTTCCGATTGATACGACCCTTTGCTGAGTCTCTTCCTTCTATGGGACCAAACCTTATTCCTTAAATCTCTTGTTGTTAGTAGTTTTGGATTAAAGAAAATTTACTTACCCAGAAAAAGAAAAAAAAAAAAAACCAACGAGATTCTGATACCCTTTCTTGTCCCTGTCTACTTACTTTAATTTTTTTAATCTCCTTTGTTATTTGTCAACAATTTTTCCTTCTTATAACTGCGTTTAATTGCAAAATTTTCCGGTTAATATATCTCTTTATAACGTTTCTATATATGGATAATCAATTACCATGTATGTAATTTGATCGGATGCTGAAAATTTCTTGGCTCTTCCGGGCATTTGGAGTTCCTGGTTTAGAAGGTGAAAATCATTAGCAATTCCTTATTCTGTGACATTTTTCTGATGAGGGGCAGTGTAGGTTAGAAGTTGGCAGAGTAATTTTTCTATTAACATTTTGTGGATTATGGCATTTTTTTAGCATTTCAAATTCATTTCATTTTCTTTCTCGGTGGAAACATAGGTTTGATCACATGAATGAAAGAGACTCAACCAAGGTTGAAACAAGGAGATTGGGAAAAAAAAAATTCAAGCATACTGGATTTATGAACTTGATTTTGATGTGTGGGTTTCCATATCTTGTTTTGAGAGGCATAGCTGCATGAACATCTCTTCCCCGCTGTCTGGATGGGGTTCACTAGGGTACGGTGTTCAAAATGCCGAATTGTTCCCTCAGGGTGTGATGATCTATCATCTAAGCCTGCGTTGTGAAATAGATAGGAATATGTGAATAGCAATTGAAATCCATATGGATCAATAAATTCAGGATTAAATCTTAATTGACTCTGGTTGATTCATTTCGAAACAAAATCGGCATGCAAGTTTTTTGTTCTCCTTCATGTTTTCTTATCACAACCTTATCAAAGTTGGAATAATTTCAGTTTACTGTTTCAGTTGCTTTTGATCTCTCTTACATAGTAACTGATGCTAAATGATCTGGACTCAAGATTGTTATTCTCCTCCTTAACATAAAGCTGTTGACCTACTTCATTCTCTTTCTTATCGTATCAATTTTGTCAGATTGAAGAGAAAAAGCAAGCTGCTGCTGATGTACTATTTCAATATTCAAAATTTGCAATGGCATGCATTGGAAACCAAGTTCGTCCTTGTGACCTGAGGCTGCATTTGATGAAGGTAATTTGGAAAAAAGGGTTACAATTTTATCTCTTTTTGGCTCTATTTTATGCTTTTGCAATGGCATTTTAGAATGGCTGCATGTGATACCATGCCGTCAGATGATGTGAACTCTCCTGTCCTGTTTATGAAGAGTTCAATCCTCATGGAGAGTTGTTTTTTACCCTTGTTTAGGAAATGTCAGGGCTGCCATAATTCAGGTCTAGATAATTGACAGTAGTTTTTTCCCCTGGTTTAGGAAATATCAGGGCTGCCAACTTCTCTGAAGAGAGCTTCATCCCAAGCTGCTGCTTCTCCTGATGCAATGGGCGAGTCATCAAGCTCAGGTACAGCAAGGCTTGATAAAAAAGCTGATAAAGCTGATAAAGGAGGCGACTGAGCGTGGTTTCGATATAACTTTAAGTGGCATTAAGAATGCTTGATGTTCTGGATGTTTCTCGCATTGCAGCGGCTACACGCCCCTTTCAATTTCAACTTCCATGTAAACAGTCTACTTCTTGCTGTAGTAGATGCTTTGTGCAATTTAGTGCAATTTAGGATGTTCTAAAGATGTTATTGGGAATTGTTTAGTTTGTTTGATATGGGTATTTTGCATCGTGACTTGCTTATTTATTAGTTCAAATTTACAAAATCCTTCCATTTTATTGTTTGTTCTCTTTATCCTGCATCACAAGGTAGTTTTTGCTTGAAAATTGTGGTCTCACCACATATCATGACATCATCAGTACCATCATCATTTAATGCTTAATCTGACCAGATAAATCTTTTTCTGGACAAAATGCAATGAAGCTCGTGTGTGTCATCTCTCATGAATTTGTTTTTGTATAAACCTTAACGAAACAATCATGATATCATCTTGATAACTAAATTCTATTGCTGGTTTCGACTGCATGTTATGAAATAAACTAAATGATGAGAATTAAAAATTGAAGATGAAAAGACATCTTGTGAATTGCAGAATTTTCTCAATCCACGTTGCCTTACCTAACTTGTGACCTTTGTCCATGGTAACCTACTATGTAGGTTCATTGGAGCACGAACCTCCTTCTAGAATTAATATCAACTATGATGTTCTATGTTAGTCACAGAAACACGTAACACAACATCAGCAGGAAGAAATTAAGGGGGGGTTTTTTCAGGTTACATGGTCTAGCTGCCAGTCTCAATCACTCCGAGGTTGTCATTCCTGGGGAAAGAAACGGTAGCTAAAGTTTTTAAGCACCAGCAAATCAAGCCAGGAAGGAATAGACTTGCTATAGGGAAGCCCTGTGGTCCAACATTCAAGATTTTTGCTCAATTTTTTATCCTCCAAACCTCTTTGACTTTTGGCAAGCGGCTGTAAGTTTCTGTTTTGACAAAGGCTAATTGCTCTGCCTGTCTCATCCATGGACAAAGCATATGGTCATGGTTCAACGAAGCCAACTTTTTTCCCAACGGGCCCCTAGTTAGCGTTACATACGGAAACGTAACAGCATCTGTTTTATCACTTGAATAGATAGATAACATCCCTTCTTTTCAAGGGACATGTAACGGCTGATAAAGCTAAGTCCAGATTGATTATAGTTAGGCTATTTTGTCAGCAATTTGCTGAGGTGTTGGATAAGGAAGAGAGGCAAACAACATAGCACAGACAAGTTTCACGAATCCAGTTTTGTTTTTGTACGCAGTCAGCAGCCGGCACAATAATTGTTTGGTAGGTAGATCTGTGTAAGATGGTATCAAACTAGCAATGAATATTGTGAAGTTGGCAATTGGCATGGCCTCTCTCTTTCTCTCTCCGGCTCTCGCTTTCACTCCTGTTCTCGCTCTTCTTTTATGCATGACTGAGATAGGTTACCGACTCCTCCGGGTCCCTGTTACTTTCTCCTTCCATCTTCCAAGGTTGTTCATTAATCTACACCGGTCCTTTTTTTTCCAGATGAAAAAAAAATGATTGTCGAGAAACAGTCAATAATCCTTCGGAAAATAGATTTTATCAAAGATTTGAATATGTGGACAAACATTCCTAAATCTTCACTGAACTATTGTCAGTTCATAAAGCTTCGAGTGTTCCATTATAAAACAAGTCACTGGCCAGAAAACAAAATTATAAAACTAGTCAAGTAGATTTTGTAAATATACAAACCAGAGGGGAATTAGAGAAATTTAAACACATAAATTACTAGTATCGATTTTGCTATCAATTCATGTACTGTGTACATAACTTCTCAATTCAACCCCAACCTTCTGTAATCCAAAACGCCATTCGTCAAGCACAAAAACTCAGATGTTCTACTTCTACTGCCCCAGAAGTGCACCCCTTGCCGTTTCGTAGTCCCAAACTACAGTAGAAACAAGTGACTCTTCTGTCTCTTTTCTCCACTATCTGAGATGGGTGTGAAGAAGGAGGACTTATCCGCAGCTCAAGATTCAATTCTGGATACTTTTCTCCTTCTGGGTTGCTGTGGTTTATGCAAGTAAGCTCATTATTGGTCTTCACAGCTTCTCTTAGAACTTTAGTAGATAAGACCTTATCTGTGCTGTGAATAGCAGTTTGTTCATTGATTGGTCGATGCGTTAAGGGGTCAATACCTCTGCTCAATAGCTTCCTCTTTATGTGGGTATTCCAGTGATTCTTGATATCATTATCTGTTCTTCCAGGTAGCCTTGCTGCTATTATTGACCACCTTAACGCAGAAACAAAAAGAAATAACTAATTTACCATCTCAGTTAACAGAGATGGAGAAATAATTCAAGAGATTTCCGAGACTTACTTGTTACCAAGGAGGCTATGTAGCTTGATGATGAGTTCATCTTCTTCATCAGTAAAATTACCCCGCTTAACATCAGGGCGCAGATAGTTAATCCATCGAAGACGGCAACTCTTACCACAACGGAGAAGGCCAGCAGCTTTTGGGAGGGATCTCCAACAACCTTCTCCATGGGCTTGGATGTAAGCTATGAGACGCTCATCTTCTTCTCTAGTCCATGCTCCTTTGTTTGTGTGACCTTTCTCACAACAAGGGGACCTGCCCATTTAGTCCTGCTAACAACAATAGACTTTGCACTAATTTTGGCAATGATTTTTTATAGCTTGGTGGGGATTTGGCAAAGAGGGTGGATTGCTTTTGCTATGCTAGATATTGGAGTAAGGGATATGGATGTGGTTGGTGCAGTCTAGTTAAAGAAGCAGCAGGATTTCTAGTACGACAGTGTCCAAGTCATTCAATGCTGCTTAATGTAAGTTGGTAAAACAGGAAGTTTTGTGGGCGAAGGCGAACCTTCATCCACCCGGCCACTTGCATGCATTGTAATTACAAAATAAAACATGCAAAACATATGAAATTTAACAAAGCCACATCGCTCTGTAACAACATGCCTGCTACATGGGACGATTTTTAAACGCCATCACTGTCAATTGTACCAAAATTTTGGTCCGTGCCTAGCTGAGTTTGGTTAAAAATAACGTAAGCAACTATTAATTTACTCACATTTAACTTAGGATGTATTATACATTTTAACTTAAAAGTTTTACAATTATATCTTATAAAAAATATTTTATATATTTAAATTTAGATCTTTACATATATATCATAACAAAATTTTAAATTATCCCGACATAAAGTATACACTAATTATAAAATCATACCATGTAGCATTTAACTCCTGTAAGATTTTAGATATGACTCTTACAATGTAGCACTTAACTTTAGTCTGATGATTGCTTTGATATCATTTATGGAGACACATACTCAACCTACGAGATATTATCCATTTTTACTCAAAAATCTCATAGTTTTCTCTCGCAAAAAATGTCTCACAAGTTTAAATTTAGATCTTTAAATGTATATCATAGTAAAACTTCAAATTATTCCGATATGCGACTGGGGTATTACAAAAAATTTGTGGAAATTCACACGTAATTTAGGAGGTATTGTTTGTTTTAACCCAAAAATCTCATAGTTATTTCCCACAAAAAGATATCTCACAAATTTAAATTTAGATCTCTACATATATATTATAGCAAAACTTCATATTATCTTGATATGGGATTGGGGTATTACAAAAAATTTATGGAGACTCACACCCAACCTATGAGGTATTGTTCGCTTTAACTCGAAAGTCTTATTGTTTTGTCTCACAAAAAATACCTCATAAGTTTCGATTTAAATTTCAACATATATATCATAATAGAATCTCAAATTATCTTGATGTGAGATTGAGGTATTACAAACTCCTTCATTATAACTTGATATTCTTATCAAGCTCAACACAAAACACACAAATCTACTGAATCACATCAAATATTAAGCAAGCCTAACACAAAGCATACACAGATCACAAGATCACACTAGACATTAAAATTTTAGATGTAACTCTCAACGTGTAGTACTTAACTTCCGTTCTACTAGTGATCGTTTTAATACCATTTAAGAATATTCATACCAAACCTACGATATATTGTTCATTTTGAGTCAGAGATGTTATGATTTTACCTCACAAAAAATATTTTACAAATTTGAATTTAAATCTTAATATTTATATATCATAATAAAATCTTAAATTATCTCAATGTAAAATTAAGATATTATAAAATTAGTATTACTATTGTAGCAGAGGATTTGAGAAAGAAAAAAATCTATGGTTCCTCGTCTCCTTTTAGAGGATATGAATGATGTAGCTGCTATGAAAACTACTTGAATTTCTAAAATTTGAGTATTCAATTTCAAACAAAGGAATTTCCCCTGCTTATATGCCATACTACGGCCCTCGGCCTGGCTTGGGAGCTAGGAAATTACTAGGCTCCCACTTGGGTGTCACGTCAGGCCTACAAAACGATATTGGGTTATCGTACAAATCTAGCTTGACCCACTCAATCTGTCAAGCAAGCCCTTTTGCTTGTCTCCTGAAAGGCTCCAGCCCATTTAGGTTTCAATTCAAGCGAATTTGGGTTATAAACTTCCAGCCTGACCTCAGTCTAGTTCAACTGGACTTCTTTATTAGAGCTGGATAGAGCTTGACTAAAGCCCAACGCTACAAATCTCATATGGAAGCCCGACCCGCTCACCCATGAAAACCTTTGTTCTTGGATAACCAAAATGTTAAAAATATTTACTTTCTTTCTTAAACTCTTTATCTTTTTTTTTTTTTTTTACTTTTTTCATAAAAGTTTTTTTTTTCTGATAAAGGCGAATTAAAGCATTCAAAAATACTAAAAAAATGTATAATTTTTAAATATCCTAATATTACTACTTCAAAAAAAATCTTAATCTAATTATTTAATATAAAATTTTTGAATCCAACTTCCATGCAATTAAAATTTCCTAACCATAAAATCTGAATTTGTGTAATTTTTTGTGAATTTGTGGAGATCCCAACTCCCAAAGCATTTTTTTGGCCACATTCCCTAAGCATTTAGAGGGTATGAATGCAATAATTCTTTTATTCACAGGTCATAACTATAAATAAGCTGAAATTATGGGTAAAAAAAGAGAGAATAATATATCTTCCCTTATTTCGCTAAGTAAATTACTAAATAGTCCACTATTACCCAACGGCTAGTACGTAAAACGGTAACCTCAACGGTCGAAAATTTCAAATCTTTTCTCCTAAAACCTCTCTAAATCACATCGATTCTTCCTCAAACACTCTTCACTCTTCTCTCTAAAGGCCCTCTCTTTCTTCATCTTTGACATCACTGCAAAAAAAACAAAGAAAAGAAATAGAAAACTGTGTTTTCGAAGATGTTGCAAGACATGTGGAATGCTCCTCCTGGATTCAGGCCTTCTAAGTCGGCCCCTACTTCTCCGGCGAAGCCTCTCGGGGTTTCAAGAACTCGGTCTGAGTCCTTCCATGCCATCCACAAAGTCCCAATCGGTGACACTCCATATGTTAGAGCCAAGAATGTTCAAGTAAGCAACTCGGTAGCTTTGAAATTGGTTGTAAAATACTAAAATTGTTCTTTTTATTGTTTGTATTTATGTTTCTTTTATGGGTTTGTATTGGCTCAGTTGGTAGATAAAGATCCGGAGAGGGCGATTCCTTTGTTTTGGGCAGCCATTAATGCAGGTGATAGGGTGGATAGTGCCTTGAAAGATATGGCCATTGTCATGAAGCAACAAAATAGAGCAGAGGAAGCCATTGAAGCTATCAAGTCATTGCGTAGTAGATGCTCAGATCAAGCCCAGGAGTCTCTTGATAACATTTTGTTGGATCTCTACAAGGTCTGTTCAGAAGAATCAGAACTGTAAAATTAATAATCGCATCAAATTGTTTTGATCTTAACAGATGGCTGACTTGTTTTATTGGTTATTTTAATTATACAGAGATGTGGAAGATTGGATGACCAAATAGCATTATTGAAGCACAAATTGTATATGATTCAACAAGGGCTGGCTTTCAATGGGAAGCGCACCAAGACAGCCAGGTCTCAGGGAAAGAAATTTCAGGTCTCTGTGGAGCAAGAAGCAACTCGGTTGCTGGTAAAACAGTCTTCTCATCCTTGGTTTTTATATAATAAACGTATAAACTTTAAATGGATACATGCATTTAAGAATTTTCTTTTTCTTTTTCAGGGAAACTTGGGATGGGCATTGATGCAGCAGAACAACTATATTGAAGCAGAAGATGCTTATCGCCGGGCACTTTCAATTGCTCCAGATAATAACAAGATGTGTAATCTGGGTATTTGTTTGATGAAGCAAGGTAGAATTACTAAGGCTAAAGAAACTTTGCGAAGAGTGAAACCAGCGGTCGCGGATGGACCAAGAGGGGTAGATTCCCATCTCAAGGCCTATGAGAAGGCGCAGCAGATGCTTAAGGACCTTGAGTCTGAGATGATGAACAAGGTAGGGGACCGGATTGAACAGAGTCGGCTCTTTGACGCCTTCCTTGGTTCTTCATCAATTTGGCAGCCCCAGCCTTGCAAGGATCCTATCAGCTTACCAACCGCAAATGCAGTCAAATCACATGATGATTTTGCTGATGAGAACATCAATTCGAATATAATGACAAATCAGATGGTTGCTTTTCCTTTTGGAAATTCTCTAAATATTGATGCACCACCGTTCTATTCATCAAAATTCGTGAAGGATCCTGTTGTAAAAGATCCAGCTGGGAATCAATTGCATGAGACCCTCAAAAGAACAAGGTCCGGAAACTCTGCTAACTCTATGAGAGTGAATGAAATGGAAGACTACACAAGGCCTTTTTCTGCAGAACCGGAAAAACCAGAGATTAAGGCAAGAAGGCTCTCTCCTTCATCTGAAGAGAAAGGAGACAAATTGGCAGATTTATTACCCGATAGCCAAGACTTTGAAGAGGCTATCATTGCTGCAGTTCTAGGCCCAACAAATGAACCAGGGAATGGGATTGGGACCAGCACCCCAAGGATCTTTCCAAAGAAAATTGACAAGAGGCTTAAGGTTTTCCAAGACATTACTCTTTCTTTGAGTCCTAGAGCCTGACTTAGTCTTATCTTTTTAACCGTCTTAACTAATTTAATTTCTTAAGTTGTATTCTTAGGTTGGAGATGAACTTGTTCTCCAATCTCCTTCACTCACTATTCCGGTAGAATGAGGGGTGGCAGTTTTTATGCATTATTCACATTTTATGTTTGCCTCTCAACAAGGCTCATCCACATCCATCAAAATAATAATAAATTCACTTCAGCACTCCACAACTTTTATCCTGCTTCCTTTTCCTCCTATATTTCCTCCTTTTCCTGCCAGATATTCAGAAGGCACGGCAAATTAAAACCAAATCACCCACAGGGATGGCCCAATTTGTGCATTCATTGTCTTGATATGGCGATTGGAATATCAATCTCCTTTGTGCATTTTAAGGGGGAAAAAGAAAAGCAACTGTCGATGCTGAAACTTGAGATTTGGTAAGAAAAGAAGGGAAGAATCACATCTCTTAGTTATTAAGTCTATGAACTAGTCTGATTGACGTATCAGTTGAATGAAGAATCACAATACTTGTATCTACAATTTCCAATTTGGAATTGTAGGTCTATGTTTTACAGATGAAATCTATTTGCCTTCGTAAGGACTTTCACTTGTGAATTTCCCGTGAGCAACGAGTGAGGAGGATTGCCATGGCTACAGCAACGACTCCCACAGCTACCTTCATAGTTAAACTTGAAGGTGAAATAAAGCCTAGCTCAGAGAGTTTCTTGTGGGACGCTGCATAATCTCTAAAGAAAGCATCCTCATCCTGCCATTTAAAAGAGAAATATATATATATATATATATATATCAATTCCTTGTGATTAACAGACAATGGAACAAGTAAGATTCTAATTCAATTTCAAGTGGGAGATGCAATTACTTTGAGCAATATTGTGAACAAATATCAAGCCAATCATACCTTTGCATAGAGCTGGACATAGTAGCGGAACTTAGGATCATCGACAAGAGCCTTGTCAGTAGGCAGTTTCAATAGATCTGAGTCTGACTCCTTCAGGAGCTCCCTGATTACAGTATAGCATTAGCTGAATATACACATTACAAAATCTTGGTGTGTCAGTACTATATTTATTCTACTCAAAACAAGTTAATCATATTAAAACTTGCCAAGGTTTTTATTAACGGCTTACTTGAAGTATGAATTGTCAAACTTCAAAGGTTCCTTTGTCCAAGCACCCTCAAAACCTGATCTTTCAGGATGTGCTCTTCCCTAGAGAACCAATAACAGAAAATTTTTAGTTTTAACTACTACTTTATTCTATACAAGAGCTTTTGCTAGATTCTTATTGCATGGAGGAAGTACCAACGTATGGCCCCCAGATAAAGCCACAATGTCCTTGTCAGATAGACCCATCCGATAAAAGATGTCCCTCAAATGTCGAGCACCTGCAACAAATTAAACCGAATCAGAAAAGGCAAAAGTATATAGTTAAAGGTAAATGTCAACCAAAGCATTGAAAGTAATTAGAAACCTTGCTTGGCATCCGGAAGGCGCCCTTCTTCAGGGGATTCCAATGAATCCTGATATATTCAGAGAGCCAAAAGAGGTTGCTAAGAACTACAAGTACTAATTAATAGGATTGGATGATTAGTAACTTTCATGAACAATATATACCTTCCTGCCTGGAACAAAGTCAATAGTAGGACCTCCCGTAACCTCAACTGCAACAACTCCAGCAAGCTGCAAATCCCAAATCTAAAAGCTGAAGGTTGTGTATGTTTGGACATAATTAAAGAATACAATATATAAACGAATTAAAATACCTGGTAAAGGTCGGCATATGTAATTTCCCGATGCCTCGCCTTTACTTCTTCTGATATTTAAGCAGAACGAGAAATTTATACAGTTAAAAGATATTAATTAATACGTCAGGAGAAAAAAAACACTACATGGATAGGTCAAAAATTTGATTTCTGAGTCCGACCACAAAGTTCAACGGCTATTCTCAGACCATTATTTGCACTGTGATTTAACTCGTGATCTTGTCTGATAGAGCCATTTGGTCCTCCTGTCTCCGTTTTAGCATCGTAAGTTCCAGCGTCATGCCACCTTCAAAACAATAAAAACACCATTAAGTTATAGTAAGGTTTAAAAACTTTATTTCCCTTTGGTACTATTTCGTAACAGATCGAAAGATATGCTTACGCCAAACGAAGCATGATGGGAGCGCAGTTTTTGCTATAGATGAGAGCACGAAGGTCTCGGCGAGCCTTTTCAATCTCTTTCAAGTAATTCGGGTGGACTTTTGACGCTGCCATTAGAACAAATTAACTACGTTCAAGGGAGAAGAATTATATATATGACAGCAAGGAAAAAGAAGAAGAACGCGAAGGAGACGAGAAGGTTTGGCTTAAAGAGAAAGTTGAAGAAAGTGAAGCTTAGGTTCTCGCTTTTATATCGAGGAGGGATTCTGCTGAGAAGAATCGAAGTAAAAGGGTGGTTTGAGGAGTTGGTTTTGCGAGCGAAGAAGCAAAGGATTTTTGTTATCTAAGCTGGTTGTGAGGGAGGGAATCAGGGGAAATAAAGACTATTCCCAAAGGGAAAACAAAAACGATATTTCTTTTTGGACTTTGGGCTTTTTAAACTTGCGAAATGGATCCGACGGTTGGTCATTAAGTGGGTTTCTGATTCAGTTGGTTGGGGCCCAAGTATCCCAATGGCCAGAAAATCATGCTCTCTTTATATAACACTCAGATGTGAAATCTTAAAGTTATTCAAACAGCTAGAAGTTTGCTAGTATATTGAATAAATTTCTCTTGAAAAGCTAGAATTTGATGTAAAAATATTAAAACAATTACTCAATTTTAATTGCTGACAGCCTTAATTCTAGAAATAAGTTAAGCTTTAAGAGTTTGTGTTTTCTGAATGACTGTGTCTGCTTAATTGAGCTTACAATGGCAACTTTAACAATGATGTAATAAGTTATATGCTGAAATCTGTGGGGATTGGATTCCAGTTTGCTAAAGCATTAGGGTCGGGACACAACTAAAGTTAACTATAGATTTAGGTAAAATGTTGTAGCTCACTAATTAATTATGTTGAGGTTTTCATTTTTTTTAGTGCAAAGCATGAGTAAGGTTATTTATAGTAGTGATTATGATTATGATTATAATAAGATTCCCAGCTAGGTTTGATTCCATTAAAAAGATATAGATTTTTTATTATAAAACCATTGTTCTTTGAATGATTTGATCGATTAACAATACAGGAATCAACTATAGAATTTGATCTATTAGAAAAACAAAACATATAGATTTTTGTCTAGATATTCTCTGCTTGTTTTGGATGTTTTAAATGTTTCCTTAATTGAACATTTTTTTCGTTTAAAAAAAAAAAAGGTGAACAGTCTTATATAAAAGTTAAAACAAAGGGTTGAACTTCCTTTTGCAAGCGCAAACAAAACTCCTGTTAAAAGCTGTGAACATAATTTGTAAATCCAGGACTGGTGTGAACTGATAAGACTTTGGTGAAGTGAAGAATAAGCCTCGTACTTCTACTGAATTTTAGTTGAAGGCGACACCAGAGAGACAGGTTGCGTAGTTTTTGTAAGGATGGAGGATATCATGTAATTCAAAAAATGGTGAGAAGGGCAATGTTGTCCCAAGGGAGGATAATCTTTAGCAGTTATCCTGAACTGGCCTCTAGTGGTCTCGATTCCACCGTCACGGTTCCGTAGAAAAGGCAAACGGTTAAATATACGACTTATATTTCCCGATCTAATGAATGCGTGTTCTTTTCCGTTTCTTTTTCCATGGTGAGTACCGGACTAATAGTGGCAAGTTCTTTAAAGATAAAATGCAAGGTATTCAAGTGCAATGTTGCACTCTTTCATGGCAAACGGCACCGTTCTCCAACTCATATGAACCCAAAAAAATAAATTCTGATACACTATCATATAGAAGGAAAACGAAAAAGACAAATGTTAGAGAACATCGTAGCTCTGATATCATTTGTTGGACTAAAAGCCTCAAATTCAATCACACCAGCGGCGAAATCAAACAATAAATCAAACACACAAGAGACAATAATTTAACGTGGTTCAGTCCAACTGATCTACATCCACAGATGAGAAACAAGATCCACTAGTTATAGAAAATTACAAACATACATCAAATTATCAATCTCACTCAACAATCAATACTCATAAGACATTCTCAATCTCCTCTAGTCCTATGAAATATTCTTAACCCAAATAAACACAAACCCACACCCTTATACATTATTTCAACATAACCAAACACAAACATATACTCATATGCTCTCATACATCATACTTATATGGATCATATCAGTCTTTTCTAGTCCACTAACAAACAAACATACAAACCCATAAGATGTAGAGCCCCAATACTCCTATAAGGTGTCTATCCCACAAAATCCTAACTCTCCTTACCATGTAGAGACTTCACCTATTTATAACCATATAAACTTATCCATTAAGAATCAATTTTCTCTTAGAATTCTTCTCCTGTAAGTCAAACTTGACTATTAAGAATTCATTTCTTTTTAGAATTCTTCTTTTGCAAATCAAACTTACCTATTAAGAATCTTCTTTCTCTTAGAATTCTTCTTTTACAAGTCTTCTTGTCCATCCAGCAATATCTAACAAATATCAAACAAATCTCTAACAAATCTCAAACAAATTTCTTATGAGATTTGAGTCAAATATTCCCAATAATCTCCACCTTAACTCAAATTCCATCAATCATCTATTTTCATACTAAACATGCTTGGCTCCACCTACAATGAAAGTCTCACACTCATCTTCTCTTATGTGTCTTCATACTTCATACTTCATACAAACTGATCTTCAATCCTCAAAACTTAAACTCGAACTCTTTTATTGAATCAAGCTCATCTAAGCTTACTTTTTCCTATGTCTTAAACCAAGCTCTTCCCATATCTCAAACTGTCAACTCTTCTCATGTCTTGAACCATCAGCTCTGATACAACTTGTTAGGGAACACCACAGCTTTGATATCATTTGTTGGGCTAAAAGCCTCTAATCCAATCACATCAGCGAAAGTAAAATCAAACAATAAATCAAACACATAAGAGACAATAATTTAAAGTGGTTCGATCCAACTAACATACATCAACAGATGAGAAACAAAATCTACTAATTGTAGAGAATTACAAACATAAATCAAATCATCAACCTCACTCAACAATCAATACTTATAAGACACTCTCAATCTTCAATCTCCTTTAGTCTTATGAAGTATTCTCAATCCAAACACTTGTACACCCTTTCAACATAAGGGAATACAAACACATACCTATATGCTCCCATACATCATACATATGTGGACCCTCTCAGTCTCCTCTAGTCCATTAACAAACAAACATATACAACCTATAAGACGTAGAGCCCTAATATTTCTATGAGTTGTCTATCCCACAAAATCTTACAACTCTTTTACATATTTTTCTCATACCCAACCCTATAGAGACTTCACCTATTTATAACCATATAAACTTGCCCATTAAGAATCCATTTCCTCTTAAAATTCTTCTCATATAAGTCAAACTTGCCTATTAAGAATCCATTTCTTTTTAGAATTATTCTATTACAAATCAAACTTACCTATTAAGAATCATATTTATCTTAGAATTCTTCTTTTATAAATCTTTTTGTCCATCCAGTAATATCTAACAAATCTCAAATAAATCTCTTATTAGATTTGAGCCAATATTTCTAATAATAAAACCCCCCATTTCATTTTTGTTTTCTTTTAAACTTTTATAATGAGAAATCGGTTTTGATGAGTTTTAATTCAATTTTGATTTAGCTTTAATCTCATTTTTTGTGATGACTGACAAGTAACTAATAAGATTCAAATAGATGAGGGAGGTGGGAATGGGATTGTCCATTTTTTTCAATAAATTTTATCGAGGAATTAACTTTTTCGTATCACTGTTAAGGACTACTGCTACTCTTAATAACTTAACCAAAACGCTTGTCAATATCATCATGGATTAATCATGTCATCTTAATTACGCATTCATAACCCCCTTGATAGGGTTTGAATCCAATTTGCCTTTCCAGTTTCACCATATCCAAATTAACCTTTCCAATTGCCATTGAAACGTGGAGTTGCGAGAACACCCTCAGAATTTTCCAAATCTAGCATCCAGACCCACATTTTCTACTGGTTGATATATATATATATATACGAATATAGCAGCCTGCTGGCAGGTTGGGCTCCCTGCTGCATGTTCAAATGGCGAGTTGAAGTAATTTGAAAACAGGAAAAGAATATTCCGGGAGGGCAATTTCGTCATTAAACTGGAATATAAAAATTTCAAGCTCTCTGGTTTGTCTTCGTACCTACCAAAACTGCTATGTCTCTGCTCTCTCTCTCCACCACTTACCAGCAAACAACCAAGTACAGACATTTTTGTTCGAAAGGGTCAAGTAGGTAACTTCAGAATATAGAAAAAAACACATCAGGAAAAGAAGGTTTCTTTGTTGTGAAAGATAGTTTCTTGAAGATGAAAGATTCGCCATTGTTGAAAGCTGCAATGGTAAAAGCAACAGATCTTTCGACAAAGTAAATAACCCAGAAGTCATTCGCTTTTTGTAGGACAGTTTCCTTTTTATTGTTTGGTTAAGTTGCTTCAAATTTTAGAAAGAAGAAAAAGACAAAAAAGAAGTTGATCTGGATTAGTGGGGTGAGCAAGAAAAATGGGGTGTTGGTACTCAAGGATTGATAGGGAAGAGACAGTTTCACGTTGCAAGGCGAGAAAGCGATACATGAAACAGTTAGTTAAAGCTAGACAAGCTCTTGCTGCTTCACATTCTATGTATCTGCGCTCCTTACGAGGCACAGGCTCAGCTCTCCTTCAATTTTCCAACAATGAAACTATCCTCCACCTCCATCACCATGCCCCTCCGCCGCCTCATCCGCCGACACCGCCACCGCCTTTAATGAGTCCTGGTTCAGACACACGGACATCTGCTACCAGTGCCTCCCCTGCTCTGCCGCCGCCTCCTCCTCCTCCATCAAGTAGCTGGGACTTCTGGGATCCATTTGTTCCGGCTGGGGCGTCACGGTCAGCCACAGAAGAGGAATGGGAGGCTGCCGCGTCAATATCTGAGGTGGCGGTCACTGCTACAACAACCGCAAACGGGGCTGCGAGCGTGGCAGCGCCGCCTTCTGTGGTGGGTGGGTTCTCGAAAGATACGGGAAGCGAGCTTGCTATGGTGGTGTCGAGGAATACTAAAGAACTGGTGGAGATTGTGAAAGAGGTTGATGAGTATTTTCTTAAAGCTGCTGATGCTGGTAGCCAGCTGTCGTTGCTGTTAGAAGTTTCAAATTCCAATTTTTCTGCTCAAAGTAAAGGAGGTAGATCTCTCTCATTCATTCCATTTTATTTTCTTTTGATTTCTTGGTGGGGTTTCATTTCTACCTGTTCGTTTGCTTTTTCTTGTTGGAGGTAACGTGTATAACTATGGTTGCAATCCGACTCCAACAACTTGGACATGGAATTGGAATCCGAAAATGGAAGGAATTGGAACGTTGGGAGAGGACAGGATTGGCGGAAATGTTGGTGGTAGAGTTCTTAGCAGCAGCCATTGTTCTAGTATAGAGAGATTGTATGCTTGGGAGAAGAAATTATACCAGGAGGTCAAGGTACTAGATCCAATTCCATGGTTAGAAATTTTGTTTATTTGTGAAGCATGATCTTTTAGGTGTTTTTCTTTGGAATTTTTTTTCTGATGCAACTTTCAAGCAAGAAAACAAAATTCTTAATTTAATTATACTTTCTTCTTTAGAAAAATCCATAACATTGTGTTTACTGCCAGATTTTTGTTTTCAGAGTTCTAAATATTGAATCCTTTGCTTTTAACTTTTGGGGCCCAAGAATGGATGTTTAAAAGGATGAAAACCTTGGACTTCTTATCGTATTTGATGGTCTGATGAATCAAAAGAGTGGTCAAGTCCTGTGGCCCATATTTTTATTCTTAATGTTCTTTTAATTTAGCAGTTTTATTGGTGATTTTTTAGAATGCGGAGGCTATTAAGATAGAGCATGAGAAAAGGGTGGCCCAGCTGAGGAAGCTGGAGATGAAGAGAGCTGACTATGTGAAGACTGAGAAGACTAAGAAAGAAGTTGAAAAATTAGAATCCCAAATGATGGTTGCTTCACAGGCCATTAAGACTACATCTATGGAAATCATCAAGCTGAGAGAGTCGGAGCTTTACCCTCAACTCCTTGACCTTGTAAAAGGGTTAGTCTTGGTTATTTATAACTCTTCTTCCACGTACTTGTTTCCTGTTTACCTTGAGTATTCAAATGCTGGAGCCAGTAGCCCTTAAGTTTCCACATGACTATGTTACATCATTTTCTAGTTCAGAACAGAAGCTTTCGGCACATTGAATTAATGTCCTCCACAGATGAGATAGTGATTCGTTCATTTTTTGAATTTGTTCAGAAAAAGGCCACGTTTGGGACCCTTCATAATTCATATTGAGAGCTTTTCACTTACAGTTCTTTCATTGCAGTCCTGCAATTATACAATCGCAATAAAAAATTATATAGGAGTCCACCACTTTAGGACTGTACATTTTCTGGGCTACTGTTTGGACTTTGGACTGTATTCAAGGGGATTTGCAGTTTCGGGATTCACTATAAAAACTTGAATGTTCTGTTCAGCGGCAGCAAGATAAGCCTAAAAGTCAACTCTAGTGTTGCTATATTGGGCCGTAACAATTGTATACGGAATTTATTTTGACTGCTTTTACTGCCATGGTTATTTCCCATATTGTTTGCCTTTGTTGGGAAGAACATAAGCCGAATCCAATTGTACTGTGTCTAATTATATGAGGTTGAGAGTGGCCGGTACCAGAATAGTCTAGTGGGGTCTCCATTTAGAGTTAACCTAATCTTTTGTTGAGTCCTTTAATTTTCAGTGTCTTCCTAGGGAAGATAATCTTCTGGTCCTAATTGTACCAAATTTGCAAAACTGGGCATTCAGCGAATCATATTGGACTGATGTGTATTTATAGTTCCAGGTACTGCTAAAAGAATCTTATTCGTCCATATATTTGCATCTCATATGGGATTCATATGATTCCAGTGGTGGCCCATACGTCTTAGGTTTCCATTGGAGATGATGGGGTGCAGGCTGCCAGCAGCAAAGAATAGGCTTCTTACCTAATTTGATATCCTTAATGCTTCCTTTTAATCTGCAATAGAGGGTTATTGTCTAAATGCATACTATGATATTTTTCTGACCACAACTCACAACTGATTAAATAACTGCATCGTATAATGTTATATGTTTGCTTGTTGTGCAGGTTGATGTGCATGTGGAGGAGCATGTATGAGATCCACCAAGTCCACACGCACATAGTTCAGCAGCTCAAGTACCTTAACTTCATCCCTTCTAATGAACCAACTTCTGAGATTCACAGGCAATCAACTCTCCAGCTCGAGCTTGAAGTCCAGCAATGGCATTTGTCTTTCTGTAACTTAGTCAAGGCTCAACGAGACTACATTCAGTCCCTTGCAGGCTGGCTCCGGCTTAGTCTTTTCCAGTTCAGCAATAACCCACTTTTAAGAAACAGTCAGGAATCGATAATTTACTCTTTTTGTGAAGAATGGCATCTAGCAGTTGACAGGATTCCAGATAAGGTAGCATCTGAAGGAATCAAGAGCTTCTTGACAGTAATACATGCCATTGTGGTTCAGCAAGCAGAGGAGTATAAGCAAAAGAAAAAGGCAGATTCTGCATTTAAAGATTTTGAGAAGAAGGCAGCAGAGCTTAGATCACTGGAAAGTAAGTATGGCCCTTTTTCGATGCCGGAAATGAACAAAGACCCTGTTGCAGAAAAGCGAACAAAAGTGGACATATTGAGAGCAAAGGCAGAGGAGGAGAAGAATAAGCATGAGAAGTCAGTGAGCATAACAAGGGCGATGACTTTGAACAACCTTCAGATGGGGTTTCCCCACGTCTTTCAGGCAATGGTAGGATTTTCAAGTGTATGTATGCAAGCATTTGAATCTGTATACAACCAAGCCAAGTGTATTGATCATGAGCATGATGTGAAGAGAATACTCCCTTGAAGCATACCGGGCAAAAATGATGCTACCATCAATACCTGCTTTTATGTATAGATGTTCACCTTGTTCAGTAGCTGGATTTGAGTCCAGACTCCAGAGAAAGTGCTGCATAGTTTTATCTTCAATGCAGATCCATCTTATGCAAACTCTCAATGGAGATGATTAAAATCCAATGACATTTAGAGGGGACCAGTATTGTTGGGATAAGTGATTTTTGAGATGATATAGGAAGTAGAAAAAATTCCAGTGAGAAGTTAGTGGTTTTCAATTAGGAATGTAGGATTGTATACCTGGCTTTGTTTTGTCATAGGAAGGTGTTGAATGCTTTGAAATTTTCTCTTTAACGTGTTTCTCCTTTTGAATTATGAAATTATTTTTTATTATGGAATGTGTTTATAGGCATGCTGTAATTAGATTAATTTCCTGCTGAAGAGGTGATCAAATCTACGTTTCATTATGCCTTATAAGCACAGTGGTACTTTTCTGCTGACAATTTTCAATGCTCTGATTAGATCATTTAAGAATTCGTTTTCCACGACCTATTGGAGAACGCCTTGCACCGAAATATAATACTCTGCTGCAGCTTGATGATTGAATAAGTCGTATAATGCATTTGAGGATGGTAATTGGTAGCCATATATACAAGCATCAGTTTTTGATCAGTTACAGAAACATGCGACTAACAACTAACAAGCACTACAAAATTTCCTTCTATCAAACTGGGATTGGATGGAGCAACGCACTTTCGGTGCAAGCAGGCAAGTCAAGCGCTTGTCTCTTCAATAGCTTGCATCTTATCCAATTCTTGTATACAACTAGCTATGCTGTATCTGGCTCGCATTACATTGTTTTGTGTCGCCATCATACTATGAACATCCTTTGAGAAACGCCACTCAAATTCAATCCAATGTTTGTATTTCTCTATTCCTAGACAATGTTTGGTCCATTCTCTAATATACTACAGGATTGAAGGGTCTTCCTCAGCTAGAGAGACCAAAAGAGTGTCTCGGATGATTGTGTTGTGTGCAATTTAGCTTGGTAGGCTACCTTGAATTTTCCTGGTTCGATTTTCTTGCTTACTATTCCTACTCTTTCTCCTTTATCTTCGGCTAAATTTGAATCACTTGGCTGACCTTGTCACCAACTGTAGTTCGAAATGGGCGGGGTTATGACTGTTTCTGTCTCCCCCTAAGTAGCCAGGCAAGCGCTCCCCTCTGGCCTCTGCTTGCGGATTAAATGTGGGAAAAGAAGACTGCAAATTCCATCGCTTGTTTATGTTTAACTTCCCAAAAAAGATTTGGAATGTTGACCTCATAGAATTATTCTATTTGCAATTGCCAACACGTTGGATAACAACTAAACTAATGTTTCAAGTGATAAAGGTTGTAAAAGACTTGCCATGGTTGTTGGCACTCTCTTTTAACCCCCAATATTGGAACAGAATTGGCCAAGACTTTAATTAGTGGTTCAAGGATACCACTTTATATAGAAAAACATGACAATTGTGTAATCAAAGGCAACATGAAATCGAGATTTATTAAAAAGAAAAAGCTTCTGAAACCCGAGTCAAGCTCCGATTCAGAAACCCGAATCGAGAAGAACATTCCGGGTGGGTCCGCCAATTTTCACGTTAAAATATAACCCTAAAAAAGTGGGATAGAAATTAGCTGGTGAAGATTCGTTGGCTCAACGACAACGAACGCTTCAAACGCCATAATTTCCCGGCCCAAAAATATCAAAAAGCAAAACCAAAAAAAAAAAAAAAATTTTCCCTTTTTCATTTTCCTAGGGTTAGCCCATTCTCTAATTTCCTCTTTTGATATCCCCTCTTTCTCTAATTTCACCTAGGGTTTCCTTCAACAATACAGATGGCTGATTGAAGAAGAAAAGGAGTAATCTTGAGGGGTTTTTTTTTTTTTTTTGGGGAATTCTACCTTTGTCCTCAGGTGTTAAGATCTGAGGCTAATCTTTTCTTTTTCTCTTTTCTTTTAAGTGAAAACAAAATAGAAAATGAGCGCTTCAAGGTTTATAAAGTGCGTGACTGTTGGTGATGGTGCCGTTGGTAAAACTTGTTTGCTAATTTCTTACACCAGCAACACTTTTCCTACGGTAATTCTCTTTTCTTTCCCCTTTTTTTTTTTGTCTAAGTTTTTGGGTAATTTAATGTTTAGTGTTGAATTGTACTTGTTCTGTTAGGAAAAATTAGCGTTTGGGTTTTTAATATGAGGAAATTTTCTGAATTGCTGAAGAGAAATTAGGCTTTTTTTTTAGGTCTAATTCTGAAAGGTGCTGCTTTTGCTGTCTGATTTGAGATTGAATGAGGATTCACTCGTTAAAGATTGGTTGTAATGTTTGTTGAGCTGATATTATTTGTGAATTCAATTAGGGAAAACCATATTAAATTTTATGCCTTTATGGAATAACATATTTGGATCTTTGACAGAACTAGTGGAAGGAAAAGGGAATTTATGATAATAGCTAATTTAATAAGAAAAATATGAAAATTTTCTCTCTTTACTCTTGATACCTACTCTATTATAAGTTTTTAACGTTTTAATCCGCCAACAAGCTTTCAGGTTCTTTTGTGATTCCATCTTTGTGTATTTTTGTCTTGATACATATCTTGGGAATTCTGACAGCTAGAAGCTGATACTAAGAACGTGTTTAACCCTTTGTCTTACATTTTCATCACCGTGAAAAACAGGACTACGTGCCAACTGTATTTGACAATTTCAGTGCAAATGTTGTTGTCAATGGGAGTACTGTTAATCTGGGGTTGTGGGATACTGCAGGTACTTTGCACTTTGACCTTTTGCTTTCTTTTTTTAATCTCATTGTTATAACCATTGTAGAGATATTCTGTTTCTTTTTGTGGGTTTATGTTTGTAATTTTGGGCAACAGGGCAGGAGGATTATAACAGATTAAGACCTTTGAGTTATCGCGGGGCAGATGTGTTCATATTGGCATTTTCCCTCATTAGCAAGGCCAGTTATGAAAATGTCTCCAAAAAGGTTAGGTGCAGTTTTTTAAATTTCAAACATATAGAAGTGCTTCATACACCAACTTTTAATTCATTGCTTGCTGATAGTTATTTTCTTGGCTTGTTTCCAGTGGATTCCAGAGTTAAAACATTATGCCCCTGGTGTTCCAATAGTTCTTGTTGGAACTAAGCTTGGTAAGTTAAAACATTAAGTGTGCTGTAGCTGCAAATATTTTCTTTCAAATAGCCACTTCTGAAAATTTCTGTCAGGCTATGCTTTCAATTGAGGAGAATTTTAGGTATTCATGCCATAGGTAGGCTTTTAATATTATAATGATTCTCAAGTGTTTTTAAATGAGCCAGATCTTCGGGACGATAAGCAGTTCTTTATTGATCATCCTGGAGCTGTACCCATTTCTACAGCCCAGGTAAAGATTTTTGTATTAGTCCATACTTTTCTCAAAAAATTTTTCAGTTATTACTTGTTTTCCTGCTGCATGGACTTTATTATTTGCAATTATCTAACCCTTAGCCTTCCTCTTTTTCTATCTGAATCTGTAAGGGAGAGGAGCTAAGGAAGCTGATTGGTTCACCTGCTTATATTGAATGCAGTTCAAAAACACAGCAGGTATACGTTGTTTTGTAAATATGTTCATATATTTTATATTATGGAACATTCCTTACGTTAAAGGGATTTGTTGACTTCACCGCAGAATGTGAAGGCAGTTTTTGATGCTGCCATCAGAGTCGTACTTCAACCACCCAATCAGAAGAAAAAGAAGGGCAAAGCACAGAAGGCCTGCTCCATATTGTGACTGGAAAAAAAATGTGAAAAAAGATTATGGCCTTCACCCGTCTTTCCTTTCTCTTCTCTTTGCTCTTGAAGATATTAGAAGTCCTGGATAATAGTCTCTCAACAACTGAGGACCTCTGTGAAGCATCTCTTGATTTGGTAGTGTTACTTTATGCAACTGTTGTGATCTCTAATTGTTGAAGCGAAGTACATTGATGCCATCCTCCTCCGGACTCCATTTTTTTATATGTTTATGTATTAATTCCCCTGGAACATTCCAGTTAGGAAACAGCCTTAAATTTATTGCTTCGTATTGTTCTAAAAGGCTTGGTATGTTTGTGACTTCTTTCTTCTGAGTTTCTCGCAACTTGTTCGTTACCACGTGTCCTTTCGTCCGTATCTATGATCTGTTTATACAATTTACAACTGTCACTCTTTTGTTCATTCACATTATTGGCGCCAGGTCCCAGGACCGGAACAAGTATGGTCAAAACTCGTTATGAGAGAAATAGATTACAAGTTGGGTAAAGCCGGAGGAAAGGGCTTTTATGGCTGTCAGTCTATCCATTCAAGTAAGCCCCTTTTTAATGTTTCGTGTAAGCTATCAGGCAAGGAATTCCGCCTGGATTTTCCAAATTTTTTTCCTTTAGTACGAATATAAATATAAATGAAATTAGCATTAGATGGACGTGGAAGTAGCGAAGTCTGATAGATTATTTGATGTTATGGGGTAATGAGACACATCAAACCCCATCTTTTCTATCCTATTCCTCACCCATTTAGTGGAAGGCATTTTCCAATGGGATATGGAATCTATTCACAGGTTAATATAAACCATTTGGACTTTATGCCGCTGAAGAAAAGTTGTCACGTTTGGTATGTCATTGTTAAATTAGATGCCTTTTGCAATTTAAAATTTTAAATAAATCATCAACTTTCTCTATTTTTTTTTCTCAATTTACATTTTATAGCCAAAAGATGACCATAAGACTTCAAAGGGTTTACTTTAAAAGCATCGAAACGATTTGATTGATGGTCTCAAGTCTCAACTATTTAATTATGCCGTCAGAGATTGGAAGTTACATTTCATGGTTGCTCTACATGAAAAGGAAAACTACAAAAAAGGGGGCAACGTGGATGATTCTCAGTTCACAACTTTGCATCCAGTTCCTCGCCCACGCGATGAAATCACTGGGGACACTTTCCGAATGTTCCTTCCCTGTCATTGTATAAATGAATGTAGTACAGATCGCAGGGATATCAAGACCAGAGATTACAGCATTAAAAAGACTTTCCCTCTGTTGTCTTGAATTTCAAGGTCAAGAAGCTTTTCTTCTTTCTGATCAGATATCATCCCAATGGCACCAAAGAGAATTCTCAAGGAGCTCAGGGAATTGCAAAGAGACCCTCCAACTTCAAGCAGTGCAGCTACATGCAATAATCAAGCAACAACAAGAACGCGAACGAACTATAGAGTGTAACTTTTTCCTACACTTTCTAAATTTATATTTATGTGGTGAAATTTAGGTCCTGTGGCAGAAGATATGTTCCACTGGCAAGCAACGATAATCGGTCCAATTGACAGCCCCTACTGCGGTGTGGTTTTTGTTGTTACCATTCATTTCCCTCGCGACTACCCTTTCAAGCTTCCATAGGTCAAATTTAACTGGCGGCACCTGTAAACTGTAAACCCACTTTCTTCTCGATAATGATGTAGCCCTTCTGATTTCTTGGTTTGCCTTAATGGTGAATAAAATATGGCAGGTTGCGTTTAGGACCAAAGTCTTCCATCCAAACATAAACAGCAATAGGAATATCTGTTTAAATATTCTCAAGGAGCAGTGGAGTACCGTACTCACCATTGCGAAGGTGATAATTACGACTGAGATGATCATTTTGAGCATCACAAACCGTATATACATACATATATATATGTATATATGGGTTGTTTGGAATAATAATATAGACGATTAAATTTGGTAAATGCAGGTTTTGGTTTCGATATGTTCCCTGCTTACGGACCCAAATCCTGACGATCCACTTGTTCCTGAGATTGCTCATATATACAAGACTGCGAAAGTGAAGTAGGAGACAATATTGGCACGTAGCTGGACTTAGAAGCATGAAATGGGCTGATTCATGCCATTTTTGTTGCCACTGGGCATATTACTGACACTATCCTTCCAAAACAGCTCTTAACAGGGATCATCCAGAACTTGAATCTAAACCTAAATTAAATGAATAAATATCTTTCAGGTAGACCATCGGTCTCGTTTCGGCAATGGCTGTTCTAGAAATACAAAGTGGTTTTTCTACGTAGATGTTGTTATCTTTGGAAATGGAAACTACTGAGCCACACAAGAAATGGAAACTAAAAGTAGAAGATACAAAACGTAATGGCTTAAGGGTCCTGGAGAAAGCTGGGGCTTTAAGCTTGGGTTGGCTGGCACGTATACCATCTGTTCCGAACCAAATTCTAGTGATAGTGTACTGAGATCATGGAAGAATAATATAAAAGAAGGATAAAAGAGGGAATCATATATTGCAGTAATTGACAGAAAATTAGGCTTCCAAGCATTGTAGACAAATATCCATTATTAAACTTGGGTAGTGCTGATGAATCACCAACCAATTCAAAAGTGAACATTTGAATTATGAAATTCATCATAAGAATAGACCGAAATTCATTCCTCCCGGGAATGCAACATGTGGTGGCCTGTGTTTAACTTTTACTGCCTAAACTAAAAAGCTTACCCGTTTCTTTCATTGCACCAAACCATGATGCAAGAAATTGCTACGTTAGCCACCAGGGACAATGGGGCATAGTTTTTATTTTTTTGGATTAGAGTGATCCTGTGCTACGCTTGTCAATGTTCTGCTCTGATCTTGGCCTTTGATTTTGCTCGAAGTCTAATACTATGATCTACACCGTCGATGGTGGGAGAGTGCCGGTTTTCCTTTTCCATAAGCAAATTGACTATTTTTATTTTTTTTTAATTTTAAGACGTTTTACTCGGAATCATAGTTTTGCTGTGTTCTCACAGTAATTAAATTCGATTAAGCTCCCAATAAGAGTGTTTTGAGAGGGAAACTGAGGAAATTTTTGTTTGAAAAGTTGGGATTTGAAGTTTTTTCTTCTTTGATGGAGAAGCTGCGTCACTAAGCATGAGTCTAATTACAAATATGGCCTTCCCGAACCACTCCTGCCTTCTTGCCTTCTGCAAGCAGCGAAGGCCCATAGGATGATTTGTAATCCAAATCCAACCATGAATCCCCAGTGTTGCTGACCAGTGACCGCTCATACAAGCATTTTAGGAAAGTAAATGCCAGTATTCACAATGAGCTGATAAGAATTCTGGGGACCAAAATCATTACCAGAAAATATTGATAGAATGATATCCTGATCATGAACAAAGAATGATGCTCGTATTACTGGAAAGAATTGAACCTGTGATACATCAATACTCTTTTTCACCAATAAAAGCTGGCAAATAAAAAGCCTTTATAGCCATTTTTCTATCAGGGTCGCCGCACAAAATTTATCCTCGTCAATTGGGTCAAAGTCCCAACACCAAATGGAAGAAAGGAGCGGAAATGATGGCAACAAACCCTTCACAATTTTAGCACCAAGAACAAAGAGAATAACCACTGTGTTCCAGTTCCCTCATTCTGCACTTTGCACGCCTTCTCCTCTGCACAGAGTTTTAGAATGGCACTGTGAAAGGTAAAGCATAAATATCAGCCTCAGGCAAGTAGCGAGCATGTGGCCAAGTTTTTGAGTTTATTTGACTCGAGCCAACATTTCCATCTTTGCTGCCCTCAACCCAACTCTTATGATTCAGCTTCTTCTGAAACAGCCAGTCCTCATGATTAAAACTTGTCAACTCACTCTGCATCTGCAGTGTAGGCACAACCCAATCCTCCACAAGATTTTTGAATTCTAAAGCTAGTATAGGAGAACAAGTGCTACACAAATTTGATGACAACGATGCCTCAGCATTAACACTTTCTGATGCACCAGAAGAGGGGCAAGGTTTTTCTTTGCTGAGCTTGAAAGTTACTTCTGGCCATCTAATACTGGAAGTAGAACAAGGATGTTCTTCCAGTTCTCTGCCTGGTCTAGGAGCATGCTCGTGCATCCCTTGAACAAAGGCATCATCAATCCTTCCTGAGGTAGAGCAAGGCTGTTCCTTGCTGGGTAGCACTTCAGGATCCTTATGCCTTTGAGAAGGCAATCTGATCCGGATAATGCTTCCTTCACATTAATAATAACAATTTGAATACACAATATCAGTGCTCATGTGAAGTGAACAAACCCAACAAGTAAACAGCCTCCCCCAGGTGAGGAAGAGATACAAACACACTCACCAGGATTATGCCCACTGTCAGGGGGCGAGCTCAGCTTCTGTCGTTTGTTGCTGTTAAGGGTGCTATCAGAAGAGTTCTGGGGTCCCACTGCATGACCATGCTCTTCTGTAAGGGTACTCTTCTCAAAAATTTCAACTTCATTTTCTCTTCTCTTTTGATGATCTCCTCCTATTTTATCTTCTTGGCTCCTCTCATCTTTATGCCTTTTATTATGACCATACTTTTTACTTTCAAATTCTCCACTGCCACGGGCTTTATCTCTTTCTTTCTTCTCCCGTTTTTTCTCTTTCTTCTCTCTCTTTTCTTTCTTCCTTTCTTTCTTGGCCTTCTCTTCTTCTCTCTGAATCTTCAAATTAACAGAGATACAGTCAATTTATGAACATAAAGAGGAAGCCAATACAAACAAGCCAAAGCAAAACTGCAATGAAAGAACACAGGCAGTCCTAGAACCAAACTTCAGCAACATGAAATCCAAGTGAAAGTTTCCCTATTCCTATGCTAATAATAACAAATAAGTCAATAAAGATGTAAACAAGGTGTGCCGACAACAGTCCTCTTCGAGAAAAATTGAAACACAATCTCTAGTATGATTTCCTATTATATACTTGCATGATCCTTTGATCCATACCCTAGAACAAATTTACAAGCAGTTTTAGTGCAAGGCATGTTTCATTTTCGAGCAACATTTCACCATTTTTTTCCAATATAGATGACAAAACAAAATATTTTAACAAATTCTAGCTAATGTCTTAACAATTACAATTTTAAGCTTCAAGAGAACTTCCATACTCTTTAACTCAGACATGAATTTATCTCAATCAGCATCATTTCGTGTCTTGAATAAAATGGTTTCAATTTCTCATAGTTAAACCTTAACGTACTAAAATCATAGTTCATCTTAGTTAGGCATTAAGGTAGAAAATCCTAACTGTCTCTCTCTCTTTTATTTTTTGCTCTTGCCGTAGCAAAAATTTACTACATAAACAAAAGCAAGGCTATGGGGGGAAGCGAATTAGAGCAGTCGAGCAAAAAGGGTAAAAACCCAGGAAAGCATTGACGCCAATTGGGGAATTTGCTCAACAAACCTTAATCGATTTAATAAGTGCCTCATCGCGGATACCGTTCTTTACGTACCCCGGTGGAGGATAAGGATAACACCGAGACATCTGTTGATTCACCAACAACCAAACAATATGAAATGAAAAAAATGAAGACAGAAAAAGCAAACCCTAGCTTGAATAAGATCGGAACTGTAGCTAGGGTTTTAAAATCCTAGGTATTTTAAGTGAAGATCCAACTTGTCCCACCAAAAGAGGGAAATTTAGAAAAAAAAAAAAAAAAAAACCAGGGTCGATTCTCTGATTAGAGTTTGAAGAAAGGATAGGCTCTAGATCCAGACAGAAAGATAATGGACCCAGACATACTCGCTTCTTCGCAGGCAAAGAGGGGTATTTATAGAGGAATTGACCCCTTCTTTGGTGAGCGATTTAAGGGACTGTTTGGAAACAGGGAGAGGGTAGTCAATCATGGGTTTGTCAATGGATTTGTATAAGAATAAGATACTCCATCTCTATTTTGGGCCTTTTTTTTGCTCCTTTTTTTTTAATAGTTCTTTTTTTAATGGCCAAATCCTTTCGAATGGTTACTGTTTCTTTTTTTTTTTTCTTTAATTTGTCACAAAACATAGTTTAACCCCCCTTTTGCATTTTTTTTTTTTTTTATAAACCCCCTTTTATATAGCTTTTCTACACATTCCCTTTAGTTAATATAAAAATTTAGAGTTGAAACTTTTCAATTCCAGTTGATCAGGCATTTAATTTTCCACAGATGCAAGCACCAGTAGAGAAATATAAACACAATTAGGAAGGATTTCACAATATTTTCACATGATTATACAAGCATTTGGTTCTCATCACTAAAGTTATAACAAATACACAAAAATATACGATCTCGAGTCAAGTAAATGGTTAGTGCAAAGCAAATACAGTAACCACTTCAGTATCAAATATTTTTAAGCGAAACCAGTGGATTGAGAATAAGCCAACCGATGATACTTTTAAACATATATATAAGAAAAAGATATACAAGCCAACCAGTTTAGAAGCTATTGTTGTGAAAACCCAAATTCATCATCTAGATCTTCCAACCCTTAGTGCAGATAAGATTCATATGAAATTTCATATAACTTAGTACTGCCCAAGCAAAGCTACAAAATTGCATACCTGATACTTTCTAAATCTAAATACATTCTCCTATAGAAATGAAAAATAAACTATACATGTAGGAATCCAGGTTTTGAGATAAGCACGGAGAAGAAATCAATGAAGCTTATTCTGAGCAACAGCTTGGCATAACTCATCCTCATAGAATAGCACTCGATTGGAAGCCAAAGATTTGCATAATGGTTTTGAGAGAACAGACGGTACCGTGCATCTTGATGGGAATCCTGAATCCTGAAACAGCACTGCAGCAATTTGCCTCATCTCAGTGACTTTTACACGGGAAGGTGGTCGTGGACCATGCCTTGGAGCTTTTGGAGTGTGTGGACTTCTCATCAAAATACTTTTCCCGTCACCTTTGCTGGAAAAAACATCCAAACTTTGTAAACAAAAAGACAAACTTTATTCCAATTTTTACGGAATCTTGGAGACCTATAACCTCTGGACACCTACCTTATAAAGGGCCAGTGTTCGGTCGGCCTTGGTGTCTTCGTTCTCAACATTTCCAGTCTTGAGCGATCAGGTGTTGTGTAATTAAAGTGGAATTGCCTAGCAAGGCAAACCTGTACCAAACAACCATAAATACATATGTAACATGATCCACAAACAAAAACAGACACACACACAAGAAAGAGAGAGAGAGAGAGACTTACGGCCTTTCTTATCCTTTGAGAAACATGAAAAACTGCCCTCAGTTGGTCATGATGCAAGTGACAAAGTATTTTAACCTCAATATATCAGAAAAAATTGAATCAGTACCCAGTGGGAGGGGCCGAATCTCTAAAAATGGAAAGCATTCAAGCAAGCAGTTTCTGATAACAATCATCCAAAATAAGTGGGAGTGGTATATAATGCAATTCTAACTTGAGAATCAGGTTTTTGGCTCCAGTTTTTCCTCATACGTAAACTATATAAACATATATCCATTGGTGTCTTTACAGGATAAAAATTCCCAACTATGATATGACAGTAATCCATGAATACCATATCAAACAACATAAACAAGGATCATGCAGATTAGCCTATAGTTATATGCATGCAAACGGACAAATTTTTGAGGAATCAATTGCAAACATTAAAATATAGAAGAAAATGTCTTTGGAAAACTTTATTAAGTCAACATAGAAAATCATTGATTTTATATCCGAATGACTGGTTCTCAAAGCAGATAAAGCCCAAGATAACAATAAAAAGAGAAACAAGCAGATAAAGCACAAGATAACAATAAAAAGAGAAACATACTTTGGGAAGAAGACTATAGATAAAATAACAAACTCCATTTCATTCAAGGTGTTTTGCTTCTGTTAAATTACATTTGCAGTCATCTATGTTCTAACAAACAATAACTGGACTCAATTGGAGCAAAAAGAAGCTATATACATAGCACTTTGATCTTAATCCATTTATGTGGTTCTGCGCTCGAAAACAAAGCAGAGCCAACAAAATTACATTAACAGGCAACATAATCTATGAAGGATGCCCATCCTGTATGCCACCAACAAATGAAGATCATCCATGCAAGCAAAAACCCATAAAAATAATAATTTAGTAACTGATGCAGCATGTAAAACAGTGGCTCAAATGCTTTTTAACCTTGTAATGTCATACACAATCATCACTAATTGAACGAAGTAGAAATAAATCATTTCCAGGCCACGTCATTCAAAAAGAATAACAAAGGGTGCAAACAAATACCACTAAATCCATAGGAAGAGACTCCAGCCTTGAGTCTGAATCGAAGTCTTCAGGGCGAGGTGTCTTTGGTGTCCGCATCAAACTATTCTGTTTATGCAAACCGGCGGGCGATAACATCAAAGAGCTTTTCTCAATAACCCCATTTTCAATCAAAAGATTGTCACCCTCCGGTTTCTTGGCACCTAACACAGCTACCCTTTTCTTCCCAAGATCGGTACATAACTTGGCGGCTGAAGCTTTACGGTATCGAAGTTGAGCAAGAGTACCTGGTTTCACATACTTACTGCTAGAACTCTTCAACCGCCTGTTGTTTTTAGCTGTTTTTAATTCCCTATCTTTCGGAGACACTTTTCCCATACTTTTGTCACTCTTCTTTCTTACTTGTATTCTAAGTTGTCCCTTAACTAACTTATACACCTTTTTCCCTGATTGAGCTATTCCGAGTTTTCGAATAATTACACCTTAATACGCAGCCATCAATTGAAACTTTAAAACCTGGCATTGAAATGTAAGAAATTAAAACTTTCCTTTAATACCATAACTGGACTTAGTTCTTTATTGGCTTATTTTCAACTCAAAAACCAAATGAGGGGCAAAAAATAGTCAAGAAAAAAGCCCCAAATTGCTCAATAAACAAAACTCACATGATTAAAAGATTTGAGACTTCAAAATCCTCTTCAATTGATCTCCCCTGCAGTTCAAAACACTGAAAATGAATCAGCCAAACAAAAAACAGCAAGAACTTCATCAAGAAAAAGAAGCCCAAGAAACAAATCCTAAATAAAAATTAAGAAACCCAAATTAAAATGAAGGAAACAGATAAACTAACCGGCCTTTAAATTAATAGACATTTCCGTGTTAAAAAAAAAAAAAAATGAGAGAGCGAATTTGCATTAAGAGAGGAGGTTTTAGTGAGAGAGTGTCTGAGCGTGTTTGTAGAGAGAGAGAGAGGGAAGAGATGAGGCCGCTAGGGCTTGCTCTTTATTTGAATTTCTTTAATTGCCCGCCAAATTTTTTAACGACGGTTGCTATTTGTCTTGATTGCTAAGGTCACTGGGCCAAATCGGACTACGGAGATCGCGTTTGATTAGATAATCGGTTAGATCGAATTTCCTTAAAAGGTGGTCTCTTGATTTTTTTTTTTTTATTAATATCAAATTTTGAAAAGGAGATTTGCGAGGGAAAAAAAATACCAAAACATTTATATAATTACTATATTAGCCTCATTGGTTGGATAGTTTCGACCATTATCCGCTCAAACCTCGATTTAAATGGAATCCAATGCCTGACTTTTCTATTTTAGACCATTCTTATGAGGGCCTTCTTGGTATTGTACTTTGAAGATGCTGAAGGCTGGGGAAACTCGTCTCTTTAAGACTTGCTTCCTACGAGATAATATCTTTTGGTATGGAGAATTTAAGCCCTTTCACGTGAGTAGACTTTGGCATCGGCCAAATTAATCATTGTAAAAAGCAATTTAAAAATAAAATTGTAAATACAATAAATCAATATAATAAAGTGCATTCTTAAAATTGTTTATAAATAAATCCGAAAATACTCAAGATCATATTTTTGAAAAAATACTTAAGGCTTTTATAAATAAATTTAAGGGATCAATACCACTCAAAAGCACCCTCCCTACTTGATCATGTTATATATATTGGGGTTTATTATTGGTATCCAGTTGGGGAATTTCCTGGTAGATTATGGTACATTCGCATTGATAGGTAAGGAAACTCTTTTTATTGCAACACTTACATTGGAAAATAAAAAGCGTCAAATCCTTTACATTTTTTCTGAAAGACAATTGTCATAGATGCAACGACAAGAACAATGTTTTCAAGCTTTTAATTTAATGATTAAATATATTTAAAGAGATATCAAAAATGTAATTTTGAATCAATTTTTTTTTCTCTCTTTAGTTTACTCTCTTCAAATAAAATAAAATAAAATAAACGACAAGAACAGCTAAAGTTTACGGGCGACAGCTCCAAATTAAAGGACCACGAGTTGACAAGTTGACGTGGTTCGGCAAGACAACTGGTGAATTGTGCGATATGGCAACCATTTAACTTGATCTTATCTTTTTATCCCATCATAAACACTTGGATTTTTGGCCTCATCAGATTATTCATATTATTATATTTCATCCAATGAAGCAAAGATTTTGTGAAAAACAATAAGAAACCAAAATTTCATGATAGCCCAAAAAGAAATGGAGTCATGTTCACGGTTCACATCACAAAAAAGGATCCAAACTTTTGCCACGAAAAGAAGGATTACAAAGTGGTTTCCCATGCCACAACCTGTAAAACAGATCCAATTCCAACTTTCATCATTTTTATACTGTTTTTGGCGCCCTCAGCCCCTAACTCGCCTGTTTTCTAGTGAACAACTCTGTTCACAGGCTTGCCTTTTAATTCTCTATCTTTTCTCTGACTAAAAACCACCTACCTGCAGATTCTGATTGACCAACCTCTCTTATATATGCCTTTTAGAGCTTATATTAATCATATAATAATCAGATCACTAAAGCACATAGACAGCATCAAATAATTATATTAATGTATCCTTAAACAAAATAAAAATACTAAGGCTAAGGGTTAATAGTATATGATAATGGGGCTATCAGCAACCAAAATATTAATCTACTCATTCAAATTGTAGCAGCTGCTTTGTTAAGGTATGCGTTCGTTTTACGTGAAATCCCACTCGTGACAACGGAGAATCTCATCCCGTGACATCAAGAAAAGGAAATCATAGGGATACATAGTAGAATAAAACAGTAAATTAATGCACCAATTTTCCAGCTTGTAATCAAAATTTAAGCAAACAATGAATAATAATGCGGCAAGGAAAATAAAAAAGAAGCCCGGCTAGGTGCAACAGGAATCTATCTTAACCAACAATTTGATCGCTTAACTAATTGCTTAATCAGTCCCATTCTAGTCCATCTCATAGCATAATAGGAGAGATACTTGCAGCTTGCAAGGGTTTTTTTCTTTCCAAGTTTCCCATAATCCAAAACCCAAAACAACTTACTGTCTTGTTTTAGGGATTTGGATTTAAACCCACATTTCAAGCTACCGATGGAATTGGGTAAATATACTATAATTGGACAGTTTGATATGAATTCTTTATCGCACATTTTTAGATTATCAACCCCTAATGGATCATAGATATTTTTATGTGAATGGCAACCACGGTAATAACGATTGAAGAAGACTGAAAATTGACTTGCAAATTAAATTGCAGATGAACTAGTACTTAGCTTTGGTTACATTACGTGCTTGTAAAAGACAAATATTGTATAAAAAAGAAAAAACACGAATTAATGATCGAATTTAGCAAAGTAAGAACGAATTATAGGACCATCACATCTCGACAAATAGATGGTTCATCTTTATGCAATTTTCACATAAAACATTGCTTTAAAATGTTTTGTTGTGGGAGGAGTGTCAATTGTGTTTCCACCACCTAACATCACCAAGTCACGCCTTAGCTTACAATACATTCTCTCATGTAATTCGGCCAAAATTGGATTTGGAGCCGGGGGACCTTATGTTATACCAAGAATACATTATCAAGCAACAAAATTTGAATAATTGCAACAAATATATATTATCATTAAAATAACATAAATTTTGATTAACAAAACAAAAAAATGAGAGAAAACATGAAATCGTGATAAAAATCGTATGTTTATATGATTTGATAGGAAAAAGAGTAACAAAATTTGTAATTACATAGGCAACAATGAGGGTGGCGGAGACAGAGAACGACTAATGTGGACACGTGTAATGGAAGGCATGTGTGAGGCACTTCATGGTCGTACCATTATTGGTCCATGTGACAGTTGCCAGAAAGAATGGATGTTCAACTAGAATTTGCGTCCTACTGTTTTTAGTTGCCTTCACTGATCCCCCTCCAATTACACTATTATCCCTTTCGTTTAAAATCGCTTCAAATCATTGAAAATTATGTTTATTGTGCCATTACCTTCGGTGAAAATCGTTGGCATTGTCGTCCATTAAGAAAAAAGTGATGACATTTGCGTACTTTCAAATTTACCACCACCACAACAAAGGCACAAATTCATTGCTTGTCTGTCATGGTGATGGAGGTGAGTCTGCACCCAGCACCAACAGAGACAAACAAAAACCACAGAAACTGTGAGCGATAAAAGATTGAGAGAGAAACTATTTCTTTTTGAGCTCTGTTCACTTCGGAGAAAGAAGAAGAAGAAGAGCGGAGAAGCTCTCCGTTTTGCGCAAAGCAATGCCTGTTAATGCCAGAATTCAACGCTATTCTTATCTCAAACTCTGACGCTTTTTTTTTTCTTGAAGATAGAAAAGAAAAAGAACCAACCAAAGCATAGAAATAAGTGGAAACGCCTTGGGAGTAGGTGAGTGTCTCGCTACCATTCGCGCATTTTTCTTTGTGCTTTTGGCCCTTGAAAAAGGTCATAAGCTTAATTACGGTTCATAAAAGAGCTCACCGGAGATTCTATGAAATAAATTGCATTTGCATATTAGCTTTCTTTTTCTTTTTCCATCTGGAGTGTTGAATCGCTTCGCATTCAGTTTTCCTTTTTGAATTTCCTTTGGCTCGACAACATGAACGAAGAAGCGTAACGGATAATCTTCTAGACCGTGGTATCTTACAAACTGATTTTATTTTTATTTTGTTTAAGCAGTTGAAACGGATACTGCGTTGTTCTTTGCTTTGAAAAATCGAAGATCTGGATAGATCCTGGGAAGCAGCTTTTGATTCTCAAATTTGAGCTACGTATCGCCGATTCTCTAAAGAAATCAGTTGTGGCTTTTGTTGAGCAATGCAAGTTCTTCTTACGGTGACGCTTCTAGCATAGAAGAGGTGAAAACGAGCGAATATCTCCCATCTGGCCTTTTTTTGGTAGCAAATTACTGTTCATTAAGTTCATTTTCGACTCTGGACAGGTATAATTCGGTCAAATTGTTTGATCAATTTATTAAAAATGGATTATGGAATAATCTAACGAAAGTTTATATAAAAAGCAGGTTTCAGGTTTGATTGAGAGGAAAGGATGGCATCTTCGTGGGAACATTTCGGAGAAATTGCAAATGTAGCCCAGCTCGTGGGCTTTGATGCGGTGCGCTTAATAGCTATGATAGTTAGAGCTGCAACCGCAGCGCGAATGCACAAGAAGAATTGCATGCGATTCGCACAGCATCTCAAGTTGATCGGTAACTTGCTGGAGCAGCTTAAGATGTCGGAGCTTAAGAGGTATCCCGAGACGCGAGAGCCGTTGGAGCAGCTTGAGGATGCGTTAAGGAGGTCTTACATTTTAGTGAACAGTTGCCAGGATAGGAGCTATTTGTATCTTCTGGCCATGGGATGGAACATTGTATATCAATTTAGGAAGGCCCAGACTGAAATCGACCGGTATTTGAAGATTGTCCCTCTTATCACTCTGGTGGATAATGCTCGAGTCAGGGTATTGACTATTCTTGTTGCTGTTTTAAAATGACATTTGCTTTTGGAGCGATTTCATTTCATATCTTTAGCTTTGCCTGCATTTCTAATTTTTCAGTTCTCCCAAACCTGCAGGAGAGGCTAGAAGCTATTGAGAAAGATCAGCATGAGTACACATTGGATGAAGAGGACAGAAGGGTGCAAGATGTTATACTGAAACCGGAACCCTCAAAAAATGATGCTATGATTTTGAAAAAAACTCTTTCTTGCACATATCCAAATTTGTGTTTTAATGAAGCACTTAAAAAAGAAAATGAAAAGCTTCAACTAGAACTACAACAATCACAAGCTAATTATGATGTGCAGCAGTGTGATGTAATCCAGCATTTGCTTGATGTAACAGAAGTTGCTGCTGCAACTTCTATTCCGGATAATAGTTCATCCATGAAAGGGTCTAGGAAGGTAGAATGTAACATCTCAGATGCCGATAGTGAGAAAGGTTATTCATATGATGAAAGCTCTCCTAAGAAGTCTGATTCTCACACAACTTCAAGGTTAACTTTCTTTTCATTTCTAGTTTTGCATCGTCAAAATGCAGTTGTGGTTATATAAAAAAAAATATCTCATATAGTAACATCCCCAGTAACTTGTCCCTATTTTGCCATTTACTATGCCCTATAGGAGTTGAAAGCTGATGCAGACATGATTAAGACAGTAAAAATAGATTTTTACCTGCTGATGTAGATGTAATTTGCTTCGTAATTTCTTGTGATATAGTTAAAACTTGGGTGGTAAGGCTAAAAACTTTGTATGCTTTTAATGCAAGATTTAGTTGCTGACATCTTGATGCCCTGCCATTTAGAAGGAATTTGGCGTTTGAGTTTCAGCTTCTTTACAGTCACGTTTGTTGTCTTAAGTCCTTAAGCTTTCAAATATGCACTCACAGTTTATGCATTTCACATACTCGGAGCTAAGTGTGGTTCTAAAAGTTCTATGCCATACATTTTTGCTCAGAAACACATCTTCAGTTTCATCAGGACACGATCTGCTGTCTGATAGAGGTTCACATCGGAACAAAGAATGGCATGCTGATTTGCTTGGTTGTTGCTCAGAACCATATCTTTGTATGTCTTTTTTACATTGTTACTGCCCCTTTATTGTATTAAATATCTGCCTTCTATTCTGTTTGACATGATAGAAGTTACAACTTATAACTTGAGATTGTTTGGCTCCAAGAAAGGAGATGGGGACATTTTTTTTTAATTTGATTTTTGTTTCTTTTCCTTTTCTGGAGGGACAACAGGAGGACATTCTCTTCTTTAGGACAGATTTCTCTGGCAGACTGACTTTCCTGTATTTGCTGTTTTTCATCTGGTCTCCTAAGCCTCCTTTTTCTCATTGCAGGTATAAAGACATTCTTCTATCCTTGCGGTACATTTTCAAAGATTGCTACTGTGGCAATGAACAGGCACATGTGTAAGTATTTCTAAATTATATTGTATTTTCTAGTTTGTTATATTTCGGTTACTTAATAATTTCATTGCAGATAGGGAGATAGTCTGTGTGATCTTCCTTTTTTGTTGATTCCTTTATTTTCATTTGTGCAAGAATTTGATGTGTTGATTTCTAACTTACCCTGATCTGTAAGGATTATGTATTTTTACTAAAATATGTATGTGTGTTCTATTTTGCTTAGCACACATGCATAAGTGATTATGAGAATTCAGCTTTCCGTAGGAAAGGAAATTACCTTCTCCCTTGTAGGCTTGCTACTGAAAAGTGTTATATCAACTGCAGCCCCTTTGAAATTCTGTTTTCGGTTTTGGTATTGTTTCAAAGCTTACACAGCAACTTCCTTCAGCTTCTACAGAAGCATGCAATGAAATGATGGCGTATTCATTGATATTGTCATGCTGTTGCTACACTTGCTGCGTTAGAAGGAAGCTTCGCAAGGCGTTGAACATTACGGTATTTTCTCAACAGAAAGCTTAGTCTTGGATATAAGGTCTACAATTAGTTGTGCACAGCAAGTTTTGATCTTACTTTCAAGTCTACACTTTTATTCCTTTGCAGGGTGGATTTGTTGATGATTTCCTCTCACATTTGATGTGTTGCTGTTGTGCCCTTGTTCAAGAGTGGAGAGAAGTAGAGATACGTGGGGTTTATGGTATATCCTATATATTCCAAGAACCTTGACACCTCGTGATCTTGTTGAAATCTCATTTGTCTTCTAAATACACATTGGCATCTAATGATAACCATATCAGAACATATATTAGATGCTTTTAGTTCTAAAGTCGTGTGATTTTTGTTTTCCTGCTGCATGATGCATGTGATATTTGTAGTTTGGTTCCTTCATGTCATAATCTTGGCAATTCATATGAACTTGCAGGTCCAGAGAAGACTAAAACAAGCCCTCCACCATCAAAATTTATGGAATCATGAGTGACAGGACTGAAAGGCTTATTTCCATTGAAGGTTGATAAAGCCGAATATAGAATATAGCCTCTAGTGGCCACTGTTAAATTGAAACTGTACTGTGATTGCTCCCTTGCCTTGGAGTCTGCAGACATGTACTTTAGTCCAATTATATTTGGAGATTCAGCACATGTTGTATCATACACTATTTTCAATGGTATAGTGGTTTTTGGATCCATTTCTTCGTTAGAGATAGAGACACAACTACTAAAATGAATAATAAAGACATTAATATATATTTTTTGAAAACAGAAAGATGTTAACATATTAAGATTAAACAAGGTTGAATTTACCATACGGCCGCGTCTAATCTTTTTCACAAAGGTTAAAATAAATCGGTGAAAGCCCCTTTATTTCTCCTAGTTGGTCTAGGCCTAATGACAAATCCTTTATTTGGTTTACGTTCCCTTCGCATCCCCCACGTGTCAACATATGAGTGGTCCGCTGAGAACAAACACAATCAAGAGGCACCATGTCTAAAAGAAACCAACCCACCCTCGATATATCCCTTCGCATTATACACATGTCAGCCTGTGAGTGGTCCGAGGAGAACACAACACAATCAGGAAGCGCCGCGTCTAAAAGGAGCCGACCCTTCACCAAGGCCCACCCCATCCTCTATAAATAAGGGGATTCGATCCCAATTATTTCCTTCTCAAGATAAATCCTTGCTTGTTTCTCCCTCCAAGAAAAAAATCCCCTGATTGCTCGAGGTTTTTTCTGCTTTGAAAGATCCATAGCAAAAACGATGTCGTTGCCGGAGAGGAAGATTACTCTGATGAGCTCGGATGGCGAATCGTTCGAAATAGACGAAGCGGTGGCGTTGGAATCGCAGACGATAAAGCACATGATCGAGGACAATTGCGCGGATAACGGAATACCGTTGCCCAATGTTACGAGTAAGATCTTGGCGAAGGTGATCGAGTACTGCAAAAAGCACGTGGAGGCTCCTAAGACCGATGATCGAGCCGCTGATGACGAGCTTAAAAGTTGGGACGCTGACTTTGTCAAGGTCGATCAAGTCACTCTCTTCGATCTCGTTCTGGTCAGTCGCTTTTTCTCTTTTCTCTCTCTTTTCTTTTTTTATTTCTTTCTTTTTCTCTTTGTTTGATGTCTTAATTAATTGTTAATGTTTTATTATTGACAAGGCTAGGGTTTGGGAATTGGGGTTAGGGAAAAAAAACTAAAGAAAAGCTATCCAAAATGGAGTTGGTTTTGGGCATATACTAATTGGACGCATGTTTTCGCCAGATTGGGAATCTTTTACCATGGTTCAATCTGTTTGTTTTTGGTGATTTGTTGGTATTTTGATTTCGGAGGCTAATGAATTCGAATATAGTATGATGAATATACAATCGCGTAACAAGTCGTAGAATTCACCAATCTTATATTGCTAAGGATATAGGCAAAGAAGTTGTGCTACTTATTATTCGGATAACTAAAACTTTGACTATAATTATCGTGTTATTGTTTGATTCTCTCCTGCCTTATGATTTAAGTTTAATCTTGTTCCGTTTTAGCAGCATATCTATAAGCAAGAAACATTTATTAGAAGCATGAAAATCAATACTTCAATATAGTTGCGTTTGAGGTTGTGCTTATATTTGCAATTAGCAAATGGACTGTAACTAGTTGTCCTCTGTTTACATTGCTGTTTGGGTAAGGCCGGCTTCTTGCCTATCGTGTCTTGTTTCATTAGGTTTTGTTGGTAAAATTTGAAAATCTAAGTCTTGTTTCTTGATCTTGTAATATATTTTTGCAGGCAGCAAACTATTTGAACATCAAGGATTTGTTGGATCTTACTTGTCAAACCGTTGCTGACATGATCAAGGGAAAGACCCCAGAAGAGATCAGGAAGACTTTTAATATCAAGAATGACTTCACCCCTGAGGAGGAGGAGGAGGTTCGTCGCGAGAATCAATGGGCATTTGAATGAAGTATTGGCAATCTGGATTTCATGAAGTTTAATTTTACCAATCTTCTATGTTAGATGTAGTTAATTGCTCTGAATTTTCATCTTTCTTTGTTTTCTTGGGTACTTTGGATTTTACGACTTTTTAACTCTTTAAGCGACTATATATTCCTGCCTGTTCATACATTTTCACCAAGCCAGTCGTATCAAATTATTTTCTATATATCCGTTCTTAAACGTGGTTCTTGAGGTGAATGGGCCTCTGTTTGCCACAATGAATTTGGTTCTGTAGCTATTACTATCATATTTTTGTCATCTCTCATTTTCTAATGCAGCTGTTACTATCAATTTATGTCTACATACCCTCACAAATCAAAAGTGCTCTGTATAAAAGAAAATAAGGTGAAGAAATACCTCCATTTTCTCGTTTGAAACAAAGAAATAGGAAAAAATAGATACATTTGTATTTTTTTCATTTCATTTTGGAAACTCACTCCTTACATAGGTCGATAAAAAATGAAATTATTATAGTCGATTAGATTAGTTGTTTAATTCGTAACTAGAAATTTGCCGGTTAGTGGTACATCAAAGAAAATTGGTTTTTAAGTTATAAATTTCACCTTTTCAAATCTTCTTCGTTACCCATCTTAACCTGATATGTTAAATACAAGTAGGGGATTATAAGTTTCCTTCTTTTGTTTTTTCTTTTTCCCTTCTTACTTTTCTTGTTTCCCTCTATTTCTTTTTCCAACAGTCTGGAAGAGAGGCTGTTGAACTTTGTAAATACTTAGAAATTCAGAGAAATGCAAATTGTATTCGATGGATTAGAGCCTTACCAATGGCGATCAATTGTTTCAAGTAAATCTATTGTAACAAAAAAAAAAAATTTAATAAATTAATAAATCCTTGGCAAAACATTGAACTGGACGTTTTTGAACCAGTAGTAAACCAGCTTGATCTCTGAGCCAGTTCATCAAGCTTAGCATCCCTTTGCTCCACACTCTCTCTCCCGCTCTTGTTCTCCAACTTTTAAATTGTGAACGATTTCTTTTAAATCTACAAGATTACACCGAGGAACTCTTTCTATCCTCCTTTCCTTCATCATCTGTCTTACTCTGCCAACATCCTCCCACTGCCCTGCCACACCATAGACATTCAACAGTAACTGATAATATGAGAAGTTTTCAGGCTCCTTTGCAATCAAAGATGTTGCAATTTTCTCTCCAACAATCACACCTTCCTTAAAACGACAAGAGCTGAGCAAGTTAGCCCAAAGCAGAGAATCAGACGATACATCCCCATCAACCTCTGGCATTTGCCTCAGGATCTCCTCTGACTCCTGAACAAGCTCCACACCAACAAAAAGATTAGCCATGCACCAAAAATGAGCAAAGTTCGGCTTTATACCAAATTTATTTATCATTTGGCTGAAATAATTTCTGCCTTCTGCTAACAATCCTGCACGAGCACAAGCACACAGAACACCAATAAAAGTAATTTCATCAGGACAAATGCCCCCTCCTCCTCTAACCCTGTTTTTATCAACCATATCCATGAATAATTTTAACCCTTCTTCTTGGTTCCCATGAATGCAGTGCCCCAAAATCATTGCATTCCAGCAAACAAGATTCCTATTTTCGATCTTATCAAATATCCTACGAGCTAATCCTACTTTCTTGCAGTTCGAATACAAATTGACCAAAGCTGTATCAATTATTATATTAGATTTCAAATCATTCTTCATTAAAAATCCATGAACTGATCTTCCTTCCTTTAATCTAGTCGACTTACAACAAGCACTCAGCACGCTAACCACAGTCTTCTCATTCCCAACCACTCCCGTTTTCACCATTTCTCTGAACAACTTCAATGCACACCCCGGATTCCCACCCTTTAAATACCCATTAATCATAATATTCCAAGAAATCACATTTTTCTTGGGCATTTTATCGAACAGCCTCTGAGCTAGACCCAAATCCCAAACTTTTACACACCCATCAATAAGAGAGTTCCATGAGACAATATCCCTTTCAGACATTTCAACCAACACTTTCATAGCAAACTCAATAACCCCACAACAACCATACATATGAATCAAAGAGTTTTGTACTGGCAACTTATTAATTACCCCAAATTTAATTGCCTGGCCGTGACACTTTTGGGCAGATTTAGAACAACCTACTCTTGCACAAGAGCCTAAAAGTGGCACAAAAGTATAGCTATTTGGAACAAAGCATTCATTAGTCAGCATATGAAAACAAAAAACCACAGCTTGATGTGGAAACGAACTAAAAGCGTAAGATTTGATCACTGTATTAACACAAAAAGTACCAGGATTGTCAATGCATCGAAAAGTGGAAACAGTATAATCAATGTTGCTGAACATTGAAGAATGCTTTAAAACTTTTTCTGCCCAAAAGGGGATGCGGAAGAGGCCTGAAGTGATCAAGTGAGCTTGGATTTGAAGGAGCTGCTTTATATCTGGACATGAATCGAGAAACGAAAGGGTTGAAAGCGGAAAAGTTAGTGCTTTGGATGCAGTAGAATAAAATGGGGAGGAAAACCGGTTGGGTTTGGGGGAAGGGAGAAGGAGAGTTGGGTTAGCGAAGATGGTGTATCTGAAACGAAGGAGTTCATGCATGGACATTCTTGCCATCCATTTGGGACTTTGTTTTGATGCTTTCTCGAACTCAATTTGATTACCGCCATTGAAGCATGTTACTTCTACTCTCTAGCACATGATTAACAAATGCGAGAGAGAGACTTTATTCAATCAGACTTGTTGCTTAAGCTTCTGGTTAGCAACAGGCGATCACAGGCGAAAGATAGAATAACTATACATGAAATAATTTTATTTATTTAATATAAATATATAAATTAATTTTTTTAATAATATTTAAAATTTTAAAACTCATAACATATATAAAATTTATATATATTAACATGTCATTAAAAAATAATTTTTTTAAAAATAGTAAAAAAAAAATATTGTTTCTTTGAATATTTTCATTTACAATAATATTTATGCAGTAAAATTATATCAAATAAAAATAGATTATGTCTTTTTTAAAAAATAAAAATATATATTATTGAATAATAAATTAAATAACAAAAAAAATATTAATACATTTTCACTTAAGTAATCTTGATTAAATTATTATATAAAATATGAAAAGTGTTAAAAAATATGTGAAAAAACAAAATAATTAAAAATATATATTATTTTTCATAAGAATGAAATTGAAATAACAATAAAATATATCTTAGAAAAAATTTGTAATAGTAATAGAATATATCTTAAAAAAGTTACTGAAAAATAAAAAAATTGATGTATAATACATTCATTTATAGAAGAATTATTTAGTAGCAATTAGGATTAAATAGATCATTTTTAAATTAATTTTTTAAAATTTAAAATGGATATAATATTAAATTTTTTACATTTATTTAAAATATAAATTTGATAATTAGAATTTAAATGGATATAATTATTTTGATAATCTTATTATTTAAAGATTTAAGATGAATTTTTTTTTTAATTTTCAAAATCTTACATAAAATTACTTGAATTTTTAATATCTTATATAAATTTTTTAGAAATACAATTTTTTAAATCAAGATAAAAAAATATTATTGAAAGATTTGGATAAACTTAATTTTTATAATTTTTAAATATTTTTGAAATAATTTGATAATTACATAATTTTTTAAATAAGGTTATTTGGTAAGCAACTAAAATTATTTATTAAAACAATTCATATTTTTTATTTTAGAATATATATCTCTAAATTAATTTGATTTTCAATTATAATTTGAATAATTTTAATTTGAATAATTTTAATTTGAATAAATTTAAAATTATCTAATTTAGAATTAAAAAAATTATCTTATTCTTTTAAAAAATTATCTTATGTATCATTTAAAAGAATTGTTCATATATAATAAATTTATTTGTGAATGTTGTTTTATATATATATATATATATATATATTAGATTTCCTTCGGTTGACATGAAAAAAGCCTAAGGGGCTAACCGGCCGAAAGCCAGGGAAGTCCAAACGTACATGAGAACCATACCACAAGCGCAAAAGCAGACACCGTAAACAAGCCATGTTCAAGGCCCAAAAACAAAAGGACAGGACAAACCCCGGTCCAGCAAAACCCAAAAAAAAGCTCGAGAGTTGAAGCTCAAGGAAACCGCTGCGTCTACCGGGCAGCAAAAATCACATGGGAGTTGAGGCAGAGCGTTTGAGTAAGGTTCCCCCAAAAGCCTAATGGACAATAGTTTGCTGGGCCTGGGATTGCATGGTACTGGTAGGACTAGCATCACGAGTATCAGGGCGAGGCTAAAATTGCAATGGTTCACAAATTGAAGGCAAATAAAAATGGTGAGACTAAGCAAATGGCTTCTAAAGATGCAGGTAACGGACTTAGCAAAACTCATTCCGAGATCCTCGTTTGCCCGCTCTCCAAACAACCTTTAAGGTAACTCTTTGTTTTTCCTTTCCTTCATGATGCTTCTGTTTGCTAATTCTGTTTCTTATCAATGATTCTATCGGAGTCTCCTTTCCTGTGAGTTATAATTATAGTTTGGTTTCCCTTTTTGATTTGGCATTTTCTTTCGCTCGTTTGTCTGATTTTCATTGAGAATTGGGTATCTATTATCTGTTGGCCATGCTATTAATTATGATACCATTCTACCTCTGAAGTTAGCATCGGAGTTGCAATTCTACTGTTATAAAAGGAATTGTCTGCTGATATTATGGAACATATTGCAGAAATAAGAGACAAAAAATTACATATACATGAAAACTGATGTGATGCTCTAAGACGCACTAGGGTGTTTTGATCTTGTGTTGGAGTTTATGTTTGCTGGCGGTGTATGTTGCAAAAGGTTCTACGACAACCTTTAAATTACATTGAATTAATCAGGCTTCTTCAAGACCGAGGAATCACCATAGATTCATACTTCCAATGGTCAATTACTTTCCATCATTGTCTTACTTTCCGTCGAAGCATGCCCAATCCACTTTCGATGATTTGCTCAATTACCAAATGGATATACTAGCTCTGTTTGCTCCTACCGCTCGATCAAGTGATATGACACTGTCATTAGCTCAAACGTTTCCAGCTGTAAATCTACTACTTGAGACAACTAGTTGCATGACACAGCACAAACGTTCACGACCCAAGGCTGCGACTGCCCCTAACATTAACCATCACAGCTTTGAAACACAAAAATGAAAAATTGGCCTACGGGTCTTGTACAACAGGTAAAGTGATCTATAAGGGCAAGCAAGTCCAATTGTGGGCTATTAGGCTCTTGCACCAAGGCCTGCAGGCCTTATACACAAGGTATATGATCTATAATATATTGGACCCAAGAGCAACCAACACGAGCTTCTAGGCTCCTATCCCTAGGCCTGCAGATGTTTTGCAAGAGTGATCTATAATCTATTGGATCCAAGGGCCCAAAACAAAATTCTGTTGGCCGGTCTCCTGGATGAAAGTCAGACATCATAACCACTAGACGACAACGGAATTGTTGTTTTTAAATTGATAAAAAAAATTAGATTTCTTATCATAAATTACAAATGAACGGTGAGGATTTGGACTTTTGAGCTCCATTTTTGAAAAGACAAAAAAACTAATTTTTTTTTTTTTTTATATTTGTAAATTATAGATGTAAAGTTGTTTTAACTTATACGTTATATATGTTAGAAAATTATTGTTGGAAATAAATATGCCAATGAGATCATGCAGGGCGTAGGCATTGTTTCAATTTCTTTAATGAATTTGTGCCTTTTGAATTTAATGGCAACAGAAGGCTGTAATAGTGGAGGCATAAATGCAATGAAATAAGTTTTCATAAAAAAATAAAATAAAAACAAAGGATATTATTAATGCTTTGAACCAAATGTAAGCTAAAAATAAGTAAAAATATTTTAAACTGCTTGACAAAATTGTGTTTAATCTTTCGTCCTTCAAATTAAAATCTTATGCGTGAAAACTCACAGTTAATCTGTGAAGTAATATTTGTTTTAACTTAAAAGTTTGACGATTTTATTTCATGAAAATGTTTTATAAATTTAAAATTAAATTTTAATTTATATATCATTATAAATTTTCAAAATATCTCAATATGAGATTTAATTTTCACAAAATTTTTTTATTAAAGCTTGATATCTTTATTAAACTTAATATAAAATAAATAGATATATCAAATTATATCAAATGTTGGGTAAATCCAACACAAAACTAATATCAAGCTAAATATAAAGTACACAAGTCTCTCGAAGCATATCAAACATTGGATAAATTTAATACAAAACACACAAATTATAAGATCATCTCAAATATTAAAATTCTAAAAATGACTCATACAATATAATATTTAACTTTCGTTTGATTAATAATTACTTTAATATAATTTATGAAAACTCATAATCATTTTATTAATAATTATTTCAATATCATTTATAAAAATTTATACTTAATTTATAAAAAAAATATTTATTTTCATTTAAAATTTTCACGATTTTATTTCATAAAAATATTTTATAAATTTAAATTTAAATCTTAATTTATATATCGTAATAAAATTTTAAAATATTTTAATATAAAATTAAAGTGTCACACTATATTCGTGTCACCTAAGTTCAAATGGTGATAGAATGAGTTCGAAAACCTAAACCTGAAATGCCTGTCTCAAATGAATTAAATGGATGAGGGTGGGGATTGCACAGGGTTATGGGTAAACTAGGAATTAAAAAAAAAAAAAGAAAAAACCTATATTCTATTCCTAGGTAGGGAGCAAGGGAAAACGAAAAAAAAAAAAAACAATTTATAATTCCCCAAGTACTTAGTAATCAATCTCTCTCTCTGCTAGCAGTGACGTTTTGTCTTGTTGCAGTAGGTATCTTAAACAAGCTGAAATTATGAAACCGTACCATCATCCTTAAGAGTGAAATCCTAGTAAATTACTTTGCCTGTCATTGGCATATATGTCAGGTCATGGCTTGCAAAAATACCCTATTTATCACAATATATAGTTTTAAGTGACACTGCCATAAGAAACTTAAACGGAAACAACATCTACATCTGAATATGATAAGAATAACTTGCAGTACTGGCTATGCTAAAGTACATGCAGCAGATGAAAAACATGATTATTGGATAAATTGGTATAGAATTTAAGATTAACCTATTTATAAATTACTATGTAGTTTCTGACATAGATAGGAAAAGATCTCGTCTGCTGATAAAAACAGTATGAAAATTTTCTACTGTTTTGGTCATAGATCTATCAAGAAAAAGCCGAAAATAAGGAAAAAGCTGAAAGGAAAAAACTGTCAATTGATAAGCTTGCAATAATATGGGCCTAAAAAGCGGTTGACAGAGGACCCGATAATAAGGAATAAGATTTGAGAAACAGTGACACAGTTTGTCGCATCTTTTTTATTTTCCTTTCTTTTACTGTTCAGTTTTATTGAGTTTTGTTTTGCTAGTAATATTCAAGTTGGTTACATCGCCATTCTTCACCTCCGAACCAACAAATTACTAATTAGTACCATTCTTTTTTTCTTTTTGCATGAGAAGAAAATTGGTTCGAAATGGAACAAAGAGAAATGGCTTGAGAAAGGAACAAAAAAGTCAGTTGTCCAAGGAAGTGTACAATCCAACTGAGGAAGCAAGCAAAGACCCACCATACTAAAGTTCCTGCATATTAGGAAAGGCAAAAATACTTCACTTCCCTCCTTGCCCACAATTCATGTTTCTTTCTCAAGATCAACTGTCTTTGCACTTGCTAGAGGTACGACCCTTTTCACCTACACCAGACTTGAAATAGCCCTCCCCAAAACCTATACAAACTCATTCCTTTTCTAGCTTAAAGGACCTCAGCTGCTCTGAGAGCGAAAAAAAGAAAGAGGGAGAGATTTGATAAAAGGAATGCACAGATTGATATTCCTCAAAATGGAGCCGTTGACGTTCGCTGAAGTGTGCGCTTTTTGGAAAGTTGAGCGGCAGCAGCTATGCGTAACTGCATGCTCCACAAGACAAAATACAAGCACAATGTCAATATTAATGTCTTTTTTTTCTATTGCAACTAGTATAATTCTTCACAGACCAAATCAGCTTCAAAGTTCCAAGCATATTTATTGTTTCGTTATTAGATTTTGGTGACGCTAGCACAAGAACTCAAATATCAATGAGGAAACACAAATTAGTGGATCCTTTCCTTTTTTTTGCACACAAAGAACTCTATTTGCTTACAAAAATCATTTTTACCTAAGTTACCTGTTCTTGCTGTCTCTTGAGTCTTGCATTCTCTTCCATAAGGTGGGCAACTTCAAGCTCTAACTCATTTGTGTAAGCCTGTAAGAGAAGGAATATCAAAATGAGATATTTTCAGAATGCATATGTATCAGTAGCTAGAAACCTATTTCAGTATTACTGAAATCTTTTTTTATGAAAATGACGGGGAAAAGAAACGCATTGATCACCTGTTTCCTAGCTCTTGATCGAGCTGCAGACTCTCGGTTCTTGATCATACGCTCGTGCCGCCGATCTCCAGACCTGCTATCAGATTCTTGGACCCTTTTCTTACTAAAAGAAACCAAACTAGAAGATGATGATAAAGCCTCGAATGGACAGGTGAAAGTGGACAAATTCGAAATAGGGCTCCGTTTCAAACGCGAGTTAGACATGAGAGGATCCAAGTTTAGGCCTGGACCCGAATTCAGGCTCAAAACAGTGGCAGAAGGTGGCACTGGGGAACCATAGAGCGTAGTCTCCCCGTTTGTGGAGACTCTATTTGTTGGTGGGTGTTTGCTAAAAGGTCTGGCAAGAAAATCCTGAAGCACAAAATGCGGGTTGTGAGTATTTGGGTTTACAGAAAGGCCATCCCTGGAAGAGTGATCATGAAGAGGAGTAAGATTAATGTCTTTCCAAACCTCTTCCATCGTTTTGGGTCTAGGGGTTTGGTTCTGAAGATGTGAAGAAGGAGAGAATGCTGAAGGAGAAGAAGATGTTGATGGTGATTTTGAGGATTGTGAGGCGAGGGGTGAGGACACTCTATTTAGGCTTATTGTTGCAATTCAACTAATAGCAATAGGAGTGGCTTACCCCAGCTGGCCCTCGCTGAAAAAACTGGACCACATTGAAGGTGGTAGGGGGTGCACCAACGGTTCCGTGGCTTAAACCTACCTCGGTTAATATATGCACAAGAAATAAATTAAATTAAATGTCAATAAATCAGACGAGCTATGCTATGATCAAAGGAAAAACTGAATAGTTGAAATTTGCATTTATAAAATATTAAATCATGCAAGTCAGAAGCTTAATTAGTATATAATAGTGACTATATGTATATTAAAGCGCATAAATAAAGATTGATGATGTAGAGCATGCAGGGGTGATATAGCTCCTAATTATGTTATCTAATATCCAAGTTTCATTTGAAATTCTTTTTCTTGATTTGTATGATCAACCAGTTGTCTCATTAGAGTCAAGCTTCATGCTCCAAGAGTCATTTAGGTTCTAGCTGGAGCTAGCTTGACGAAGCACAAGCGAGTCATTATCTCAAAGTAGAAATGGACCACTTCCTGCATGCCGATTATGTGGAAGAGGCCAAGTTTAGGTCAACTTATAGCTTCCTCGTCATCATGCATATTCATATTCCTATCAACAGAGATCAGATTATTAATTGGCACATTAATTGCTTCACTTGTCCTTAGAAAAGCAGAAATTTCGAATAATACTTAAGCTCTAAATTAACAATCTATCATGTAGATTATAATGTTCAAAGCAGTTTATATTATCAGTTAAAGATATATACTATCATAGTGTATTTGCATTATTTGTTGAATAACAAAAACAGCTAATCGAAGCATTGTCTGTCTCTCTGAAGAGCCAAGAGGGAAAATGAACTTTGATTTGACTGATTTATCATTTTCCTCAATTCAAAGAAAACAATTACAGTACTAAGTACAATAACAATAACAATAACCATAGCAACAGAGAAAAAAATAGAAGAGAAGAGAAGAACGAAACAAGTATGCCGCCATAAAAGAATACGTTTACAATTAATTGATCACTTATCATAAGTTTCTGAGAGATTTTCCAACTCTCCGAGATTTGGACACCTGTTTTATTCGTAGGATAAAATGCTTCCCTTGCAGACTCTTTACTTACTTTTTAACTCGGAGATCAAACCATCTTCTCGATCATTAATTTCCCCGTTCCATGCCTTTCTTTCAGTCTTTCACCACCCGCTTGCCCTCCCATTTTCATTCAAATTTTCATTTACTTCTATTCATTGTTTATTTATTTATGGGAAATGTTTCATACTCCAATTAGTAAACATTAAAGGAAAACATGCAGGTAGAGAGTTTATATTATAGCTTATTCGTTTCTTTCCCTCATTTTTCAACTTCGTTTAAGGAAAAGACAAAAGAAAAAGAATTAGTCCCATCTTCATCTGCAAAGCTCGGACCTTAAAGGAAAATGAAATGACTTGCTCTCAGTCCATCTTAACTTTTAAACCAAACTTATTACTAGTATTTACCAGCGTTCTGATTTCTGATTTCTGCTGGAGTTCCTTAATTACTTTAGTAGCCAGTACGAGTGGGAACTGTAGGATTCATCGGCAGAATGCAACAATAAATTTATCATAAATAATAGGAATACTCCATTAACGTGTGCTAGTGGACAAAGGAAAGGAAAGAATAACACTTTCCCAGCTACCCTACATATCGACCTGCATGAGTTTCATAACCTGATAATGACAAAATTTTGACTAGAAATGGAATTGAAACCAACCCATCTCTCACAAGTTTAATCTTATTTATCACTATGCCAACAAGTTTATATATAAAAGTTGTGAACTAAATAGATTTCACTTGAAAGTCATTGCGAATTCATTGGGAAGATCAGTACTACATATAATTGCGATGAAAATAGAAGTAGAAGCAACAAAGGAAGATGAATGACATACAATAAGTAGTCCGCAATTGACATCAACGGGAAGCAAAGTGAAGTTGGTGAAGAGATCAGGAAAGATTAGACTAGTTATCTGAACTCTCACGAGACCTGGCAATAAGTGAACAGCTGGCAACCCTGCGCTGCATTGCACAGTCCCAAACTCTTTCACCATCTTTCAAAAAAGTGTGCTGGCTGGAAGGCTGGCTGCAACTACAAAGAAAAACCATATCTGCAGACTGCAGGTTCCACTCCACTCCACCATTCCCTGTTGAGCCAGCACCGTATCACCTCTCTTAAAGCAACAAGCCAACAACTTTGTCCGTATTCTGAGTGATCAGTTAAGCTACCCAGCTCAAACTGATGAACTATGAAAGAGCAGTACAATTGTACCTTAAATCTTGTGCAATTAGTTTAGCACCATCTAGCTGGTTTAATTTTCAATATTTGATCTACCACTCGAGCACTTAATGTTCATGTAATGGAATGAACTTTCTCTGTAGGAGAACCACTCCTTTTTTTTTTTTTTGAGAAAAGGAGAACCTCTCAATTGATCAATAAGAAATTAAGAAGTCAATCATAGGAAAGGCTGGTAGAGCTGACGAAATTTTTGGATGTTTGATTAAAAATTGGAACAAATATATATCAGCGGGGTCAGCTAGCTGTAACCAATTAATTATATGCCATGGCATGGAAATTTTGATTGAGGGAAATTATGGATTTATTTAATTAAACAAAGGGTAGGAAGGATTGAAGCAACGGGAGTAGGAAAGATGGTAGTAGTACTTTGTATGTTACGGGATTCTGATTTGATCGAGACCCGTCAGCCTTCTTCTATATTTGAGTTCCCAGAGAAAGGTTATCAATCAGATTCTGATTCTTATTCTTCAACATTGGTGAATGTCCGTTTAAGAGTCACGACCCTTTGGACGGTAATAGTGCAATGAATATTAACCCTTGGATTCTCACATCAAACCTAGAAGCCCGTCTAACGAGAAAGTAAAGTGGTCTGAAAGTGGGTCCCTGAAGCCGTAGTAGGATCAGGGGCAGGAGCCAAGAGGAAAGGACCTTCAAGGGGAACCAACATTTTCCATTTCAATGGGCTGTTGTTTCATGTTCACTCAGCCACTTTCAGTTCTACTATCCAAATATACCCTAATCGTTCGTGCTTGCTTCTCTTCTTGTGCTTTTGCTGTTTATTATATATGCCCCGCAACACAAATCGGGTAAATCTTGCCTAAAAAATGAAACCCAAAGCTTTTAAAGATTCAAGGTAGCTACTAACTCAGAAGCATGTCTAGGAAAGTTACTAGTTGAATAATCGAGCAAAGAATACGCCTGCACTCCCTTCCCCCCCCCCCCCTCCCCTCCCTTCTTTTCATTTATTCAAGAATGTTTTTTCTCAGAGAAAATGCTATTACACCCGAAACAATATGATGCTAATGCTATTACACCCTAAACAATATGATGCTACCACGCCATAAATTAAAACAATCAAACTGACTGAGCTTTTACTTATGTTAAATCGAATAGAAACGCGTGCTATCATTATTCATTACCCATTGTCAATAATAATGGCACTATCCACAACTGAAAGAGAAAGGGACTTGTTATCCTTCACTAATTATCTCCATGCAGCGTCCGCTGTGGGATCTTTTTTAACAAATGATGACAACGTCAATAAATGAACAGGAGGCAGCGATTCATTCAGATTGGTTTGATGTCACCATTGTATCGTACGTTTCAACCACACTAACAATCCACCATCAAAGCCAACGACCTTGTAAGGAAAAGGGTGTTTCCGGTCAGGACTCAGGAAAAGGGTGTTTCAGCCACATTAACATTGGGTATTTGACTAAAGGTGGTAACTTATACCATACAAGAAGTCAGTCAGTAAAGATTAATAAATAATACTATAAGGAATATTATTTGAGAGCAAGTCCAAGTACCAGAAGGTCCAAAACTTAAATCATACATCCAGTTGTAACTTGGTCATTTTCAAAGGTTGGTTTGTCCCACAAATTAAGGACAATATTATGCAGCAAATGCAAGTCCTTAACAGAGTATTAAGAATAAGTATTATACATATATAAAAATGCAATTCTTGGTAAATGATATAGGCCGTCAAAGAAGGAAAGGAATTTAACCATGAAGCGATGATTACCACCAGTAGCACGAGCTGCTGCAGTATAAATCAATTCTCCTTTCTCCCCCTCGCATAATGCAAGACATGAACCCATTAAGTATTTTGTTCTTTCAAAGTTTATATACCTTCCCCCCCCCCCCAAAAAAAAAAAAAAACTAACCGGAGGTTCTCAGACCCCAAAGATTTATCCAAAAAAAAGAAAAAACAGACGATGGGTAGCGAGGGGAAGCAAATCAAAATTCCCCAGATTTAAACACCATCCAGATCACCATAAATAGTAAAGGAAAATGCAACATCTCCCCCAAAAAAACCAATAACAGCCACAATAATTTCGTGCTACTAGCTCAAGTCTAAAAGGTTCAATTTTTTTTTTTTTTTAATATTCTGTGTTTTTTTTATCCTTTTCTAAAAGTTGTTTTCCTTTTCTTCTCGTAATGTTTTCTCTAATTTGCTGCACGAGAAATCATATTTCATTATGCCAGGCAAGATAATCACCCATGGTGTCAAAATCATCCTCTGCTCTATCTTCCAGAAACTTTAGCAAGAAAATGTGCTGCCGTGATGCACATTTTGCTTAATTTGAATTAGTTGCTGCACCACCTTGAACACCTACAGCTTTTCCCTCTTGGCCAAATAGCTGTGACTGATTATTGAAGTCCCCCGAAGATGATCTACCTGATAGTCCATCAGCATGAACATCTTCTTGGCTCCTTGCCTCACTCTGGTTAGCAGTTCTCTGATCCAAAGAAATATTCTGAACACTGGCGACCGGCATATCCTGACCAAACATGGTAGGGAACTGAACAGATGGCGGCATTATCCAATGCCTCCAATCAGTCCGCTTTCTTACTTTGTCACCCTAAAGTGTAAATAGAGAGGTGATTAAAACAAAAGAAACCACATCATTCTAATCATATTGTATGAAGCTCAGCTCTAACAGAACCATCGACTAAGCATGAACAGTAAGAGGAACTGCATGCATGTGTGCATGTCTTGGAGGTGGATCAGAGCAGCATATACTAAATGGAAACGTTTCATACTGATCAATTAGTAAAGAACAAATAACCCAGGATTTCATTCTAGAAGATACCTCTACTTCCACAACATTTGAACTTTGCAGAGCATCCAGTATAAGCTGAATATTATCAGTCAACATTGAAACCTGAAAAGAAGATATAGAAAAATGTTGCCTTTGCACAGATAACTTTAAAAAATTGCTCTGGGAGAGGCAAAATCCGACCAAAGGATCCAATGATAGCATGATATAGTTATTGATCATGTTAAGAATATGCCATTTATTAATATTTCCAAATCATTAAACACAAACTAATAAAACACAAATCGTTATCCCTTGTGCTTGATCTAGCTCTTCATTAAGAATAAAAAAAATTATACCACCTTTAGAATGAGTTGGAGCAAAAGTAAATAGGACTACAGGATCCAATGTAACTTACTGTAAGTAATGCAGACAGGTGCTTATACATAAATCTTATGCATAAATAAACAAACAAAATGATAGCATGAGAAACTGTGAATTTTTTGGTGTTGTTGCATATAAATAGTCAATGATAGACACTTAACAAACCGCATTACCTTTGTAACTTAAAGTTGTAAGCCTTTATCATTTAAAACCATATAGAAAGCAAGTTGAAAGAAAATAGCACTAATCCTCACTCAAAGATGTAGCCAAAGTAATCTAGTAATTAAATACAAATTTTTTTTCTTGGAAAGAAAAATAACAAGAAAATATAGCGGTTGAATGTTAGTGAATTCTAGTTTCTAGAAACAATTCCGTAAAACACTGAACAGTGTGAAACACTGCAAATATTTTCGCCATTTTTCCAAATTTTTAAATTGCACAGGTGAAGTATCATCATTTCAAGGAGTATTAAGCCCACAAGTAAAATCTCACTCTTTCACATCTGAGCTATAGTAAATAAGGGTTGTGGCCTTTGTTCTCATATCTTTCATTTCCCTCTAATTGTTTTCTAGAAAAGCTCCTCTCCACAATCTTATGCTAACAGATTAGAGATAGCAATCAACATGTATTTTTCATTATTACTGAACTAATTTATTTTGCTTCTCTCAAAATCTTCAATTACAATCAGTTTTTTTTTTTTATTGATAACCACATAGACTTGCCATTACAGATTAACAGATGAGTCCAGCAGGAATAGATGTTATGAACTTATGATAGTGCTAAAGAATCACAATCCATTACCATGAAAAGCTCTAAGCACAGGAAGTATCACAATCACACAAATGAAACCAGCTTCAAAATCTCTTAAAACTCACCTTTCTAAAGCCTGCTATTAATCTAATAGGAACCCAGCCCTGGTCATCCATGTTCTGCCGCAAGAATATATCCTTAATTAGATTTTCAATACTGCAATAAAGAAGCAGGCAATTAGCTTCTCCAGTGACCTAAAATACTAAGATATGGCCATTTAAATTAACTAAGTTGACCTAAGTTAACACACAAACAAAGCATTACCTGAAATAATAATCTATCTGATTCACTATCTTAGCATGCAACTGATGATCTTGAGGCTCTGGAGCAGGGAAAAACACCGGGGGCATTGGTGGAACAAATGGGACACCTCTAAACGAGTCTGGAGGGGCTGGGACTAAATAAACATGAGATGCCAATTCTGAAAGGAGATGAAGATATTAAGGCTAACTCAGAATACTACTCTTCCTCAACCCAAAAAAAAAAAAAAAAAGAGTAAAAAAATTAAAGATTACCAGGAAATCCCATGGGGTTGCCAAAGGGGCGCACGGGTGGGGGAGCAATAAATGGTGTGGTATTAGGCAGTGGAGGAGGTGGCGGATGCCTTATTAACCTGGGAACAACTCTTGACTGCATGTGACCATCCCTACCATTAAAGTTTCGACCATTCCAATTTTGATTTCCATGGTCTTGATTGCGCCTTCCTCCATAATTCTGATGGTGAGAACCATCTCCTCGTGGATGCGAACCACTATTACGATATCTGAATGAATTCCGTGAGTGTGGATGATCATTCCCACCACTATGAGGCTGTGACACAAATCCACTTCTCTGTGTATGGTCCCTTGAAGGACCACTCAGAGGTGCTTCAACCACAGGACCTTGCGGTGGTGGCTGCAAAATGCCACCATTAGATGCTGAGTTATTACTATTTCGCTTCATTGGCCTTTGGCGTGCAGCCATTGTATGGTTTGGTATCAAATTACTGTTGTTGACTTGTTTCTGTGAAGAAGACGACGATGACGCACTTCCGCTCCCCTACAATTTAGGCAACATAGCAAAACCAAGTCAAAGTAACCTCAGAATCCAAAATTAAACAAAACTAAGTCATATATAACAACACAAGCGAATCTCTAAATACTCCCTCTATTCATATATAACATCCATTATTCAGATTCCTTCAAATGAAATACAATTCAAGTAAACCCTAAAGCTGGAATAAGAATTCAAAATTCCTAGCATTTTCTGTTTTCGCCCAGTTAGATTCTTTGCATTTAATCTCTTGCTTACCAAACATATAATAAAACAAATTGGAAAACTAATTTAATTTTAATTCAGTTCAGGTAAGACGGTTAATTTCAGCTATTTAACAGCTGGTAATAAAAATACTTGAAATGGTAACAATTAAATTGAAATCAATAAAGAAGGGTTTAAACATTTGGGAAACAAACCTGAGAAACGGGGACAACAGAAGGAGAAGATGGTCCATCCGATGAAGCTCTGGATGAATCTGAAGAGGATTTGGAAGAAACCCTAGCGGACTCAGACAAAGCAGGCCACATGTGGGCCCCCATGACGGACCCAAACTCGGCAGAGCCGTTGGAAGGCTTGTTCCAAGCCGGTCTCTTACCGGCATTACCATTGGGCCCAGCACTGCCGTTCTCCACGCCTCCCTCTTCGACCACCGTGGTAACAGGCGGCTCAATCACAGCCGTTGATGGTGACGACGACGAAGACGACGAAGGTGATAAAGGAACACCGGCGATCGGCTCCGATTCTCCATGGACGATTTGAGTCCAGGGCGAAGAAACTGCCCTCGTGGCACGATTAGATTGATTAGGGCTACTGGGAGAGTGATTAATAGCTGTCACTGCAGCGGAGGTATTCAAATTAGCCGTATTAACATTCGCAGCCATATCAAACCCTAACTTAAACAAAATTGGATTTTCCCTTGTTTTTCCTAAGTCGACAACTTGATCGACGGCAAAAAACACTAAAAATCGGAGAACAAAATTTTGATAAAAAATAATAAAAATCGGAACGAGAAAGAGAAAAGTGAGAGATAAGAATGCAAAACTTAGGATTTTCCAAAAAAAAAAAATTAGGGATTGAATGATCCGATTGGAGAAGAGCGACGGAGTCTCTGTAACCTCTGCTTCTCTCTTTCTCTTTCTGTTTTTCTCTCTTATTTCTTTTTCTTTCTTTTATTTTATATATCTCTCTTTAAATGCTTCCGATCAGCTGCTTACTTTAAATACTAATGGGTTTTTGGTTTAACGATATTGCCCTTGGGTCAAGGTTTTTTTTGGTAATTTAACCGCAGTAAAATCAAATCTAACTAGGGTTTCCAATTTTTTTACGGATGGGATTGTTTTTCCTAGTTTGATTCGCGCTAGGATTCAGTTACCTAGTATATTTCATGTTCCCATTGTTTTCTGAATTTGGCGTGGCAAATAAGAAACAATCCAATAGTAATATGCCACGTGATTATATTAATATTTTTTTTTGGCTATGGAAAAATTCGATGAGAGCAGTGCATTAAATATACAAAATTAAAATATTACTTTCACCATCCTTAACAAGTGTTTTTGGATATCATTTTATAATTATATATATATATATATAATTTTTTTTTTTCAAAACAATTGATATCCCGTGAAATAGATTAATGTATATTCATTTGGAGCAACTTACATAAATATATCAAAGTGTTGATGACTTGTTCATAGGGTTGTAAGCAAGTAGAATTTGAATGAATTTATCTCTGTTTTTTATCATTAATTTATTTTAAAAATTGTTTATGATTGGTTCGTGTTCATTATAAATTTTTGTGATAATGTTTGAGTTTAACTCGTTTAAAGTAAGACATAATCAATATTGATTAAATTTTTTTTGCCACGTCAAATTTAATTTATTAAAGTTAAATGAATTAATTTATAAATATATTTATAAAATTATAATTAAATATATTTACAAATAATTAAAATATATTTGTAAAAAATAAACAAACAAATTAATTAATTATAAATTTTAATAAATATATCAATAAATAAATAAAATAATATTATATATTAAAATTATTATTTTATTATTATAGAATAATAAAACTATATTTAAATGATATTATAAATGAATTTGTTTGTAAACCTAAATATATTAAACAGACTAATGTTTGAGATCAACTCATTTATTATACAATTCTAAAATTTTGTTCAAAATCATTTATTTAACTTAATAAATAAATATAAATGAATAAAAATTAAATTTATTCATCAATTATTTGCCAAGCGGTTTAATTATTTACAACCCTATTTGTTTTTTCACGAAGAAAATCACTTGAAATTCATTAATTATAATTATTTTCGTTTTGAGTATTTTTTTATAAAAAATAAATAAATAAGACATTGAAGTACTTGGTAAAGTTTTTCCTTCTTATAAAAAAATATAGAGAGAGGAAGATTTTCTGCTGCAGATTCCTGGCAGCTTCTTTGAAGATTCGATAAAGCAAGTCAAATTTTAAATTAGCAAATATTTATAAAATTGCTTGTTACCTTCTTGGCTAAGGAGTGTTGAAGAGGCTTCAAATTGAAATATCATATAAAAAATATTATATTAAAAAAAGAAAAAAAATGATTGAATTTGCATTTTCCAAAAAAAAAAAAAAATGTGTTTATGGTTCGAGGGATAATAAGGAATCAATTACTATAGATAGTGTTTATCCTTTGAGAACAATTTAAATTAGAAAATATTTACAAAATATCTTGTTATCTTCTTGGCTAAGGAGTGTTAAAAAGGTTTCAAATTGGAATATCATATAAGAAATATTAATTAAAAATAAAAAATATATATTACAAAGGCAAAAATTATTGAATTAGCATTTCCCAATCAAAATCAAATGATATAATTGTACTATTATACACCATAACCTATAATTTATTTAAAAAAAAAAAAAATCAAAGGATGTGCATTTTTGTGGAAACGGTTGTTGACTTAGCTTTCAAGTTTGTATATATTATTCAATAAATGTAAATTTTTTCCATTGAAATTCCGACGGATCTATTTGGACTTGAGCATGATTAACGCGGATGAAGATGAAGACCATCATTTGATGTGAGATTGGGAATGTCAACATATCGGGTTTGGCCAAAATTGTTTTGAATATTGAATTGGTTGGGTTGGACAGCTTTTTTTATTTTTTTATTAATTTAACTTCCCATAGATTCTTGCTTGCTAGAACTGTCTAAGAGTGTTAACGATTTTTCCCTTTGTCTCTCACATTTCCTCGTAATATAATAATAGAATTAAAGAAAAATATTTTACTATATTATAATTTAATATTTATTTTTGCATTATATTTTAATTTTATCTTTTTTTGTTAAATATTTTGTTAACGTAAATAGTAAATTTATGACAATTTCATTATATTTTTATAAAAATCAACAAAATTGAAAGTACACCTACTAAATTCAATGAAAATTTTAAATTATGATAACAAAATTCAATATTGACTTATAATAATATAGCAAAATTGACCTCAATCTTAGATATTGATTTTAAATTTTATAGTCAATTGAATATAGAAAGATTTTAATTTGGTGCAGTGGATTTTAATTGTACAGCAATATAGAAATTCCTAAAGGAAAAATCAGAAAAAGGGTAAGGTGATTTGCTTATTTAAGCAAATTGCATTGTTATTGCATCTGTTAAAGAGAAATTTGTTATATTTTTTTTCATATAGAATCCAATTCCACCGCCATGCTTAAAGTAAAAGATGCGAAAAAACTCAAAATCTTCGAGGCTGGTTTGAACTGTGAATTGGGGTTGTATTCCAATCGTGGTTTAGACAGAATAAGTTGACAGAGTCATCTGCTTGTTTTCAACTTTTTCTTTTTTTTTTGAGAAAGGAAGTTTTATTAGCTTTTTGTTTCGTTTTCAATCAAATGGTAGTATTGTTTTTCAGAGAAATCAATTATTAATGGATGTTTGGATGATCAGATAACAAATAAATGGCACCATCACTTACTTTGCAAAAGTAGATGCTTTTATGTTTCATCCTCTACTTATCGTGAGAGCATGAAGTTTCAATACGGGCTTCAAAAACCCAGTCCGTTGAAAATACCGGGGCTCAATGTTTCAACTTTCAAGCATTTTGCTTTACAACTGATGAACTTCTTCAAAGTATATCGGCTTTATACCGCCTTAAACAAGAAAGTATATTTGGTTGGATTTGGTTTTCATAGACAGCACAGAAGTTGGCTGCCCTTTCCCAACAAACCAATCTATTGGGCCTGAATTGTTCTGTTACATGGTCTCACTAGCTGAAAGATGGATCTACAGATCAACAACAAAAAGATGGTACTCTCTGTCGCAAGAGTAGAAGACAAATTACAAGATCACTCAATTGTCCTTCATATCTTATAGGAGAAGCTACCATTTCAAGTTATTTACTGCTGTTTTCTCTGAAGCTTTTGCATATGGCTAAAGTAAGCTTCCAAGTTTTTCTGATACGGTATGGTTTAGGTTTTGGCTCCCTTGCCAATAAGATTTGCTGTGTTTGTGGTGCACCTGGTCACTATAATAAACCCGCTTCTTTTATACCAATAAAAATAAAAGCTTAGAAATGTAAGGCATGCTATAAAATCGTCTCTTAAAATCAAAATATATTTACAACCCCATGTAATTATGCCAGTAACATGAAAAGAAAAATAGGAAGCTAAAAATGCTTTCAGTTACTGTATACCTAAAACAATACCTATGGTACAGGGTCGGGGTTGGGGGGGGGGGGGGGGGTGGGTCTCTGGAAGTAAAGAATAGGATTAAATCAGGGAAAAAAATGGAATGAGAGCAATTATGAGTGCACAAGTCAAAGTATTAAGCTGGGGTGATCGATTTGTCATGGGTGGTGATGCCCCTGAAATTTCAGAATTATTACCATTCCCTGCTGTGGCTTGAGGGTTGACAGCAATAGCAGGAGAGACTGCAGTCGCTGGCTTGACAGGTAAAGTGTTATAGGCCTCAATATCATAACCTGTACAAATCAGATTTCATTGTTAGAGATTTAAGAGATCAATTGGACACATAAAATAAACGGGAAACATACGAGAAGTTACTCACAGTCAGATGCTTTCCAGCCCAGTACCATCTTCTCACGATCAAAGAGTATACGATAACCAGTCATGAAATTTTCTGGATTGAATTTAATAAAAGTGAAAGAAGTAATCAACCATTTATTAAATAGCCAGAAGGAGAACAGAATGAAAAACACTGACTTAATGCACCAAGAAACTACTGGCATGTATGACTCAATTCGAGATGAACACAGCTTCCCATCGAATGCAATTAAAAGTGCAGTGCTATACTAGGCCGAATTTCCAACATGATGAGATATAACAGAATTCATTATAATCATTGTAGAGCAAGCTCCATGAATAAGCAATGTTAACAGGGGAGAGACTTACGTCCAATGATATTCACATTGTCACTTTTCACAACACCCAAACAATATACAGCTCCACCCTGGAGATTAAAGAAAGAGATTAATTGCAACATATGTCAAGGAGCAGGATTAACATCTAACAAAATTAAAATGAACTTTTACCTGCATGGGAATCACTACTATTGGATCATTAACAAAAAACTGATCTCCACCTTTCATTGTCAGATTCACTACAGGGTAATTAAAGCTGGTTTGTTTTGCACTATAAGGTAAAAGAAGATGTCAGTACCTAAGGCCTTAGGCTAGGAAGGATAAAACACAAGCCTTTTTTGATAGGTCTAAACAAATAGATTACCTTAGCTCATAACAATATTCAAAGGGAAGGTCGGAAGAATTAGATGTATACCGCTTCTCTATGGCCAAAGTGTTGAACTGCCAAATAACATAATGAGAAATACTTGCATGGGAAAAAACGAACTCCATGAAACAGCATAAAATATGTGACTTAAACTACTTACACTCTCAGAAACAAGTGTATAAGCTGGGTCATTCAAATATGTAAATGAGGTACCGGAGTCAAAAATTGCATTGAAATCAAGATCCCTGGCATTTCCTCCCACGTTTATTTGAGTGATGCTGACATTGTAAGTAGGGCTGAAAATGATTATCAAGAAGAGAAGAGTCAATAAAACCAACAAAAAACCAGTATCAGAAATGGTGTGCATGGCTGCATGCCACACTAACAAGTTTGTTATAATCATCAATGCAATCAGAAAAGTAACCACTTACTGTGATTGCCTGATATTAAATGGTGTTTCTCCTTGATCTGAGCTGCCATTATCTCCAAAAGTGATTCTTCCAACCCCATCATGTCCAAAACACATAGAAAAAGAATTTGAAGCAAGATTTTCTTTTGCTAATATGCTAGGAACAGATATACTGTCCATACCAAGCCCAAAAAGACCATTAGGAGCTGCACCATTTAAGAATGATCCAGTCAGAACCTGCCCACAACTGCAATAGAGTAGCGCATCCAAATCATAAGTCCAACAATAAGTAAAATATTCCCAAACAGAAGTGCCAATTACAATGTGAAGCAATATTAAGGAAAGAAGCTATAAGAAACCTCTGAGAATCAGATAATTTTACTTAGACTTTTACAAAATGACATAGATTTTCAATGAATAATCATCATATAAGAAACCTCAATGACCACATCCCCCCCTTCTCCCTAAGATTCTGCCAAATGAATTCTCAAAAAAAAAAAAGGGTTCTACCGGATGATATTTCACACAACTTTCAGCAGCCTACCCTGAGAATCAGATAGGTTTACTCAAACTTTTACAAAATAAAAGACTATGTGAATCACGAACTAAAAGTGCGTATCAGGTTGATCACAGTTATATATAATTCACTGGTGCTATTTCCCAAGACAGCAGACCGGAATATCTGGCATTTACAATAATGCTTCTTAAATGGAAAAGGAACTAAAAGTTACAAACCCAAAAGTAATCTTGGCTTCAACAGCTTTGGTTTCATCATCATCCGTAGCTAAATGCAATATATCCTCCACCAAGAGCCCAGTAGATGAAGTGCCATTGGACAGATAGAGAACTTGATAAGGACAATTACTTTGAGATGAAGAACATCTTTTTTGTTGTTCACACATAGCACTGTTACAGGGAACCTTGGAGCTTGTAGACGACGTATTAGGGCTGTAGATATTAAAGTCTATTTTCTGCATCACAAAAATTACAACAGATACCATCAAAATGGTTGTTCCTGCATCAATACTACTATATCAAATCAGCAGGGTGGGAAAATCGTATACATTGCCAGGCACAGGTCTATTGTATCAAAAGACTCCAAATTGGGTTCAAGAAATTCATGCCAAATTACTAATACAAAAGCTACAAATCATGGAAATTTTCATGGGAATTAACAACTTGTGGGAGGAGAATGTATGTAGAATTGAAGTAATTAATGAAGCATAACAATTCAGAGATTCTCTATTATTTATTGAAGTGAAAGAAATATTGAAATTAAAATTAAAAAAGGAAAAAAAAGGGTTACCCGGCCATTGGATGTCCTTAAGCCTTGCACGCAACTGGAACAATCGCATGGCAACCAGAAGAGATCGCTGCCGGTGTCTAATGCCACCAAAAACGACAAAGCCGGCGTCCCGACCGATACATTTGCGTAATACAAACTGTGATTTCCGAGAATTGGAAAAGACGTTACTCAATAATTCAGACACTTTCTTCACAATATAATAATTCATCACGAGTTGTGAAAAAGAAAAAAAAAAAAAGGAAAATAGTCGTCATTCTCAGCAAACAAACAGGAAAAAATGCCAAAACTTTTTCAAAACAATAGTTTTTTTTTAAAAAAAAACAAACAATGAAATTCGCCTCTGGATCCTCAAAAATTCATTTACCAAAATTGTTGAACTACTACAAAGCAGAAATTAAATAAGTAAATATTATCCAATAAAAATGATTTTTTTAAAAAAAAAATCATTAGAAAAAGGAGAAATTCATAAAGCAAAAGGAGTGAGAGAGTGAGGTGGCGAGAAATCATACAATCCCAATGAATCCAATCGATAAGTCTCGTTTCCATCGAGAAACGTAACAGGCGTCTGATCATTAGCCGTTGCCAATCGACGGCCCTTGATTGTTTTATCACGGTGAACCATAGCACTGTAATACTCCGGACTTCCCTTCACCGGTAACTCATCAACGGGCAGGATTCCCTTAACCGGATCCGAATACCTATGATGGACATCGAACCCGAAAGTACCGAAACCGTAACAACTTCCCGCGCTTAACCCCAACACCACTACCAGTAACACACAACTGTAACAACCAAACTCACTCATGTCTGAAACTTTCCCTGCCCTCTAATTTTGCGCCTGAAAAAAGTAAATGTGGAAAAGAAAACCGAAACTTTGAAAGATTTTAAGTGGCGTTTTCAGGATTGGTCGGAGATTTTTGAAGGAAAAGACAAAAGCCCAATGAAAATTTTTTTAGTTCGCTGGGTGGACGAAACTGCGGTAGTTTGGTATCCAAGTGTGGTCGGAACGTGGGTCCTCACAAAATATTTATTTTATATTATATTATAATATTTCTTTTTTTTTTTTTTGGGAGAAACCCCTTGCATTTTGGAGATTTTTTGCTTGTGAGCCTGATTCTTTTCCTTTTTAATTATCAAGCCGTAGAAATTTATGTAGATATCTTTAGTTGGACAAACATATAGATAAAAATAAGATTAATCAAGTGATTTAGCCTAAGAAGGGAAGAAGACATGCAAGATTTGGAGATAAAAGTCAAGAAAGATGAAAATAAAAATAAGGAGCCCATGTTTGCAAAAAAAAAAAATAGAGGGAGTTGGTGGAAAGTAAACGGGAGGAGGAAGAGGCAAAGAAGGAGTCTATGATTGGGTTTAGCTGAGCTTTAGCTATATCCCCTCTGGAAGAAACTAAAAATAGGAACTTGGCAGCAAAGTCCACGTTGTGCTGCAACGTAGACTATTGTTGAATATGGTCCTATCGCTTGGACTGTCGACCACCTTCCTTGAATAATACCACTTTCTCTCAAGTTATTAACAATAATAATAATAATCAGAAACATTAATAAATCTGGCCGTAATATTTGACTATTACTAATATTTATCATCAACAAGTCGTCGTCAATCAAGGAGATTTTCATTTTGGTGGTGTCTGTGTGTGTGTGAAACTCAAAACCAAACCAAAGTACATTTTATTTTTCTCTTTTCTATCTTTCTATTTGTCCTACAACAGTTAATGTCCTCACCATCTTTAAACATGTGGACCACCATAGGTTTGTAGGTTTAATAAGAGAAATGCATAGTAGTAAGTAATAAATCGCTTCTTTTACTTTTTCAAGGTTTAATTTGAACGCTTCGATATCAACAAATAGAGGACAAAAAACTGTGATACAGCCAAGGCAAGGTTCATTATTTCATTCCTCAACAAGAAAAATTGGAAAAGAAAAGAATGGTTTAAGGTCCAAGGTAGCTTGCTAATTGCTTAACCATAGGCTGGTTATGAAAACAAAAATGAAAGAAACAAAGACTTTTAATACTGTTGGTTGGTAAGTAGTCCAAATCATAGGCAAGTAGTCAATTATATGAACTTTTTAAGTCACGCAATCATGCAAGGAGAAATTCTACTTATATTTCACAAACAGCAAATTTCTTTTATACAGTAATAATAATTGTAAGTGTCGACTTTCAGCAGGTTCCTGCAAACCAGAAATGGTAGACAATGGACGACCTGACTTAGACCAAGTTGATTGATAACTTGCAAATTCTATCAAAGTTCAATTGATTTTAAGTTTATATCTTTACCAGAAGTTCAGCTCTTATTTCAGTCAGCTTTTGCTGGCCACTAAAATGCACGAAATGCCAATGAGAAAGCTGCTGCTAGCAGAAAATTGGAAGCTCAGATTGCAAAGTTGAAAATTGAAACACAGTTAAACATATTGGACAAGAAGTGATTAGTTGTTCTGTGCCAGAGAGTAATTCCAACATGAAGGACATTAATGCCTCTGTTTCAGTGTTCAAAATACAACAATAATGAACAAATACCTATCCTTTGCTAAAATGATAAAAGGAAATGAAAAGATAGGGACGATAACCAATGATACAATCGCGTGTAGAGCCTAATGAAGTTAGGATCAATTACTAGTGGTTTATCAACGATCTAAAAACAACAAAATATTAGAGGTATGCGAATAATCCTAAACCATGGCATAGGCTAGATAGCTGGTCAAGGAATTTTCCTTCCTATGTCTATGAAGATAAAGGAGGTTATAGCTCAAAATTTGCTACAGCATGCAGGGAACTACAACTGGCTTGAGATAGTAGCCCAAGAATGGCGTAGTATTCGAAAGAGCCCTTTACAGGCCAATGAGAGAGTTTTCCAGTGGAATTGGATCAGTTTTTGACGGTTTAGAGAAACGGTGTTGCATCTGGAAAGTGAAGATGCGGCCATAACTGAGCTTAAAGCTTAAGACCCAGATTGGCATCAAGAAGAGAAAAAAAAAGATAGTCTTTAACAAAGACAGCATCTTCTTTCGTGGTTATTTCAGGAGAATTTGGAGTGGAGGGATTCTGCAAAGATTTGCATTTGGGGAAAGAAAATTGAAAGGTGAAAACCGAAGTATAAAATAAAAAGAAGATTGGATTTGGATCTTGGCCTGGGGTTGCTTTAGTGTTAAAAAAAAAAAACTTCTTTTTGAATCCTCATTCCTTAATTACACATTCTTTTCAATGTTCAACTGCTAGATTTTAATAGTTTTTAAATATTGAAAGCCTCACCTTTTAGTTGTTGGTTTATTAAACATTAATGAATTCTAAAATGCTTTCTAGGTTTTATTTTTGCCTTTCCATTTAATAGGATAGGATCATATTGATTGGTTTTCACAAGTAATTCAGGACAAGGTTTTCTGATTGGTCTGCTATATATGACAGTGCTTGGGTATAGATTTGCTTCAGTATTTAGAGGAGGAACTTTTAACTTCATTGAAGGATATGAAATTTATAAATTACAAAGGTATCCAATCTGGTGACAGAAAGTCAAGAAATTCTCCGAAAAAAAAATACCTGGACAGGGAAGATAGTATTTCCTGAGAAATGGGTACCCTTCTGCCAAGAAAAAGAAATAAATGATAATTCAAAAAGAAAAAAAAAAAAAAACTATAAAATGAAATGTTCATCCAACTTGAAACAATTTAGAAATCAAAACCATGGCCTGATGATGAAAATGTATATGTACAAGAGTCATCTGAGTTCATTTCAACTCACGATATTTACATAGAAAAATCCATAATTAAATTAGAAAAAGACATAGTGGTACTAAAGTTAAGCTACCAAAAATGCCCACCAAAGGGTACTTTTACTGCAAGAAACCTCATTTCAATTAATGCTCAAACAGAAGAGGTAGAGGTGATGCCAAATTTATCTGAAAGCCTGGTTCGAGTGAAGGGTGACAGAAGCTCCATTTGATGAATGAACTGCACGTCATGAACCAATGGATTACCTGTTCTCCCTGGAGGTGACCCTGCATAACAGGATGGCGAGCAGCCAGTGCATGCTGATTCTCTTCCATCAATTGTCTAAGTGGGGAATTCATATGAAGCTATTAGAAATCATAATGTATATTGCCCTTTTGATTATTTGAAAGAAATATTTAGAAGTATGAAATCCTAACCTTGTCAGCAATCATGCTCAGAACTCCACTTCTCCCTTCAGTACTGGGTTGGCTGAATACGAAGAACATATGAGTTCATATTTCAGAGATAGGTAAATTGCAGGTTTCCTTAAACATAAATGTGATTCCAAGCATTTTCCAGATCAGTTGTGATTAAATTGAAGCAAAGGAAAATAAGAAAGGAGAAAATAGAGGAACTTGATAGGAAAAAAAAGAACAGAAACTAAACATCTTCAAAACACGTATATACAAAAAGAAACATTGGCAAAAACAGGGCAATCAAACCTGTGTTTGCTACATCTGAAGGGCTTGAGAAACTCAGGAATGGCAGGTCCAAGGCGGCGAGGCTTTGGGCAAAGGGGCTGCTCATTACCTCCAAAGCCAAACTTATTGGCCTCTGATCCTGAATCAAGAAGATTGCTTTTAACTGGTAAATGCTGCATAATTCTCTCTTCGGCCTTCCACTCCAAAGAAGAAGCAAAATTCGAAGTCACAAGCAAAAACACAGTAACTTGTGACTTTTTTTTTTTTTTAATTAATCTCTCATTCAAATAGCAATAAATAAAAACCGTCCATTAATTTAAAGACAATCCACCCAAAGAGAAAGAGAAAGAGAGATCACTGATGACTGAAGAGGCATTGGATTGTAGACCTTTCTTGCACAAGTGAAGGAGAGATACCATTTCCTTGGCTAAGAGTGGATATAGGATTTGTTGGCATTGATCTCCTTGTTTTCCTCTGGTTCTCATTTTTTGCCTACAAATAATTTTGTCCAAGTTTCCTCACGTCGAACTTTTCTCCTCCCATTTCAGGATTATATAGATGATTGTTTCACATATTTTCTCATATACGATTCTGCTCTCTGTAAGCATTTATAATACAATATCTCCAACTTAGTGAGAAATTACAAGGCATCCAATGCTTTGGATCTTGTTTTCCGCTTGATATCTTTCCTGTTTAGTGGCAAATATCGTTATAATGGTTATACAATTAATAAAAATGATGTCTTCTATCAGGATCACGTTCTAAGAACTGCGAGGCTGACATTTTCCCCCTATCTCCTGCTCTGCTTGAGAAAGAATGTTCAATTCGCGCCCTCTTTCCCACCTTTCAGACTTTCTATATCAACAGGCTTTCCATTCATGTTATTGTTGTTGCTAGTGGCCAAATTCACAACGGTATATTCCAAAAGAAAGGAAGTGCTGGGCAAGTAATTAAAAGGTGGAAGCATAGAGCACAGCGTTTTTATTTGTAGTCATCATGGTTCCTTACCCACAGGTTATTTACCAAGTTGAACCAAGCCAAAAAATGTATGGTTCCTATTTCATCCAGATTTGGTTTCACAGCTTCGGCCTTTTGTCCTAAGCCTAATGGTTATCAATCCAAATATACCATGGAACTCAATAACAAATGCAGAACATTATTTGAAAATTTCAATTCATTATAACCATCAATGAATGATGACCCAAACTAATACAAGATTAATCAAGATGTTGCTACTAAATGTAACTTGTTGCATGCAATGAAACAATGGACCCAAAAAACCTGCCAACTATCCCTTATATCAAAAGCTTTAACTTGCAACTCCATGCTTGGACAACCAGACTTCTGATGTATATGCATCCTTCCCAATTTTAACTAAAATCCCAGGCTCTTACATGGTATGAAGATTGAATAGCCTACATCATCCAGTTAAATAGTTTCCATGCAACTCCAGACAGCTATTTAAGTATTCATTCAGATAAAATATGCTCAGAAGCAAAAACTAAAATGGAAGGGTACAAGCAAGACAGAATAAAAGTATGTTGGATTTTATTTCAGCATCGTAGGACGTTAGACACACAATAGTTGGTTAAGATCTATATTGATTAACAAAATGTCAACCATGATCAAGTTAGCTATATTCTTGGCTGTATACTAAAAGCAAAAAGTAAAAAGAAACGAAATGAAATATAATACATATTAATTGGTGGAAGTGTCGATGCCTTAATCATGAATTATATGTATCCCAATCAAATTTGGGTTGTGAGAAAACCTCATAATCAATGGGTCCATCAACAATGCTGTCTATATTTTGCATGCCTTCCAAAAGGGATGGTTGAAAACTATCACTATCAGAAGGCAATAGTTTGTAAATTACTACCAATCCAAGTGTAAATATGGCTTGCAGCTTTGTGGAGTCTCCTTTGACTGCAAAGGATAAAAGCATTGAGAGGAGGAATAAGTCAACGCAAAACCGCATGATACACAACACTGTATCCATCAGCCTTCCATCATTGCCAGCAGGAAACCCCCGGACTCTATATACAAAGAGAAAGTTGTACTTATCAACCATATACCTATATCCAAAATAAACTGCACCCACTGGCACCACAAGTGGAGCAAATGATGAATATATCATGGTCAGGGCAAATATTGTCAAATTAAATGCATAGTACTGCACAAAATCAAATGTCTGCTTTGGTATAGGCGAGGTTCGGCTGATTGGATATACAGAAAGATCTTGTCCCTGAATGTCAATTTCACCCATCCTAGGAGACTTAAACACACTTTCAGGCATTAGTGGTCTCCGAAGACTATTCAGGACCTGATTTTCTGACGGGTACTCCTCACTTTTTTCTGGGACCAACTGAAGCATGTCATTCTTCTGAAACTTCTGAAGCTTCTTTTTTATCCAAGGGATAGGAGCCAGCAAATCATATGATATTCCCAAGAATGTACTTGTAATTAGAAATGCAAGAGAAGAAAGGCAAGATCTTGACAAGAATGATGCACTCATGTATTGCTCAATTCTCTTGCAGTCTTCTCCATCCAAATAGCATCGACCCATCCGGAGGATTGCACTTTCCAATGATGACTCAACGAGAGCCCTCAGTAGGATCAAATTGACAAGGAAGAAGCAAACCATCTTTAGCAATGCTGCTCTTTGTTCACCAGATACTGTGAGATGCCGTTCAAACTTGGAAAGGTAAGAAAGAGCTGAAGGGACCACTATATACATGCTAACAAATATTATAACATTGGGCAAAAATTGAAAGATCAGGGATGCAAGCCAACTCGAGCTTTGCACCCAAGCCAACCACAACTGTGCATTATCGATTGCTTCTGCATTAATAATCCGTGCAGCACTCTGCACAGCAGTGATTACTGCAAGTGGAGAGCTGAAGAACAACAGCATTAACAACAAACATGTGTTTACAAAAACTCTTCTCAGTTTCAGCGATAATTTTGTTGATCCCAAATGGTTCCAGTAAATATCAGCGGCCAACGGGGCTCGTTCAACTTTCCATCGGTTCCTCTGCAACCGTAATTCCATGACAGAAAAGAACCTCCCAAACCGCCTCTTTTTCTCATTTCGAAAATCTTGAACTGCCTTATTTGCAGTATAGACATCCTTAAACATCACAAATGCAACCCCAGCACCCTGTGCATGCCCTTCTTTATAAGCCACTAATTCAGTCTCTAACTGAGCTCTCAATTCTTGCAACTTCCTTAATTTCTCTTCATCTGTAAACCCAAATCTATCCATAATCTGATCCAAAACACGTTGCACTTTCCTCCCCAACCAACGGACCCAACCCAATAACCCTTGAGCTCCATTCATATCAACTTCATCTTCTTCTGGTAAAACACGAGAATCAATTTTTGCCACCAACCAGGTAATTTCATCCCTAACCTGAACTAATTCAGTGGCTAAATCATCCAATGCACATAAATCCATAGGCATGATAACCCTATAAACTTTCCCTGGATATTTATACTGAAAATACTCTAGCAAAACGCTTTTGTCAACCTCTAAACTCTTAGGCAAACCCTGAACCATAATCGTGAAAATTGCAGTCGAATTGGCGTTGGGGTCACTTAAATTTCCATTCCCATCTCTAAACCTAGTAATTTTCAATCTTTCTTCAATAGCAGACATGCCGTAATGGACAATAATAGCAACAAAAACCACGAAAAAAAAATGTACCCAAAGTAACCCTGAACCTTTACTAATATGACTTACTGTTGTTTTCGAGAACTGATCGTCTAATAAAGCTGTGCCGCCGTAGAGATTTACGGGGAGTAAGACGAAAACAGCCAAAACGGCGACTGATAAAAGGATAGCGAAGCTGCCGCCTTCGATTAAGAGGAATTGGGCGGCATCAGCTCCGCAGTGGTGGGCAATCTCGCGGCCGGTGGCATGCCAGACGGCAAGGAGCTTAGAGAACAGGGAGGATGGTCCGGGGATACGGCGGTGGTCGCTTCGGAGCTTGATGAAGAGGAATATAAAGACGCAACAGAGGAGGCCGATGATTGAGATGTTGAGGAGATACTGGATGTTGCCGTACCACGCGCCGTCGATCACGTCGTCTCCATCGGAGGAGGGGGACGGCGGGGGAGGAAACGTTTCGTTCATTGGAAATTCCTTGAAGGGGAAAAATTAGGGTTTGAGTGATTATAAATTTGGGTTTCGATTCGTGGAGGAGGGTGGAGAGCAGGAAGGAGATTTTTGGAGCAGTCGTTTTTGCATGGAAAAGAAAGAAAGAAAAGTATCACACAATTATGGATTTTCCCACAAACTATACAGTTATTTGCAATCATAACCCTAGTACAATATTTGTACGGCAATCATTTGGGCTTAATTGTTAAAGCATTTAAACATCTTCTAAAACAGGCCCGTTGGGAATAATTTGGGTCCTTTCTTTTATCATTTTGGGTGTGTGATATATGGGAATAATCTGTCAAACTCCATCCAAACCATTAGAGTATTATATCAAAAAGAATTTGAAGAACCAAATCATAACAAAGTTGTTTGCCTTATGTGCAAGAACACTCAAATGTCAGCCATTTAAAAAAAAAAAAAAATGTTTGGTCTTTCTCTTATCCTTCTTTCTTTATTTAGTATATATGAAATGAAAGATTTAAGATTCTCAACAATTTAAGAAAACCCACTTTTCCAATGATGTTTTCAATTCCCCTTGGAATTTACTAACCACTCAAAAATGAATAATAAGGATTATAACAAGCTTGAGTCTTTATTTTTTTTATTTTTTTTATTAATCGTATTTAAATTTCATCAAAATGTTAGCACTTTGATCATTGTATAATGTCACAAAGTATACAAAAAAGTGTCATTAGAATCATATTTAAAAATGATGCTAGTAATTATACAAGATAAGAGTAGATTATATTACAACGAGGAAACCAAATAAAAATTAGTTTTTATGTTTTTTTTTTTAATAAAAAATAATTTAATAATAAGAAATTACAAGTGATAAGATTTAAATTTTAAATTTATTAAATAATTTTATATAAATAATTAAATAAATCAATTAAATTAAGATTAAATTGAAACTTTCTTCCTATGTTATAATAAAGTTTGATTTACGGAGCGGACATAGCAAATAAAATCATTTTTATTTAAACGCGTGAGACAATTTGATTCTATTGTTCAAACATTTTTGTTCAAAAGCATTGTCATAATTTGCTTCTATATTTCAATGTTTGACATAATTTGAAAGTGATAAAGTTGTGTTGTAAATTGCTACAAAAACAGAGATAGATATTTGGGGAAAGCAATAGATAGATGAAAACAAACAGCTAATTTCCAGGTCCTCCCGACTTTGACTATACAATAAGGAGCCGTATCTCATTCATCTTTGGATTTTTCCTTTTCTTCCATATTCAGATTTTCCTATTTGCTTTCCATTTCCAAATGGGCGGCTAATACGTTTTTCACACCAAAGCTTTCAAATTAATTAAAGAGTAATAATTGCCTTGGTTTGAAGTTGAAAGCCAGAAATTGCAGATTATCTTCCTTTGTGGGGCGGTAAACTTTTTTTAAATTTTAATCCACCCGTTACCCAATCTTATTACACATCCCAGTGTCATCTATAAATAAATAAAGATGTAGATAATATATTAACATTCATAAATTATTTTAATTCAATTCGATTATTATTATATTGAATATAAATTTAAATAATTTAATTTATTGATCAAGTCGAATTTAATTATTTTTATATTCAATTCGAGTAATTCGTGAATTTAATTTAATTTTTATATTTTAATATATTTTTATTATTTTAGTTAATAAAATATTTTAAATTTGAATTTGAGTATAAATAATCAAAATTTTATTAAATTAAAAACCAAACTTATTTTTACATGTTAATCGAATCTAATTGAATAAATTTTAATAACTCAATTTGTATTTCGAATTGAATTTAAATTAAAAAAAAAAACTCCATCAAATTTGAATTGAGTTTCGAACTTTAAATTTTAAATTAAACTTAAATTCAAATTTAATGTTGTATTAATTCAAATTCAATTAATTACAACTCTAATAATAGGTAACCTCAAAATTCAAGTTAACTTGGAAAGGTTAATAAGGGACTTAAGCATATATATATATATATATATTTATAATTTTTAAAATTTTTTATGCTCGCGTTATTTTTTGTTAAAATAATAGTAATCCATCCATTACTTTGGCACCTGCTTATAAACATGCTGCACAAGTTTGACATTGCTGTCAAAGAGTTGGACACCTATGCACTTATGTCATCCCCTGGTCTGGAAATGGACCGGACCGATATATTACGTAATAATATAATAGCAATTATTATTAACTAATACTATAATTTTGTTTTCTCATAAAAAAAAAAAAACTTGGAATAGAATATTAAATTCAAAGGATGCTATGATATTTGATACTATCATTTCATTTGTTCATTTGTTCATTTGTTCATTTTATTTGGGATAAAAATAGTAAGCTTATATTATCAATGAAAGATGATTAGATAAAGATTAGATGGATTTATAAAATTATATATACAAAATTCCTAAGATCTAATATCATCATTCTTGTCGACATTAACAAAAAAATTATGGTCATAATCAAAACAAATGGTATAATTATTTTTCACAAGTTTTTCTTCACAAAATAAATGGCCATAAGATTCAATTGCTTTTGAAACATGATGAAAATGAAATTCAAAGACAGTGACTCTCAATAAACTTACTTAGCAAAGAAGTAGTGGAGGCCAAATTAATTCGTTGACTCAACTTACAATACCTTGAAAATTTGGTATGGGAGAGCGAATAACAATAAAAATGAAAAAAATACATCAATTTATTATTATTATTTTTTTGTAAGATTTGATTAACAGTGTTTACAATTTCTATTTAAAGTTCATTAAAATATTATTTTAAAAATAATTTTTAAATTTAATGACATTATTTTAATAAAAATAGTGCGTTAACTATAAATTTTTTTTAATACCATTTTAACCAACAAAATTAGACATCAATTAACATCTTTTTATAATATAAATTAAATTTGTTTTTAACAAATAATAATATAAATTTTTTTTTAAAAAAAAAACTTTATTTTAATATTTAGGGGGTGGTGTTAAACTTCAGTTTCTCTCATTCTAGCTACTTTCTCTTTCTTTGGTACTATATATCTGTGGAGCCCATGGCTGCCCACGTGCATTGCTGGCTATCAACCATCGCTTTGTTCATTTCCCGTCATAAGGCTTTTGTCCACCGAGGAAGACCGAACACGCATACCCAAATCCTAACCCAGTTTCAGTTTGTTGAATGTCACGCTGATTCATTAGTTTTTTTTCTCTTTACTTGCAACAAAAGGGAAAGGAAAAAAAAAACCCAAGGTGAAATAAAAAGCCTATTAATCTGGGAGTGTTGATTTGATGGATCTATGGAACTAACGCTTTAAAAAACCCACATGTATTGCTTTGTTTCTTTTAGATCTCCGTCGTTTTCATCTGCTATCATTCAGTAGCAGAAAACCAAACAGTACAAAGCAGCTTAATTCTATTGTGAGTTTATTTTTTGCTTTTTTTTTTTTTATAGTAATTTATGTGATTGATGTTTTTCTTTCGAGTCACTGAGCATTTATAGTTGTAGAATTTTAAGTGTTTAACCGATTTTTATTGTTTTGTTCAAGTCTGGGAATGTAAAAATAGATTTGACTTTCTCTATTTTGTTGTTCTTCACTTTTCTTTTTGGCCACAACTTATGTCGTTTTTGTTGTTTTTATTTACTTAATTGGCAGTATTAGCTCAAGGGTCTTCTTTTTCTTCTTCCATTTTCCATTTTAGGCAGAAATGGATATGGGTTCTGTATGTTGATTTAATAGGGGTGTTTTGGTGTGCAGGAGAGGACTCTGGTGGGGGTTTATTGATTTAAGAATTAATTTTTGGTGGGTATATTGCATCCAATTTTGGATGTTGAGGAATTGGAGGCTGGCCCAGGTGAGATGAGGGATGTTCTCAACGTTGGTCAACCTTCTGAGGCCCTGCTGGCGGCCGTCCTCGGACCGATATGTTCACGCAGGTTCGGATGCAGCAGGCCGGCAAGATGGGCTCCTTTGGTACAAGGATAGTGGGCAGCACTTGAATGGTGAATTTTCCATGGCTGTTGTCCAGGCTAACAATCTGCTTGAGGATCAGAGCCAGATTGAGTCTGGCTCCTTGAGCACTCTTGAGTCTGGTCCTTTCGGTACCTTTGTAGGAATATATGACGGTCATGGTGGCCCTGAGACATCGCGTTATATCAATGATCACCTTTTCCAGCATCTAAAGAGTAAGAGACCTTGGAACCAATTACAATTATTGGCATAGGGGATTTCTTATGCATAAATTATATTTATTTTAGTCTCTAGGATGGGCTGTTAAACTCACACTACAGTTTCATTTACAAAATTTTAGGTTGAGAGCCAGGTTGGTGCCACAGTGACTCAGTTGATAATATTGTTTTGCAGGGTTCACCACAGAGCTGCAATCAATGTCTTTGGATGTCATAAAGAAAGCATATCAAGCAACAGAAGAGGGATTTTTCTCTCTTGTTACAAAACAGTGGCCTATGAATCCCCAGATTGCAGCTGTTGGATCATGCTGCCTGGTTGGTGTTGTTTGTAATGGGACCCTTTACATTGCTAACCTTGGTGACTCTCGTGCTGTGCTGGGAAGGCTTGTCAAAGCAACCGGCGAGGTTCTTGCAATCCAGCTGTCATCAGAGCATAATGTAGGAATAGAGTCTGTCAGGCAGGAGATGCATTCTTTGCATCCTGATGACTCACACATTGTAGTTTTAAAACATAATGTATGGCGTGTAAAGGGCCTGATACAGGTAGGTTCTTTGAGTGGCTATTAATGATAGACATACGAGCGGGTCTATGCAATTTTTCTTGATATAATTGAATGCTATAGGTGGATTGAAAGAATTAAAAGGTAAATTTAAATTGATTAAAAATTAACATTCTGAGTCAAGGGAAATCTGCTTCTTTTAAGTCTTATGTCTTTTTCTATCCTTTATGTGAAAATCTGGATTTTACAGCTTTCATTTGGTTAAGATATATGGTTTACCGAGTTTGTTGCTCAGTTTGTTTTCTATTAATCAGCACAATATATATTTTTTTGGGATGTTGTGTGTTGAAACATAAATAGGACATTTACAGAACCTTTTTATTGCAGGTTTCTAGATCTATAGGTGATGTTTATCTTAAAAAGGCTGAATTCAACAGGGAGCCACTATATCAAAAGTTTCGTCTTCGTGAACCTTTTAGAAAGCCAATTTTGAGCTCTGAACCATCAATATCTGTGCATGAACTCCAAGCTCATGATCAATTTATCATATTTGCTTCCGATGGGCTATGGGAACATCTCAGCAATCAGGACGCAGTTGATATAGTTCAAAGTCATCCACACAATGTAAGATATACTTCTCTTAATGGAGAATTAGCATGGTTCTACTATTAAGTTTATAATCTACTTATTAACTCAATGATTTGTGGTTTATGGTGCCTATTGGCAAAATTGGACATGTTTGCGTTCTTTCAATGAGTTGTGACTTCTTGTTAACTTGAAGCAATATGGTCCTAATGCAATTTGAGCTAATCAATTGTGTCTGCTTTAGATCATTAATTTTATTTTTTTAATGTTCTATATGCTGCTTCACTTAATGTGACATCAATGCATATTTCATGAATTTCCATTTTGTTCCGCTAGACTTGTTAGTGCTACTTTTGAGCAGCTGGTTATTCTTTGATTACATTGGCTTTTCTGAGCTTTAGAAGTTTTAGC